TTGCATTACATTTAAGTGTCACAACAAAAATCTAGGATCTTGAAAATGGTGACAAATACATTCGACATGCTTATCTAGCAATAGACATGAAAAACAAAATCGATAACTTTTTTTTTGTTTTTTTTTTTGTAACGGCAAGGCTTGTGATGTTCTTAATGAACAAAAATCGTCAAATATTCCACGACTAGATGAGTTATTTGTGAATTATCATTCCCTCTTGCCCAAAATTAACACAAAATTAAAATGAATTATAGTGGCAAAGTTTGTGAAATTCTCTTGGTGAGAGTGATTGAAGGGTTAGACAGCGAGTACAAGTTGTACAGCGTGAAAGAACTTTGCTACTTTGCATTCCGCTTACGTCAAAAGGGACACCAGAAATGTCAGAGGCTTGGTGTTGGTGAGGGTTTGGAGTACATAAAAAAAATCAAGGATTGGATTGCACACTTGCAACAACGAGTTTAATTGTGCAACCCGATGCACCCAGCAGCAGAACCGGCCCTGGGAGCAAGCAGAGCAAGCAGCTTTTTGCGGCCTAGTTATAAATATATAAATTATCGGCCCTCATGTTAACGAAATCCTTTGTTAGCCTAGTGGTTTGCTTCCTTATCCTATGTCTACCCTAAGCAGAGTTCGATCCCTGCTTATTACATAACAGTTTTCTTTGTTTTTTATTATTTAAATTCGGCCCAACATTATATTTGGCTTGTGGCCAACAAAACTTCAGGGACGGCTCTGCCCAGCAGACAAGGAGAGAGGATCATGATAAAAAGGGGTTTGGTATATGAATGATGACTTGGATGCTGCGTTGAGTCGGCTTGTGCACCAGCCAATAGGTGCAACCGTTGCAGTTTTCGAACCTTAATATGAAGCGACCAAAGAGGTTTGTCACTAATACCTTCCAAATGTATTTCTTAACAAAAAATATTCAGTTTTAATTTGTGTTGTACTTACATAACATGGTGTATACCGAGGGCTGACAAGTAGTAACTCTAAACTTATTGCTTACCACGCATTTGCAAGGAGCCTTGGACCAAGCCCAATAAAACATTCTCCCCTTTTTCAGAATAACAAAATCTACTCTCAATTTTAATTTACTTTTAATAAATGGCTCATTTTAAAAATATATTGTCTGAAAAACTCTTAAATTTATTTTATTTTGTTTTGGCCCCTAAAATTTCAGGGCCGGCCCTGCGCACTTGTGGTGGTCTCAGCATGGATAGAAGATGGATAAGTGATTCTTGCAAGTTATATCAAAGTGTCTGCATCAATCATGCTCCAGCAAGTTCATTTCAACCAAGGCCATGCAATATGTGGTCTTAAGGGGCGGAGTGATTCTCTTAGCTTGAGCGAAGCAACACCATGATGATAGGATTTGTGTGTGTGAAATGAATGATGTAAATGATATGAGGTGGAATGCAAACAGTGGTAATGAAGATGAGATGGTATGGTGCAATCACAATCAATCAATTCCTCTTAACCATCATAGTCATTGAAGTATAAGGGTATCAATCCAAAAGGTGAAATGTTGCTCTTTGAATTTATGCAAACACAAGAAAGTCAAGCTGACAGTAAATATGATGGGAACTAACTCTAACAACCTAATAAAGTGAAATGCAATGCATAAAGTAAAAGAAAGCAGTAAAGCAAGCAGCTCGACCAAGGCTCGATCGAGTGGGAACAGAGTAACCAAGCTCGGTCGAGTTGAGGGTCGAGTTACGTAAAAAGCGATAAAGGCAGAACTTTAAGAAGCTAATGCGAATATTAGGGTCTAAGACAGGGTCTTACAACTAGGGGAAGACTATACTTAATCAATCTTGCTCTTAAACAACTTGTATCAAGGTATCTCTTGATATTGAGCTTCTCAATGCCTAGCTAGCCCTTTCCCAAGGTGAAAGCTATCATCCAAGGCAAGATCTCAGAAACAGGGGGTTAGCCAGTGAGTCAAGCCTTGGAGGCAGTAGGATCATTGCTCAAACTAATCCATCCAACACCTATGAACTCCATTTCGAGAGCAAGGTTTATTGGAGCTCTTAGTGGACCTTTTCAAGCGATTTCCCAACACTTCCATGTGGAAAATCGCCTATGATCATACAAGCCAGGGGTAGTGGTCATGTAGCCTTAAGGTTTGTCCAAAAGAGAGAGATTTCTAGATTAAGAACATAAGCAATAGAGATTAAGCATAAGGATCCTCTAATCTAGCCCATCTTGGACCCTAAAGGAACTACTCACTACACATGAATAAACACAATCAAATGCAATGAAATCGACATTAAATGAAAGAGGAGATGAAACTAAAAGCTTTTATTGAAATAAGCAAGTGCAAATACAAAGGAAATAGCCTAGATCTAAGGTTCAAGGAGCATGAAGCTCAAGAACACAAAGAGGCTTAAGGTTGCAAAAAGTAAATTACAAGAATTAAAGAAAAGCTAAAACAAAAATAAGCTAAAGATTGCTGTCTTTTTCGTGGCTTAGAGCCTTTAAATACAAAGGAGATTAGGTTTAGGGTCAAAGGGGAGTCAAAGGGGAAGCAACATTTTTCGGGTTTGACTGTTGACTCTCAGCTCGATCGAGTTGAAGCTTGGCCGGTCGAGTAGGTGGTCGAGCTGACTTCAAGATGACTTCCTCCTTCGTCCTATGCGTGTCTGGTTGAGCTGCGTCCATGCACCAAGTCCTTCCTTGCTCCTCACGTCCCAAATGCTCCAAAGTGCTCCAAAAGACCTATTTCAAGGACCAAACATGCACATGTATGCAAATGCAACCTAAAACTACTATGAATGCACAAGAAGGGAAAAGGAACAAGATATGATGCTAATGGATGCTAAAACTATGCAAAAGATGCATAACAGATGTACTAAAACTGATGTAAAATGCAAGTACATCAACACCCCTCAAAAATTTGCTAAATTCCAACTTAGAGATTCTAGAATGCAACAAGGTGAGAGATATTCATTAAGATTTTAACCATGCTTATCAACATCAATCCCACTTCACAGTCACTCAAACAATGCATTAAATCAGCAAATCCCTTTAACATTTATTAAGAAAATCGTGAACCAAAAACATGCAAGATCAATCAACTCATTTGGTTTAAGGGTTTAGGGGTTAAGAGACAAAGAGGTTCTCTCTTTTTGAGTGTATGGTGGTTTAGTAACAGGGATCTCTCAAGAAAGTGGCTTTGTTTTGGCAGAGAGGCTAAGTGTTAGAACCAAAGATGATGCAAGAGCAGCAACTCGAGCTACCTAATCCTAACTCGATCGAGTTCAACACTTAGAGCTTTTTAAAGAACAAATCCTAACTACCCTTTTGGCATTTCGCCTTTGAAACAGAGGAGCTTTGCTCACTTTTTTTTAAGAACAACACAGGGAGAGGCTTCTTAAGGTAACATCTAGCGGTTTGGGATTTTCTAAACACTTAGGGAACTTTTTCTTCTCTTTTTGACACTTGAGGCTTTGCCTTCTTTTCTTTCTACTTAGAACCCTTTTTTCTTTCTTTTTTAACTTCCCAAACCTTTACTAGACCCTTTTTAAACACTGCCAACTCCCTGGACTTAACTAAACTCTTTTCTCTTTTGTTTTCCCAACTTTTACCACTTTTCTGGTTTTTACCCCAACTCGATCGAGCTCGAGTTGGCACCCCCAAACTTAGCCTGAAAACAATCCCAAGAGAACTAGACAACTAGAACTACTGCTCCTGCCGGTTTAAACACAACACCTTATGCTAAGCAAAGCCAAGAAAGGTTCTCACAATTCGCACAAGAGATAACATGGGGTTTGAAATGAAAAAGGCTTAGGTTTAAGGTGTGGTAACTGTCTCAAAGATGGAGATCAGCTATCTGGACAAGCAAGAGGGATATGAAATAGGTAAAGAATGTCCAGATATGTATGTGGTAGCCATGAGTTGAAATCAAATGCAAGCATTGGTAATTAAAGATCAAGTTATGGTTCAAATAGATAGGGAAATGCATCAAATCACAGCAATGGTTGAATGAGATGTGCATGCAGTGATATGATCAAGATAAACATGGTTCTTGCTTCAATCAATCTCACCCTAATGCACAAAAGAATCTAGAAATAGGGCACTCAAGAAATCGCAAAAGATGAACAAGTTTTCAAGATCAAATCAACAATGCAAATAAAAAGTGAATGATGCAATCCTAAACAAATCTAACAAATATGAATGCAAAAAGATGAAAATATTTTTGGATTTTTGAAAATTTTATGATTTTTTTGTGTTTTTCTATGCAAAAGATGAATGAAAAACTAAGAACAGAATAAACAAGGTTAAATCATCTCTTGAACCCTCCCCCAAACTTAAATCACACAGTCCCTTGTGTGAAAGAAGTTCATGAAAGATTCAAGAGGGAAAACCAAGAAAAAATAAAGAAAAATGCATGAAAATGAATGGTATATACATGAGAAGTTTGTTTGATACCTTAGTGCTCCCCAAAGAACTGGGAAGCAAGGTCTTGTGGTGGAGAGGGCAGGCGACCATCAGGAGCGGTCCAAGGAACAATCTCTGAGCAGCTCGATCGAGTTCACTCTCTCTTGGGCTCATCGAGTCAGTGCCTCGAGTTAATGGTGTTTCTCCCTAGAAACCTGTTCCTGCAAGAGTTAGCCAAGAAAATCACAGAGATAAAAGAGCAATATGTACAAGATAGACATGGGAATTCCTCCCAAGTGAGCTTGTTTTAGTCTCATAGCTTGACCTTACCTTTTTAGGCAGGAGCGGGGTCATGAAGAGGAGTGATGATCTCTTCTCATCATTGGGGGTCATTCCTAAGTAAGGCTTGAATCTGTGGCAATTCACTGTGAACTCTTTCCCTTCTTGTTGAGCAAAGTGAGAGACCCATAAGGTAGAACTTCTGAACTTGAATGGTCCTGCCTATTTTGATCTTAGCTTTCCAGGGAATAGTCTCAATTTTGAGTTGAACAAAAGGACACTATCCCCAGCCTTGAAGTCCTTAAGGCGAATCAGTTTGCATGGGCTGCCTTGGTTCCTCTTTATAGATCTTGGAGTTCTCATAGGCATTCATTCTGATTTCCTCCAACTCGTGCAAGTTCATGACTCTTTTCTCTTGTGCTGCCTTTATATCAAAGTTGAGCATCTTTACTGCCCATAACGCCTTGTATTCACCTCCACAGGCAAGTGGCAAGCTTTTCCATACAATAGGTTGAAAGGAGACCTAATGGGTTTTGTAAGCTGTTATAAGCCCAAAGTGCCTCATCAAGCCTTGTTGACCAATCCTTCCTAGTGAAGCTCACCGTCTTCTCAAGGATGGCCTTTATCTGCCTGTTGGAGACCTCAACTTGCCCACTGGTTTGAGGATGGTAGGGCGTGGCACCTTGTGCTTGACTCCATAGTTCTTCATCAACTTCTCAAACACCTTGTTGATGAAATGGGAACCTCCATCCGAGATAACAACCCTTGGGATGCCATATCTTGGAAAGATGATGGTTCTGAAAAGCTTGATAACAACCTTGGCATCACAGGCTGGGCAGGGAATGGCTTCAATCCATTTGGACATAGTCCACAGCACCAAAATGTAGTTGTGCCCGTTTGAATCAGGCTTGAAAGGTCCCATGAAGTCTATTCCCCATACATCAAAGATCTCAACTTCAGAAATTGGGTTTAGTGGCATTCGTCTCTCTTGGTGATCCCTCCTTTCCTTGGCATGGATCACACTTGCGATGAAGCTTGCTGCATCCTTGAACAAAGTAGGCCACCATAACCAGATTGCAAGACCTTAGTTGCGGTTTTGAATGTGGCAAAGTGACCTCCATAAGCAGACCCATGGCAATGCTCTAGAACTCCTTGTACATCTTCTTCAGCTATGCATCTTCTGTAAATGCTATTGGTCCTCTCTTGTACAAGTAAGGCTCATCCAATAGTAGGCCTAGCATCTTTGAAGAACTTCTTCCTCTGTAAGCATCAAAGTCAGGGAACCTCTCCAGCGACCATGAAGTTCACTATATCAGCATACCAAGGTAGGTTTTCATCTCGCAGAGCCTTAACTTCTTCCAGCCTGACCTTCTCATCAAAACCTTCTTTCAAAACCATGATTGCCATTAGCTGTTCTTCAGGCATAGAATCATTGATGGGGACTATGTCTTCAACTCGCATCCTAGAGAGATGATCAGCAACTCCATTTTCCACTCCCTTTTTGTCTACAACAAACTCTTGAAGCAAAGAATCCATCTGAGAAGCTGGGTTTTGTATCTTTCTTAGCAAAGATGTGCCTAAGAGCAGCATGATCTGTGTGGACAATCACTTTTGATCCAACCAAGTAACTTCAAAATTTCTCAAAGGCAAAGCCTACAGTAAGGAGCTCCTTCTCTGTGGTTGCATACTTGCATTGAGCATCATCCATGTTCTGCTTGCATAATAGATGACATTGAGCTTCTTGTCTATCTTTTGGCCAAGCACAGCTCCTACTGCATAGTCAGACACATCACACATAATCTCGAATGGGTGATCCCAGTTTGGAGCTTGAACAATTGGGGCAGAAACCAGAGCATCCTTCAGCAAGGTCCAAGACTTATGGCATTCTTCATCAAACTCAAAATCCACTTCCTTGCATAGAAGTCTTGTCAAAGGTCTTGCTATCTTGAGAAATCCTTGATGAATCTTCTGTAAAACCCTGCATGACCCAGAAAGCTCATGATGTCCTTCACAGTCTTAGGCACAGGAAGCTGCAACATCCCGTCCACCTTAGCTCGATCGAGCTCGATCCCCTTTCTCAGAAATTTTGTGTCCAAGAACAATTCCATCTTGCACCATGAAGTGGCACTTCTCCCAGTTGAGCACCAGATTTGTCTCCTCACACCTCTGCAAGACCCTGCACAAGTTTGACAAACATGAGGAGAAGGATGCTCCATAGACTGAGAAATCGTCCATGAAGACTTCTACCATCTCCTCTATCAGATCTGCAAAAAAATGGAAGGTCATGCATCTCTGGAAAGTAGTTGGGGCATTGCACAGCCCAAATGGCATCCTTCGATAGGCAAAGGTACCATAAGGGCATGTGAAAGTGGTCTTCTCCTGATCATTGGGATGGATCGGGATTTGGAAGAAACCACTGTAACCATCAAGAAAACAATAAAGGGATGGTTTGCCAATCTTTCAAGCATCTGATCAATGAAAGGAAGAGGGAAATGATCCTTTCTAGATGCAGAATTTAACTTCCTATAGTCTATACACATGCGATGCCCCACTATTGTTCTAGTGGGGATCAGCTCCTCTTTGTCATTCTTTATGACAGTGATTCCTCCCTTCTTTGGGACGCAGTGAACTGGAGATATCCAAGTGCTATCACTGATGGGATAAATGATCCCAGCATCAAGCAACTTAAGTATCTCTTTCTTCACTACTTCCTTTAGATTTGGGTTCAATCTCCTTTGAGGTTCAATGCTAGACTTACTTTCATCCTCTAAATGAATCCTATGAATGCATAAATCAGGAGAGATTCGCTTTATATCATCAAGAGTGTAGCCAATGACTTTCCTGTACTTTCTCAATTCAACAAGCAATGCATCCAATTGTTCAGTTTTTAGCTCAGAGTTCACAATGACAGGTGAAAACAGGGTTTTTCACAGATTCAAACTCCTTTATCCCTGCTCACTGCCAGAACTTCACAAAGAGGCTCGCCTAACTCCTCAATGCAAAAGATGTTCGGAACCGGTCTGAAAGTGTCAAGGAGCCTAGAATACTCCTCAGTTTCTGAATGCAGATACCCTTCAGATTGATCCTTGGTGAGAGCAACTTGCAAGTGGTCTTCCAAAGACACTTCCTCCAAAAGTTCATCCGCCAACTGATCCATTTCTTCATTGTAAAAGAGTTGACCTTGTATTGTTGGCTTCCTCATTGTATCCTTGATGTCAAACTTCATCTTTAGGTCTTGTCCAAGGTTCAGTTCTATTGTACCTTCACAGACATCTAGCATTGCTCTTGCTGTAGCTAAGAAAGGTCTCCCTAGTATCAAAGGGTCTGTTGGTTCTTCATCCATTTCAAGCACAATGAAGTTAGTGGGGATTTCAACATTCCCTATCCTCAAAGGTTGATCTTCAAGCATCCCACTAGGCAGCCTTATTGATCTATCCGCACAAACAAGTGAGACACTAGACTCCACTTACACAATGCATTCAAATAACTCTCATCCCTTAACATTCAATTATCTCAGAATCGTGAATCAGTCACTTATGCATTTCAAAGACTTGTTTGGGTCAAAGGGTAGGTTTCAAGAGACAAAGATGGTCCCATTTTCTCTGGTTTTAAAATTCGGTACAAGGGATCTCTCAAAGAAGAAAGGTTGAGCTTTAGTAGAATGCTAACGGTAAAAACGAAGGATGATACAAGGCTAGACTCCCATCTACCCAAGAACAATGAAGTGCTATCCCCTGTTTCCCATGAATCCTATCTACCTGAACAGGCAAAACTCGCCTTGACCTTTTTAAGGAAATTCCTTTCTCTTTTCGTTGCTTTCAAGCCCTTAGGAGGGGTTTCTAAACTTCATATAGCGGTTTGGGTCTTCTTTCACTTTTGGCTCTTAAACTCTTTTTCTAGACTTGGCTTTCCCCCTTTTTCTTTTCTTTTTATTGCTAGAGATTTTTACTTTTTCCCCCAAACCTTTACTAGAGACTCAAACTTTCACAACTCTTCCCCCCAAAGAGACTCGGCTTTTACTTTCCCTTTTTGCGGGATTTCTTTTTGAACTCTCTTCTTCCCCCTTTTTCCTCTTTAAGAACTTCCCAACACCCCAAACTTAGTCCTAACTAGCTCAAGAAGACGAGCTAGAATCTATATGAGAACCTAGACCTTGTCTGTAAAAACCCAACACCTTCTACCAAGCTCAACCGTAGAGGCCTCACACACTCAGAAAAATCGAATTGGTTTCAAAGAAAGGTTGGTAAAGGGTGAGGAGATCTACTTGGATCAACAAGAGTGGTGAAAAGGGGTGAAGGGAGATCCAAGTATGCATATGTATCCACGAGTTCTTAGCAAATGCACAAGGATGATATTTAAACATTCAAATTCAGGGATCGATAGGCTGGATGAGAGATCATATCACAACAATGCTTCAGCCAAATCTAGATGTCAAAGAGTGCATTCAAAGTGTGGTTCTTTCTTAACTTCAAGCTCGCTCTATATGCACAAGATGATTCAAAACCGGATCATTGAAACCATTTCGAAAAATCACAACCTCTTATTTCTCATTTTCCTCAATGCAAATGAAATGAGATGCATCTAGACTCAATCCTAAAATGTAAATGCACATGATGCTTTTCTTTTTGGTGGAATGCAATTTTCGAATTTTTTTTCAATTTTTTTGGTTTTTCTATGCCTTGCATGCGAATGCAAACTATATGAGACTCAAGGATGAAAATTGAAAATAAGAATCACAAGAAACAAGATAAAATGCTATGGACCTCTCCCCCAAACTTAAAATGCACAGTTTCTTGTGCATATAAGGGTATGAAGAAGAGATCCATCAAAGAGATGCAAAAACAGAGATGAAAAGAAAAAAATGAGTGGTATTTACAATGAGTTGAGTCTTACCTTTCATGGACTTGGGGAGGGTGGTGTGGGAACGTCATGGAGGTCTATTGGATCGGTGGAAAACGTTGGAGGTGGTGATGCGCCGGTTTTCCTTTTGCGCTTGCTTCTCCTCATTGCAGGCTCCGCGGTCTTGGTTGCCTTTGGCGATGTGCACGAGAGTTTGTCCTTCAGGGCATTCACTGTCTCGGTGAGCTTCTTAATCATCTCGTCCTGTTTCTTGCACCACCTTTGAAGCATCCCAATGAGCTCATGTGCTTTGGTGATGGCCGGAGTGCTTCCACTTGCGTTGTAAGGGGTGAAGTCAAATTTACCAAACTCGCTTGCTCGTCTCTCCGAAGGCTCGCCTTCCTCTTGCCCTTGCTCTTCGTTGACTGTGGCATCACCTCCATCCATGAACAACTGATCGGCTGTGGGGAGGAACAAGATTCCTTCTCGGCTTTTGTTGCTCGTGAGCTCGACGTTTGGTAAGAGGACTTTCGAGATGCCAAAGGTAAGATGCTCAAAGCAATAGATGTGCTTCCCGTTGTGCATCCCCCTCACGAACCAAGTCTTGTTGAGGTAGGCGATATCCATGAACGTGGGTGGATGACTTGACTGTGGTAACTTGACTTTGGTTGCGAGCAGAATCGGAGTGATCAAGCTTCCAATATCCAAGTGTGCCTCCTTGATCTTGCCTTGTTCATAGGAGAGCTCCGCGTTCCTCATTATTTGCTTGAAGGAATTGATCATCACAACAGCTTTGCTCGTGTGCTTCAAGTCTCCTTGCATCTCTTCCCCGTTGTCCAGAGTTTCAAGCTTCTGGATTATGCCGGTGTCAAGCAGCTCAAGCTCTTGCTTGGTGACGTTTGCACACTCGTGTCTTGCGAAGAGAGTGTGATCGATCGCCTTATGAGCGTAGCGGATGGCCGGGTTCTTGATGTGACTGCTCTTGTTCTTGGAGATTTGATAGGGTCTCAAACTTATCACTCCCCAAAGGCTAACTAGCTCTGTTCCTGGCACACACATGCTGAACCGATACTCTTGTCCCAAGAGCGTGAAGGTAATGAATCCAATTCCATCTCTCTTGAGCTCAGCAGCTGCTTCTTGAGGATGTTTAGTGAGCTTCAAGGATGCAAGGAACTGTATCGCTGGTTCTCTGTACGCCGGTAGAGCCATCTTCATGAACTCGCCAAGCTCGGTGTAGTAGAAAATGTCCTCCACATCTTCCTCTATTCCCAATGCCCTTATGGTTTCTGGATGTGGATAGCGCATTGACATGAACTACATCCTCCACAAGATACGGATGCGCTCTTGGACTCCATAAGGTCTTGGGATCACCGAGTCGTCCATGTTCTGCTCAGCAGCCTCTGACCATTTCGGAGCGATTCTTTGCTTGCTCCTTTCTTCCTTTTTCCGCTATACTCCACTTTCTTCTTCCCCTCACGTTTTTCCTTTCTTGCTGTCTCCACATCTTCGTTTTGTGCTGGCCTCTTTGTGAATTTAGTCTTTGCCATTGTACCTAAGAGATAAACAATTCTCACAACACAATTAGCCTCTGTTTTGAGAACAGCCAACAAGCAAGAAATCTCAACAAAACTTCTCAATTTAAACCAATTTCGATTTGTGCGAGCTCAGAACAAGCTCAAAACCTTTACACTCCACCGCTACAAGTTCATGTATCAGGAAATTTTAAAAACATGCTGTGAATTCCGGGAGTTTGAACTAGATTAGCTCAAGAACACTTAGAATTTTAAATCTCAGAATTCACTTCAATAGCACGAAATTTCCTACATGCAAGCTCGAATTCGATCTACCCTAGTAACAAATAAGCCGGATCTACCCATGAATGGGAACAAACAAGTTTCTCCAGTGAAATCCCAAAAAGGAAAAATCACAAGAGAGAGGGTGATATTGAGGATCAAATACCTTGATTGGACTATCGGACTTAGATGAATCGAGCTAAACTTGGGCGAGCGGCGGATTTAAAGAGTTTTGAGCTTCGAAATTCGAAATTTGGTTGAGAAACAGAGAAATCCGAGATTTTTGTGTAGAGAATCGGGAAAAAGCTTCTGAAGAAGAAGAAACCCAAATTTAAAATAAAAGGGAGAAAGGGTTTCTTCGGGTTTTAAAAATTTAAAAAGGAAACGGGTCACTTACTGACGCGGGTTGTCAATCGGATCTTTAAACCGATTAGGAACCTGATTGACAACCCGAATGCTTTAGAATTTCACCCGGTTTAGCTGAGAGTAGAGGCAAAGGAGTTTTTGATTTGGGCAGTTGTTCTTTGTGCACGAGGACAAGCAATGTCCCTGATAGAACTGCCCATTTCCAACTCTATGTACTTCTTCAACCGGTGACTGTAACCATAAACTCCACTCCGTTTTGGTTCACTAAAGTGATGTCTCCATAAGGCAGCACCTCCTTGACCTTGAATGGTCCTGACCAGCGAGACTTCAGTTTCCCAGGGAATAGTTTAAGCCTAGAATTGTAAAGGAGCACATCATCCCCTGCCTTGAACACCTTAGGCACGATTCTTTTGTCATGGAAGGCTTTAGTTCTCTCCTTGTATATTCTCAAACTTTCATAAGCATCCAAGCGAATCTCCTCTAGCTCGTGGAAGTCCATTTCCCTCTTTTCCTGAGCTCTCTTTGTATACTCTCCTTGTATACTCTCATCTCCTTGTATACTCTCAGCTCTCTTCTTGCTCCATCCTACAAAACACATTAGATAAAAGAAAAAAACTAGAAAAAAATAAAACTATTTACAAAAGGATAGTCATGGGACTTCCTCCCAAGTGAGCTTGTTTTGAGTCCATAGCTTGACTTTCATTGCCTTTTTAGGCTTGGGGTGGATCATGGAGACGGATTGAACTTCCCTCTCCAATGCTTTGACTCCCATGTACTTCTTCAACCGGTGACCGTTAACCGTGAACTCACTCCATTGTTGTTCACTAGGGTGATGGCTCCATAAGGCAACACTTCCTTGACCTTGAATGGTCCTGACCAGCGACACTTCAGCTTCCCAGGGAATAGCTTGAGCCTGAGTTGTAGAGGAGCACATCATCTCCCTCTTTGAAAACCTTGGAGTGATTCTCTTGTCATGGAAGGCCTTAGTTCTCTCCTTGTATATTCTCGAGAACTCTCATAAGCATCCAAGCGAATCTCCTCTAGCTCGTGGAGTCCATTTCCCTCTTCTCCTGAGCTGTACTTAGCTCCATGTTTAGGAACTTGATTGCCCATCTAGCTCTATATTCCAACTCAAGGGCAAATGGCAAGACTTTCCCATAGATCAAAGAGTATGGAGATCTCCCAATTGGCGTTTGTAAGCAGTTCTATAAGCCCACAAAGCATCATCCAACTTCTCTGACCAGTCCTTCCTTGATGAGTTCACTGTCTTGTGGAGTATGGCTTTGATTTGCTTGTTAGACCTCCACTTGACCACTAGTTTGAGGGTGGTATGGTGTGGCTATCTTGTGTTTCACCCCATACTTTTTCAAAAGGTTTTCAAACACCTTGACAAAGTGAGATCCTCCATCACTGATCACACATCTTCGGGAACCCCAAACCTCGGAAAATGATAGTCTTGAACAGCTTGAGGACACTTTGGCATCGTTGGTGGGTGCGGCTATGGCTTCCACCCATTTTGAGACATAGTCAACGGCGACTAGTATGTAAGCGTTTGCCGTGAGAGGCAGGGTTAAATGGACCAACAAAGTCTATTCCCCACACGTCAAACACCTCAACTTCCAAGATAGGATTCTGAGGCATCTCGTTCCTCGCCGTGATGTTCCCTGCCTTTTGACAAGCCTCACACTTAGAGATGAAGGCATGAGCGTCCTTGAACATACTTGGCCACCAAAAACCTGCTTGTAACACCTTCTGGACCGTTTTAAAACCGCAAATGGCCTCCATAGCTTGACCATGGCAATGGAACAAGATCCCTTCAACCTCTTCTTTAGCTACACATCTTCTGAACAAGTTATCATTCCCTTTTCTGAACAAATAGGGCTCATCCCAGTAGTAGTGAACCACATCTTTGAAGAACTTCTTTCTCTGATAACCACTCCATCCACTTGGAACTTCCTCTCCTCTGCGTACACTCTTCTCCTCCATCTGCACTTGGTTAAGTAACCTCTATCCACGATCTTGGCAGCCATGAGTTGCTCCTCTGGCAAAGAGTCATCGATGGGAACATCTCCCTTCAATCCTCAATCTTGATAGATGATCGGCCACGCTGTTCTCGGTGCCTTTCTTGTCGACGATCTCGATATCGAACTCTTGAAGCAAGAGAACCCATCTAATCAGCCTCGGTTTAGCATCTTTCTTGGTGTAAGGATACTTGAGAGCTGCGTGATCGGTGTGAACGATGACCTTTGAGCCCACAATGTAGCTCCTGAACTTGTCAAAAGCAAACACCACGGCTAGTAATTCTTTCTCGGTTGTGCGTAACGGGTTTGAGCATCGTCTAGCGTTCTACTTGCATAGTAGATGACGTTCATCTTCTTATCCACCTTCTGACCAACACTGCTCCAACCGCGAAGTCTGAGGCATCACACATGATCTCGAAAGGCAAGTCCCAATTGGAGCTTGGACAATTGGTGCGCTAACAAGGGCTTCCTTGATCTTCAAGAAAGCTTGGCTACACTCTTCATCAAAGATGAACTCTGTTTCTTTGCATAAGAGTCTTGTGAGTGGCCTGCTATCTTAGAAAAATCTTTGATAAAGCGCCTGTAGAAACCCGCATGTCCCAAGAAGCTTCTCACATCCTTAACTGATTTTGGCTCCCCAAGTTGCACCATTACTTCTATCTTTGCCTTGTCCACTTCAATGCCTTTCTCTGAGATCTTGTGGCCAAGGACTATCCCCTCTTTCACCATAAAATGCACTTCTCCCAATTCAGACCAAGCCTGTTTCTTCACACCTTTTCCAGCACCCTACATAGATTAGACAAACAAGAGGAAAAAGAAGAGCCATAGACCGAGAAGTCGTCCATGAAGACCTCAACCATTTCCTCTATTAGATCCGAAAAGATTGAAAGCATGGCTCTTTGAAACGTTGCTGGGGCATTACATAATCCAAACGGCATTCTTCGATATGCGAAGGTGCCGTATGGACATGTAAATGTGGTCTTTTCCTGGTCGTTTGGATGGATTGGAACCTGGAAAAAACCACTGTAGCCATCCAAGAAACAATAAAATGGATGGCATGCCAACCTTTCAAGCATTTGGTCAATGAATGGCAAAGGAAAATGATCTTTCCTTGATGCAGAATTTAAGCTTACGATAGTCAATGCACATTCTATGTCCAACTATTGTCCTACTTGGGATCAATTCATTCTTTTCGTTCTTGATGACAGTAATCCCACCCTTTTTTGGGACACAATGTACTGGTGAAACCCAAGTACTGTCCGAAATAGGGTAAATGATTCCTGCATCAAGAAGCTTTAAGATTTCTTTCTTTACTACTTCTTTAAGATTGGGGTTTAACCTACGCTGATGTTCAATAGATCCCTTTGATTCATTTTCAAGATGGATCCTGTGAGTGCATAGAGTAGGGGAGAGACCCTTGATATCGTCCAGCGAATATCCAAGAGCTCTCCTGTACTTTCGCAGCTCAACAAGGAGGGTTTCAAGCTCATGAGGGGTTAATGCATCATTGACAATGACAGATATGTGGAGTTAGAGCCTAAGAACGCATACCTGAGCCCCTTTGGGAGAGGTTTAAGATCGACCTTGGGAGCCTTAAGCTCGGACCAGTCATCGTTTGTGCTTGCTCTTGAGAGCTCTCCTCTCTCGGTTTAGACTCTAGAGCAAACAGGTTCTCAACCCGATTGTCATCCCGGATGCTCTCTGTTTCTGATGACCCAACTCCTCAAAGCCTATCTTCTTTTACTGCTCTGTGTGAGTCCATAAGCCAAGCATAACCCATACTCTCTGCTTGTAGACACCCAAATGCCTCATTATCCTTAGTCAGAGCCAGCTGCAGCTTATCCTCACACCAATTCTTCCAAATAGTCATCGGCTAGCTGCTCAAGTGTTTCAATGTAAAATGACTCGCCATTGATGGTTGGTTGCTTCATAACGTCTTTTACATTGAACACCATCTTGCAGTCTTTACCCAAATTCAGCTCAATCTTGCCTCTTCTCACGTCTATTATAGCTCCAGCAGTGGCAAGGAAAGGTCTTCCCAAAATAAGGGTCTTTGGGTTCTTCATCCATCTCACTACCACAAAGTCAGTTGGAACTATCACACTTCCCACCTTGAGTGGCATATCTTCAAGCATGCCTACTGGAAGCTTAACTGATCTATCAGCAAGAATCAAAGAGAAATGACATTCCTTGTATTTCTCAAAACCCAAACGCCTTGCCACAGTCAAAGGCATTATGCTCACACTTGCTCCCAAATCACATAAACTCTTCTTGAAAGCTAATGGTCCTAGGAACAGGGAGAGTGAAGCTTCCAGGATCACCAAGCTTCTTGTTACTGCCTTGCTTTGAATTATAGCACTACACTCTTGAGACAAGACCACCATGCCTTGCACTTCTTTGGTTCTCTCCAAAATGGCATCTTTCAAAAATTTCTGATAAGGCTTGATCATCATGAGAGCGTCTATAAAAGGGATCTTCAGATTGATCTCAGACATTTGCTGATCAAAGACTTTCCTGCATTTTCTGCCATTTGCTTCTTGAACCTTGTTGGAAAAGGCAAGTTGGTTTGAATAGGTGGAGGAACAAAAAGAGTTTCCCTTTCTTCTTGTTCCTTTTGATGGCTCTGCTGCACTCCTCTCTGCTTCACAGGCTCTGGTTCCACTGATTCCTTTCTCAACACTCTTCAGCTTCAATGTCGACTGACTCCTCCTCCTCTTGAATCGCAATGTCCTCATTGCTTCTTGATGGTACCAACTCTCTCGGAAGAACTCTTCCACTCTTAAGAGTAATTGCTTGCACATACTCTTTGGGGTTTGTAATTGCTTTTCCAGGAAGCATTACCCTTTGAAGAAGATGGAATGTTGTGGCTCTTAGCTTCCAAGTGTTGAACTTTGAGTTCAATGATTCCAACTTCTTGTTGAGATCATTGTAAGAGCAGTCTACTTTGTTGTTATCTCCGCTAGCTTGGTGTTGAGCTCGGTAGCTCCACTGCTTGTCCTTTGATAAGTTGTTGAAGCATTGTCTTCATGTCAGATCTTGACTGAGCTACTCCCTGCTTGAGCTGAGTAGCCTTGATTCTGATTACCAAAAACCTTTGGTGGGTAACCTCGCTTGAAGTACACGGTTTGTTGTCCTCCTTGGTTTTGGTTGTTGAGGTGGATACACTTGATCTTGAGGATTCTCAAATTGGTGCTGCGATAGGAGAGGTTCGTGTTGTTGTTGTGTTTAACCCTTTGTAGTAACCTCCCTTGGTTGCTCATGTAGCACACTTCCTCTGTTTGTGGATCCTCCTCCTCTTGGTTCACGTCATCTTCACAAACAAAGTGAACTTGCTTTTGCTGTCCAGTCAAGATCTTGTCAAGCTTGTCATTCAGGGTCTTGAGCTCTTTTCTGTGTTTTCATCTTGACTGAGTTTCCTCTGTCACTTCGGTCATACTCCTCAGATATTTCCCATCACTAAGCGCAACATTCTCCACCAAGGATGAGACCTTCATCGACATCCTTTCCCATGAAGTGACCATTACTAGCTGAATCCAAATGCATCTTGTACTTAGGCTCCTCTGTACAAGTGTACTTAGAGGTTCTCTTTGGAGAAGCCATGTGTGGACACTTCATTTGATATCCCTTGAAACGCTCATATGCCTCAGCAAATGTTTCACCCGGTTGTTGAGTGAAACTCGCAATCTCATTCCGCAACTAGCTGTACGTGAAGTCGGGAAGAACTTGGCCAAAAATGCGTGCTTGCATTGCTCCCATGTCGTGACTGTTCCAGGTTGGATTGATGATTCCCAAGCTAGAGCTTTCCTCCCAAGGAAAATGGGAACAATCTCAGTTTGAGACCATCCTCAGTCACGTTGTTGATCTTTTGCAAAGCACATATTCCGATCAAACGTTTCCTAGTGCTTCAGAGGATCTTCATCTTTCATCCCATGAAAGATTGAATTCTCACCAAGTTTATCAAGCTCGTCTTGATGTCGAAGTTATTGTTGGGACCGGTGGTGGGGTAATGTCGGGGCGGTTTTCCGGAATGTTGGTGTGTCGCCGGCTCCGATTTGTCGCGCCGGACGTTGAGCATGAACCGGAATCCCTGGTGGTGGATTCACTCCCGGTGGAGGAGCTCCTCCGGCGTTAGCTGCCATTGTATCAGAATCAGAGTCGGGTTCTTGCAAATCTACCTCAGAAGTCGACTCTCGTTCAGCTCTGTTTCTTGCTCTGCATTCTCGCTTCTCACGCTCGGCTCGCTGAAGCTCGTGTGGACTTAACAAGTTCGAACTTCCACGAGAGCGTGTTTGCATACACCTGATTACAAAGCAGAGCAAATCCCAGGCAGATTAGATACAATAGACTATTAAAAATCAAAACTTGAACTCGAAATTTTTCCAAATCGAAAAAGCCCAATCAAAATCTCTAAGATTGGCAACGGCGCCAGTTTGAAAACATGATTTTTCACAGATTCAAACTCCTTTATCCCTGCTCATATCATTGCAGTGTAAGGTATCAATCCAAATCAAAGAGAGATTGGGGTCTTAACCGAATGCAAGAAAAGCTCAAGTCAAGAACAAAGACTTGGTTTTTAAGAAATCCGAAAGTTTCAACAGTAAAATAACGAACTAGAACAGTAAATTAACGGTCCAAACTAGAATCGAAGACAAAGGTTTGAACTTTCAATTAAAACGTTGGAACTTTATTAAAGGAAATGAAGAAAGGCGATGGCTTTAGGCGATTGCAGTTGAAAATCAAGCTAAAGGAAGAGACTTTTGGGCATAGAGACTAAGACCAAGCTTCTAGGCTAAGGAAAACAGAAGTAAAAACTCATCACTATCGTGAATGAGCTTGAATGTAAGGTCTAGGCTCAAGAACTTACTATCGTCAGTGAACACGGACTCAAACAAGCATTAAGCTTAGATCCCAACGCCAAAGAACCCTCCTAAACAATCGCTATCGCGAGCTAGGAGAGTAAATCCCTCGACTTAGATTATCTGACTCTCTAACACACTTTTGCTGTGTAGAGAGCTTGAGATCTGAGTCAAGATGATCAGAAAAGACCCAGCCTTAAGGGCACTAAGCGAGGAGAAGCTCTAAAAGGTCATAGCTTTAAACGCAAAGCTCCCCTTTAAACTCTCAAAACCACAACGCCTAAAACAATCTAAGGACTACTCACTCATCCTGTTTAACAAACCGATTCCATAGAGGAAAGGTTTTTAAACAAGTAAGTAAGATGAAATGAACAAAGAAATGAACAAGTACGTGATTTAGATTAAAAGGGAAAGAGATCCAAGCTTACAAAGTCTAAGATCTCAAACGAGAGTATTTCTTTGTGGCAAAATGAAAGACAAATTACAAGGTGCCTAAAATTTTAGGACTTTTAAGTTTATATAGTGGAGACTCTAAAACCCTTCTTCTTTCCGTCCCCAAGATTTAGGCTTCAAAACTCGGCGTTTCACTTAGTCTTGATATGTCTTGACTAAAGTCAACTCCCTTCTTGGTCAAGGAAAGCTTACAAGGCGAGAATCGGGTTTCCTGATCCTGGTTGACATCCTGGTTGCTCTCTGCTTTGACGTCTCCAACACTCCATAATCCCAATTGGCTCCAAAGCTCCCCAAAGTACCTGATTTAGACTCAAAATGCAATGTGTATGCAATGCAAGTGCCAAAAGAGGATACAAGTGTATAGATAGAGATATGAGGACTAAATGTATGCAAATGAGACTTAAATGGTGTAAAGATGCATGTAAAAGTATGCTAAAATGTGTAATATATGGATATATCAACAGGGTAGGTCGAGTTTTCACCCAGAAATACATACCTGAGGCCCTTGGGCAAAGGTTTGAGGTCCACCTTAGGTGCCTTGAGTTCAGACCAATCTCCTTGAGCTTGTTCCTTGCATCCGATGTCTAGCTCGATCGAGCTTGCTTGTTCATTCCCTGACTCGATCGAGTTCTCGGTCGAGCTCACTGCCAGAACTTCACAAAGCGGCTCGTCTAACTCCTCAATGCAAAAGATGTTCGGAACCGGTCTGAAAGTGTCAAGGAGCCTAGAATACTCCTCAGTTTCTGAATGCAGATACCCTTCAGATTGATCCATGGTGAGAGCAACTTGCAAGTGGTCTTCCAAAGACACTTCCTCCAAAAGTTCATCCGCCAACTGATCCATTTCTTCAATGTAAAAGAGTTGACCTTCTATTGTTGGCTTCCTCATTGTATCCTTGATGTCAAACTTCATCTTTAGGTCTTTTCCAAGGTTCAGTTCTATTGTACCTTCACAGACATCTATCATTGCTCTTGCTGTAGCTAAGAAAGGTCTCCCTAGTATCAAAGGGTCTGTTGGTTATTCATCCATTTCAAGCACAATGAAGTCAGTGGGGATTTCAACATTCCCTATCCTCAAAGGTATATCTTCAAGCATCCCAGTAGGCAGCCTTATTGATCTATCCGCACAAACAAGTTAGATTCCGCAGGCTTGATACTTGTGATAGCCCAATCTCTTCGCCACTGACAAAGGCATAAGGCTGACTGATGATCCTTGGTCGCAGAGGCTGTTCTTCAAGGATAGAGGTCCTAGCATGCAAGGCAATGTAAAACTCCCCAGATCTTCCTTTTTGTCGGAGATAACCTTTCATTGAAAGATTGCACTGCATTCACAAGTCAAAATCACCATTCCTTGCACCTCCTTAGTCCTTTGAAGTACAACATCCTTCTGGAACTTCTGGTAGGGTGGAATGAGCATCAAAGCATCAATAAATGGTAAGTTCAACTCAATCTCCTTTATGAGCTCCTCAAACTTAGCCTTGTGCTTCTCCAATAGCTGTTTCTTGAACCTTCCTGGGAAAGGTAGAGGGGGTTTGTATGGTGGTGGTGCGGATGGAGTGTCCTTCTTCTTCCCAACAGGCTGAGGTGGCTGGCTGGAACTAGCTTTGTCAGCTTGTGCTTTGGCTCGATCGAGTTCAGGTTTGTATTGTGGAACTTCTGGTTCAGTGTTGCGTTCAGGCTCGATCGAGTTTGGTGCAGGAATGTCTGAATACTCAACTAAATCCTCCCCTTCCTCGTCATCGATGTCCACAGCGATTTGGGGTGTACCAACTCTGTTGGGTAACTGTCGACCACTTCTTAGTGTGACGGCATGAGCATATTTGTGGGGTGATGAAGATGAAGCACTAGAAGACTCAATCATCTGAACCCTTGAAGTTAAAGATTCAATTTTTGAGTCTATCTCAACCAACTTGTTGTTCATGTCCAATGTACCCTTGGCTTGCCGTTGGAGGAGCTGCTGAAGCATGTCTTTCATATCCCAATCTTGACTTGGTGGAGTGTGATATGGAATTGGTGGAAATCCGGGTGGGACATTCTATTGGTGCAACGTAAAATTGGGTGAGAAACCTGGAAAAGTCCCTTGTTGTCTGTAGCCATGCGGAGAAATCTTATATGACGCAGGTGCTTGGTATGGGGTGTGGCCGTAGAAAGTCTTCTTTTTGTTTATAGGGACCTTTGCAATTTGTGGTTCCTCCCCTTCCTGGGCCTGAACTAGTGTTGTACTAGAGATAGAGTTGACTTGCTTCGCATGGAATTGAGCTAGGATCAGCTTGAGATCTCACTCCTTAGCTTGGTAGTGCAAGCGGTTGAAAAGAACTTGGAAAGAAATGCCTTCTTGCACTCATCCCAAATGCCTTCTTGCAGGCTCTTCTCCCATTGGTGAGCCTTGTCAGCAAGAGACATAGGGAAGAGTCTCAGCTTGATGGCATCTTCAGAGACACCATTGATCTTAGTCAAATCACACAACCTATCAAACTCATCAAGGTGATCAATGGGGTTCACTTGACAACCCATGGAACATCTTGTTCGCAACAGTTGATCATACCCAGCTTGATCTCAAAGTTGTGGTTCTGGACAGGTAGGTGGGACAATCCCTTGTCTTTGTTGATGGCGGTTTGGTGCATCTCCAAGTCCAATCGGTCGAGTCTGCCTAGCTCGACCGAGTCCATTACCCAAAGGGTTTCCATTACCCTCTGGTATGTCCATTGTTTCAGTAACAACCACCTCTGGTTCAACTTGTAGCCTCTGAGTCTTCTTTCTCTGTATTCTGCCTATGTTGATGTCCAACTCGACCAAGTCTTCAGTTGATGAGCTCGATCGAGTTCGCATACACCTGCAAAACAGTCAAAAACCCAGCAGTACAAGCAACAAAGGTGGGATAGCTTGATCGTCCAAGTGATTTGGAAACTCAAATGCAACAATTATCAAACCCAAATGGCAACGGCGCCAAATTGATGATAGGATTTTGTGTGATGTGATGAAATGATGTAAATGATATGAGGTGGAATGCAAACAGGGTGAATAAAGATGAGATGGTATGGTGCAATCACAATCAATCAATTCCTCTTAACCATCATAGTCGATGTAGTATAAGAGGTTATCAATCCATAAGGGTTTGTTGCTACTCTATGAGAATATGCAAACACAAGAAGTCAAGCAATACATAAAGATGAATGTTCTAACAACCTAATGAAATGAAATGCAATGCAGGAAAAGCAGTAAATAAAGCAGCTCGACCAAGGGCTCGATCGAGTAAAACAGAGTAACTGCTCGATCGAGTTGAGGGTCGAGTTAGTAAAAACAGAGGAAACAATAAAAGCGATAAAGTGCAAACTTTAATACTAATACGAAGGTTAGGGTCTAAGACAGGGTCTTGCGACTAGGGGAAGGCTATACTTAATCAATCTTGCTCATTAACCACTTGTACTCAAGCTATCTCTTGGTATTGAGCTTCTCAAGCCTAGCTAACCCTTTCCCAAGGTGAAAGCTATCATCTAAGGCAAGATCTCAGAAACAGGGGGTCAGCCAGTGAGAATCAAGCCTTAGAGGCAGTAGGATCATTGCTCAAACTAACCCATCCAACACCTATAAACTCCATTTCGAGAGCAAGCATATTGGAGCTCTTAGTGGACCTTTTCAAGCGATTTCCACTCATTCCCATGAGGAAAATCGCCTAGACTCATACACACCATGGTAGTGGTTGTGAGCCTTAAGGTTTGTCCAAAAGAGAGAGATTTTAGTTAAGAACATAAAGCAAGAGAGATTAAGCATAAGAATCCTCTAGTCTAGCCCATCTTAAACCCTAAAGAGAACTACTCACTACACATTGAAATACATAACAAATGCAATGAAAGAGACATTAAAAGATAGAGGAATGAAACTAAACAACTTTTATTGAAATAAGCAAGTGCAAAAATACAAGCCTAGATCTAAGGTTCAAGAGCAAGAGCTCAAGAACACAAAGAGAGGCTTAAAAGTAAATACAAAATTAATTAAAGAGCTAAAAGAAAATAAGCTAAAGAGAGTTGTCTTTTTCGTGGCTACAAGCCTTTAAATACAAGAGGATTAGGTTTAGGGTCAAAGGGGAGTCAAAGGGAAGCAACATTTTTCGGGTTTGACCATTGACTCCGCTCGATCGAGTTGGTTTGGCCGGTCGAGTTGACGAACTCGAGTTGGTCGAGTAGATGGGTCGAGCTGGCTTCAAGGCGGCTTCCTTCTTCATCCTAAGCATGCGCGGTCAAGCTGAATCCATGCACCAATGTCCTTCCTTGCTCCTCACGTCCCAGTTGCTCCATAGTGCTCCAAAAAGACCTATTTAAGGATCAAACATGCACATGTATGCAAATGCAACCTAAAACTACAATGAATGCATAAGAAGGGAAAAGGAACAAGATATGATGCTAATGGATGCTAAAACTATGCAAAAGATGCATAAAAGATGTACTAAAACTATGCAAAATGCAAGTACATCACTAACTCACTGACGATTTTAGTTTTGTTGAAGTTATTGCTTATAAGGATGAGCAAAGTGATAACTTAGAGCACATCACTACAATTCCAGAGTAACAAAGTCATGAGTCAACACAGTCTTATAAGATTCTTTTTTCAAGAGCATCATCATCCGTTGATACGGTGAGGATATCTCACTAAATTCAATATGAATAGTGTTCATATATTTTTGGTAAATAAATTAGATATTCGTCCAATCATAAAGTGAAAACTCTTGTCGAATATCTCATACAATGAGAATTAGTTCTCAAAAAGATAATCATTTCTTCTTCTCTCCTATTTTGTCGATTATTTTGTTTTTTTTTTTAAACTCACTCTCGACTGGTAACACTAAACGGAGTTACGGTCTCTACAGTAAAGCGACACAGCTCTGTCTTTTAGCGATTTTGGCGACTACTTCTTCTTCACAACCCAGTGTCTCTTTCTACTCTTACGGCCACTCCTCCGCCGATAGCATCTTCTCTGCTTTCCTCACCGAAAAACGTCATGTTCCTGTTCCAGAGGAAAATCACCGTTCTTTTTTCCCATGGTAGTCGCCGCAATTGATAAGAAAGGATGGAAAAGCATGGAGAAGACTCTCTCAGTAAGTTTAAACAGCAAAAGTCTTAACTAAACCCTAAAAGCCTCAATCTTCACTTTCTTCAAGGCCCCCACCGCCAGAGCCACAGCATGGAGTAGCTGCTCCCGCGCTACAACCAATCAAAATTTGATACAAATGTATAAATTATAATGCTAAACCGAGACCCTCCTGTTCTGGAACTTCCCGTTCCAATCGAAGCATATAGATCCTTCCTTGGGAGCTCTTTAGTTAGGTAACACAAGGCTCTTAAAGACCTTGTTTGTGGGTTCTGCTCGAGCTTTTAGGATCGGACCATTCATGTATTGGAAAAACAAAAAGTCCAATATGGCGGGAGATCTCTAATTTGAAACAGACGAGAGAAGACATTGGAGTTTGTTTGGCTCGCAAGGATCTCTGTGGGATGATAAGAGACTTGATAGATCCGAGAATCTTGAAGAGATCAATGAGGCATTTGAGTCAATTTCAAGTCTGTTAAGTGATGCCAAGGGCTTGCGTTCGGATCAAGCTTTCGTTAATGATGATGACGTGAACAATAACGACATGAAGAAGAAGAAGACAAGTGATCAGTTTTACAACATGAAACTGATCAAACCCTAATTCTTCAGCCAACTTCTGCAAATTTGTTGCATTCCTGATTAATTACAGAACACGGATACAAAGGTGAATCAAACCCTAAATCTTCTCCGTGATCATTTTCTCAAAACAGATACAGAGATTCTTGTATTGTATGATGATTTACCTGCAAATTTGAACGAGTTTGTCAAAAACACTGAAGAGAAGGATCATATACTGCTGATTTCTGACAATTTTAATAATGATTTTCCTGCAGAATTTGATGATGAAGAGATGGATCTTGATGATCAGCTCATAGATATTGCGACACTTTTTGAAGGATTGTTACGAGATGAGCTTGAAGAGTTTGCTGCAAGTTTTCCGATGAGTTCTCAAACTGCTGTTGGTAATGTCTTGATGGAGGCAAAGGGTCCAAATACACAGCGGTTGATGATGATATGTCGACGGATCCAAATCTGTTGTTTCCTAACTCTGAGGGTGTTGAAAACAGAGATTTGAATGAAGTCAATCTCAGCTTCTCTGATGTTTTCAATGAAATTACAGGAACCTGAACAAACAAGAATAAAATGGAACAATACACAAATCACTATTCCAACGAGATTCTTATGAAGATTTATTTAACCCAAGACTACTTACAATCTTGTTCAAGCAGGGAAACGCAACATCACAAGTAAAGACACAAAATAGAGATGGAACTAACACAAATGATTAACCAGGTGTTGGTGATGATAGATCAAATGATAAGATGGATAAACAGTGACCAAATGAATGATGATAGTGAACTGATGTGGGATGAACGAAATGAGAAGATGAACAGACAAAGATGAACAGAGATGATGTAATAATAGATATGATAGGGTGGATAGAGTACTCAACTTCAGAGTGTGCTCTGATACCACTTGATGAGACCTTCCCTAAGATCGGCACCTTGAGGTTGAGTATTAGATAGGCTTTGCATCAAAGAGATGGCGAGATCTCTTGGATCAAAGGATGTGGGGCGAATGTCCACACATAAGTTGCGGAAGAGCTTCTGATGTACCTCTCAAACCTTTTAGATATGACACACTAAAAGATCTAAGGATTTCGATGGAGAACCAACGAGATGATCTATACTTAAAAGAGATTTTGATAAAAAGAAAGATGAGCTTCCAGAGCAAGAGTACAAGGGATATAAAGAGAAGAAGATGAAGAGTCTAGTTTTGGAACAAGCTCCAAGACTATCTCGGAAATAACAAAGAGAAAATAAATAGAACAAGTTTGAATAAAATAGAACTATGACCCTTAAAATTCGAAAATAGATATGTTGTGCTCTTCCCATGTGATGGGCTCGGGTCTGATTGATAATGGGACCATTTGGAAGTGTTACTTAGGCCTCATTAAAAACCTTCTAAGGAAAACCAATAGGGACAAAACCTTAGAAGGAAAAAAGAGTGCAAAGCAACACTTATCCCATTACCAATCATCTTGGGCTGTTATCAAAACCATGGTGGTTTGAATAACTTTTTCTTCATTATGGCTCAAGTGTCTAAGCATCCCACTAATGGCCTGGTTGAATAGCTTAGTCTTTGATCGAGTCATTGGACTCGTTGGTCCAGTCAAGACATCCTTGGCTACAAACTGCTCCGCGGCTACAAGCTGGCCTTCCTCTCGTTCAAGCTCTGGTTCAAGCTCCGCCTCATGTTCCTTGGTCCTAACCTCGGCCATCGTCATATCATCCCCTCCCTCAAATCTGTATCATCTGCAATAAAAGGAGACAAGTCAGAAACATTTAAACTAAGACTTATGTTGTACTTACCTTGGAGATCAAGTTAATAGGAATTGTCATTGATCCGTTTGGTTATGGTGAATGATCCATCAATCCTAGGAATCAGCTTGGACTTCCTCTCTGCTGGGAACCTTTTCTTCCTCAAGTGAACCCATACTTGGTCGCCAATCTCAAAGATCATTTTGTGGCGGCTCTTGTTAGCTTGCTCAACATACTTCCTTGTTTTCTCTTCAATTTTTTTCAGAGCCTTCTCATGAATTTGATGGACCATCTACGCCGATCATTAGTCTTTGATCGAGTCATTGGACCCCATTGGTCCGGTCAAGACATCCTTGGCTACAAGCTGCTCCGCGGCTACAAGCTGTCCTTCGTTTGGTTCAAGCTCTGGTTCAAGCTCCGGTTCATGTTGCTTGGTCCTAACCTCGGCCATAGTCATATCAATGGATTAGCTGCTCCCGCGCTACAACTAATCAAAATTTGATACAGATGGATAAATAATGATGCTAAACCGAGACCCTCCTGTTATGGAACATGATTGGTTTGTAATGGAGAATGGAAAGAAGAAGTCAAAAGTGATAAAATCGACGAGAATGCTTGATATTGATTGTGAGATGGCAGTGAAGCTGTTGTTAGAGTTGGCGCTGTGGACCGTGATTTAAAACTTCTTAATCTTCTCCTTTTTCATTTTATTTGAAAATTGTAGTAGTGTTCTTAATCTGATGCTGATGAATGAATCAAGAGGATCTTGACAAATATGTGAAACCGATCGTACAAGTTCTTGACTATAAGAGGGATATTACTGGAGTTACTGTTGAGGATGTTGAGAAAGCTACCCTATCTGTTGCAGACATACATAAAAAACTACATTGGTTTCTATCTTGCAAATAGTATGTACACTAACGTTCATATTTTAATGATTTGGTACGTGTTTAGGGTTGTAGGATCGAGGCCTTGGTAATAAATCATCTCATTATTCCGTATTTCAATGAGATGTTAACAGAGGGCAATTGGTTTATAATATGTGAATTTGTTGTTGAGCGTAATCTTACGTGGGGGAGAAGATATACCCGTAACCTTAGACATATTTCTATTCTTAATCATACGTACGTTAGACCGGTCACAAAACAGATGAAGTCAAGTTTCCTGTCGTTCGTCGACTTTGAGAAACTGTTTAATTTAAACTTTCAAACATCCTTTCCCATTGGTTCGTTCCCATAATCTTTGTTTTGCATATGCAAATATATATATTTTTATGTTATTGTATATATTACGATTGCCTGATATCGAGTATGTTTTAATTCCATACATGTTTGGTGCTCTTGAGTTTCGTGGGTTTATGGAAGATAGGGTTACAGTTGATAGTCCAAATTTGGCCAAATTTAGTCTTTGTGATGCTAGGTAATTATTGTTCCATATTTCATCGTATGTGATTCGACTTTTATAAACAAGATAACATGTCTAATATATGATTTTTTAGTGGTCTACGTATACACTGTATCGCTGTGGGAACCTTGGTTGAAGAGCTAAATAGGAAATGGCGGTCTCATAATGATTCCATAATCGTATGTGTTTTTTCGGATTGGTTCTTTATAAACGATAGAGGTATTTTACAAAAAAAAATTATTTGTCTGGAATATCCATATAGTATTATATTATGTGTTTGTTAGTATCCTAGGATTAGAGTGTGTGGACGTATATTATTACATGGTTTCATGTTGCGCACTACAAGTGAGTTTCCACAAATGTGGAGTCACACAGGTATATTTCGGATTCCTTACCTCTTCCGGTTCCCAAATTAGGTCCATTTGGTGTCACACAAGTAAAATCAAGGTGATTGACGGAGGAAGTATTTCGCGTATACACATTATTCCGATCACCTACGAAGCCGCTGACTTCTTGGAAAGGTAAACATATAAAACGCTTTTATACTGACTTGGCATATTATCTGTGACAAAGTTTAGTAATTAGTCAAATTCGTTTAAAATGTTCAACGGCATGGATGGAGATCTGAAGAATGATGGTTACATGTCTAAATAAGCACTAATCATAGACCGGTTGAATTTATTTAGATATTTTTGTTTGCTTCGCTTATGTTGCGTCCGATTTGGAGTTTTCAGTTTGGTTATAAGATAATATGGTTATTTTGTAGAAACTTTGATTTGTGTTTATTATCTATCGTATACTTCAGTTTTGATTTAAGTTACGATCAACTTCATAGAACACAGCTATTTGTCAAATACGTCAGTTTTGATTTAATATTTTATCAGTTTCACATAATAGTTAGTCTAATTCTTTGAAATATGGACGAAATAATTGAACTTAGGCAATACCATCTCATTGTTGTAGTACTATCCTCCTGTTTTGTTTGTATGATATCCCATGCATAGATATTATTTCTGTTATAACACCGCATGATACGACTTCAAATATTTATTACATATTCCGCGTATCGGTCTAATTGATATACCTCTAATTTACCACTTTTTATACTGTTTTAGCATTGTTTTCTAATGGTTTTTGGCAGGTTTTCTATCTAAAAAGGTAGTTTTACTGTGTTTATAGTGTCTAGAGTCTAAACAGGTGAAATGATGCATTTTGGAGCAAAACCATAGGATTTGCACTTCAAGCCGCTCCATGCACAAGCACCAACTTTAAGAGGGCCCAGAAAAAGATCTACTCAATGGATTTCATCAAGACCAGTTCCCTGCGTGCTCTGATTGAGTTAACTTTCCAACGCAACTGGAACGGCCTAATTTGGATGAGTAGAAAAGGAGTTATAACCAAAAGAGTGAAGACTGTCCAGACGGCTCTATCGAGAACAGCGCCCAACCGCGCAGTCCGGCTGGCCGAGGAACGAATGTTCCGCGCTCGGCCAAATTGTCCGTCCGTCTGAAGTCTCGGCCAAAGTCCAAAACCGCTCGGCCGATCACGCATCACGACCCGGGAAACTGCCCGCGGTCGGCCACGCCACAACCGCGCACGACCAAAGCGCGCGAGCCGGGAAGTAACGCCTCGCGGCCGCGCAACTCGTCGCGTACCGGCCGAACGCTCCGTCCGAGCCGGGAACTACGTCCCGCGTCCGGCCGAGAGATTTCATCGGCCAAATCTATCCGCTCCGACCACGCCGGCCGACCGTGAATCCGTCCGACCGTTCCGACTCGGCCACGACCCGATGTCCGGCCGATCGTCCCGACCGACCGTCCCAACGCCGCGGTCGACCCGAAGCCCGTTTTGAAGCCCAATTTCATATTTTCAAGCCCGGCTTAACCCTAAGCCGCCTCAAAAGACCTAGCACTATATATATAGCTTTTTAGCCTCTTGTGAAAAGAGAGCCGCCCTTGTATTTCGATTTCCTACTCTAAGTTTTATTGCAATCATGTTTTCTTCATCTCTATGTGTGTTTGCTTTGATCATGTCTGAGTAATCCACTAGTTAGGTTGCTAGGGTTACTATTCAATGAGTTGCTTGCATGATCTTTGATTTCAATGATTAGCTAGGGATTATATTAGAGTCTTTGTCTCGTCTTGTGCACTTAACTAATGCTGATTGCTTTACCGCGCATCTAGTAATCCGATCTTAGGTTGATTTGAGCCTCGACAGTGCTGTATCATTCGCCGGACATATTCTTTGACAAGCTAGGTTTCTTAGACTGCGAAAGTTGATCTACTATATCTAGTGAACTGTATCAGAACCTATTCATTCTAAAGCTTGATTTAATCACCTAGGGACATACCAAAAGTTTAGCGACTAGGTAGATTAACAAAGGAGCCGGAGCCTCGAAAGTGGAATGGTTTTATATTCGTGATCTGTGTTCTAGACGGTTCTTAATATCCCAATATCCCTAATCAATTCATCTATCATTGTTTCATTGATCATTGCTTGCTTCTCTGCGATAGCCCCTATGACCTAGCGCTTTTCCTTATTGATTTACAACCTCGTTATACTTGCTAGTTCGGTTCACCATTACAACCTCAATCATACTTTTGTTTTAGCTTGATCCAAAATCCATAGTTTCAAAGTGTACTCAATAGCCAGTCCTTGTGTTCGATACCCATACTTCCGCGATCTGTGCACTTGCAGAGGTCTAGGAGTTTGGTAAAACCTGACTCCACATCACTAATGTTAACTTATGATACACATAAAGATTATTACGAAATCCGAACCAAATATAAATGGTAATATCCCAATTGTTGTCTTCGCAAAATTAATAATATTCCTAATAATATTAATGGTAAACATCGATACGCTAATATATCTATCTAGGGTATTAGATTCTCAGGCTATCAATAGATAGGAAACTACATTCAGATGCGTCAAAAGATAACTACTGCTGTAACTAATCAATATATCTTATTTTAAAAAAAATTAAAAAATTAACATTTTATTAACAGGTAGTTCTCCGTAAATACATAGAGAAAGTTAACTGGTCCGAACGTCAGAAAAAAAATATTTAGTGTATTAGTCTCGCAACCGGTTTCTTCGACCTAGCAAGATGGAGAACAAATATGGGTGCAACATGAATGCAATTTCCATGATTTGTATGTTGCATAAGATTTTCTCGATTTTCTTATATGTGTTATAATTTAATGTACAATCACTAAAACCATAATTAACATCTACTGATCGAAGCTATTGGTGAGACGCGTCGGCGATCTGCATTTCCCACTTGGGATGAGAAAGCTATCTTACTCGCTGCGAATCATCACGTCTGTCTGGACCATCCTTTGTGATGCTGCAAGATTATGAAGGAAGAAGTTGACAGGGGCAAAAAAGAGACGAAGGCAAACTATTGGTTAGTCTTTTACTATCTATAAAATATAGAACATGTGTTGAACTTACTTGTTGTTCTTAGGAAATCTATTACGCAAATAGACTCTTGAGTTTGCTGTCTATGATTGCGGATCTTAATCTTTTTTATATCGCGGTTTGTATTAAAACTCTCATTACTGTATCGTGAGTGATGTTATATATAATTATTTACATCTATGTATTTTTCTCATATTTTCTATGTGAGTATATCACAGACAATGGAGGTCAATGCAATGATGAAAGATCATGGTTTAGACAAACGGTCTGACACTTTTGACGACAGTGCCAGTGATGTAACCACGGTTGTTTCGGCAAGTGTGAAAATGATAAAACAGAAGAAGATGATGAATCAGCTGATATTGAAGAAGAAAAAGATGAAGATAGAGACCTTGATGATCATGATGTTAGTAGCGAGGACAGTGAAAGTGAATCTGATTCTCTTGAGGAGAATTCTGATGATGATGGTGCTGACTATGGCCTTGGTATAAAAGAGAATAAGGTTAAAAATCCATTGGATTCTATTCATTCGGAAACCGTATCATTCATGAATGGTTTATTTGTTAATATTTTCAAACCGCTTATAAGAAAGCGTGTTGAAGAAGAACGACGCCATCGAGGATTGACCGTGCCCGATAAAGCCACACTGAATGTATTTCACGTCTCGCATTTGAAACCTGGTCAATACGATTCTTGCATTCAAGTGTGTGTCTTATGTAAATGGGTTTTTGATGTCGGTCCAAATAGAAAGAGAATCGAGTTGGTGCTCTGCGGTGGAGATTTATGATTTCGTTATCTATAGATCGCGTATAAAATCACATGTTAATTATTGTAAGGAGGTTTTCATCGTCTAATCATGAAAATATTTGATAGACCAAAAGCCTAAGGAATCGTTTTGCCACATTACTCACAATTTGGCATATACCGAGTTACAATTTATTTATTTAATCATATCAAATCGTGATTCTATTCTCTGATTCCTTCTTCTGACATCTCCAAACATAATTTACTCTTTATGGATTAACTTATATGTTTCCAATTTATGCTGATGGTTTTGTTTCGTTCACATCATTTTATTTTCTTGGGCGTTTATTTCTGTTCGTCTAGACGTGAGATAATGGCTATAAAAATCCATTACATCAAATGCGATGCAATACAATGTGGCCGAATCTGTAATAAGACTAATAAACTTCTTCAAACATGAATAAATATGCGAGTGGAACAGTATATATGGTGTATTCCGTTTAGCACGCCTACCTTTTGAAATTCTAAACTTTCTATAGTTGTATTTTGTGTAATTTGAAGTGTTGATTCTAAGAATTCACAAGTATTACGTAAATATTTACCATCATCTAATTTGGTCAACATATTGTGGATCTGGAACGCTGGTATCAAACACTGTCTCTAATGTCCATATTGTCTTTCTTGAATTTTCGCATTCTTGGCTGTTTTCAGAATAATGAACAGCTTTTAGTTGCATGTGACTCTTCTACTTACGAGACATACATAGTCAACAAATTTATAGTTTTGTGTGATAACTTCAATGCAATAAAATGATCTGTTCGACTAGACTCTTTACATGCATATTCATACAACTTGAGAACCGTACCTTTCCCTTATCTCTTTCAGTCTCCAAATCACGTATCTCAAAATTCCAATGGATAAGTTGCTTCCAACAACCTGTATAGATAACTTATTGCCTCTACGATTGACTGGACGATAGTGATGGTTTTTCGACTGTGGACAGAACTTGATGATAATGGATATGACATAATAAAAATGATATGCAGCGACATGTAGGTTGTATTAATATGTTCTTCTTTCTCTTTCAGAATTCTATTAACGGCGTCATCCGTTGTTGATGTTTTTATTTTGTAGGGCATGAAAATAGTTGCTACTATTAGACATAGATACCCGAGAGATATGATGGCAGGATAAAACAAGGCGACTGGAAGATGCTCTTGATGTTCAGTGTGATTCCGGTTACTGGTGATGTTAGATATACCAAGCACCAATGTGAGATCATTTTTAGAACTGCAACAATGGTCTGTGACATCGACCCAAAATCTAATAGAATTTTCGTGGATGCTCCGTGCATTTCAGATATTCAGAATTTTATGGTTGAAGAAGACGTCTTGACAGGTTGGTCTACTGTATATGAATCTTGCTAAAGTATTGTGATGCTGTTGGTGATATAGTCTTTATCACAACATTTATTTTTATTTTCAAGATATAATCGGATTTGTTGCTTCCGTTGGATATCTGAGGAAAAATGAGGATGGTTATCGGACGCTGAAGTTCAATCTTATCGATGAAAAGTGAGATTTATGTGTGTTTCAATAATGTGTAATAGGTGTTATAATAATATACACGAATCGTTACAATCGTATTCCTATGCGGATGTTTATAACTAACTTTTCAATTGTAATTTAGTGACCATCTCATCGAGTGCACTGCATGTGATTCTATTGCTGATAAATTCTCTGACCTATGGCCGGGCAGTGGAAATATTACCAGAATTTGTCTTCTAAGGTTTATGAGGATTGAACAAAGACGTAAGATATTTTGTTTGTGTTCAATTGCGTTAGTTTTACTACCCTAAAAATAATGTTTTCGGGGGATTGTGACGGTGGTTTAACGCTCTATTCCACAGATGGAACTACGAATGATATGATTCTTTGATCTTTTTCCGGGTATTCCGAGTTCATTTTTAATCTAGATGTACTAGAAGCGGAAAGGTTTATAGACAGGTACCAAACTATGGCTGATCAAGGATCGATTATCGACTGAGCACGGTCTACATACCATTTCGTCATACTGAGATGCTATGGTGATCAATGACAATGTACAAGAATTTTTTAGTTTGTTGGTAAAATACAATTCAGTGACAACGGTGATGATGTTGTCTATATACGTTTGAATCCACATTTTTCAAATAATTATATATCGAATGTAAAATTTATCTTCCTATAATATTATAAAACCAGTGTACCAACTTTTGTATCATAAATATTGTGCCATTAACGGATTGTTGTAGATATAAATAAAAGATCAAAGATAAAAACAACTCTCTTTCTGTTTGACGCTATGGATGCGTAAAAAAACAAAAACAGTAGAGTAAATGATAAAAAATGATAAATAATATTACTATGAATACTAGCTTCTAATTTGCATCATCTTCGTTCTGAGTATGACCGAGTGATAAACATGCACCTTTGAAGCTGTGATGACCAACGCCTCCCACGGTCCTTATATCCTCAAAACTAACCGGACCCCTAACAACTCCTAGCAATATCCTTAGATAATAAGCCTCTCCATAACGTGGTGGTACGTGTGGAAGAATCACGTTCTTTGATGCCCTGCTTTGCCTACACCTAGGTTTCCATTCTTTTTTTCTGTTCTGACCAAACCCATCTCGATGGAAACTCTGTATAGAGGAGTGTTCTTGGTTCGGGGTTTGATGCTTTGCAATCCATCCAAGATGTAAATTTGTTCTTTGGAGGCAGTTTCACAAGTTCCGGGTCGTCGGCCTGAAAAATTATAAGGTTGTTGCCTAGGAGATGAAAAGGTAGTACTTGCATCTTGCGGTAGCGTAAAGAAACCCTAAATAAAAATAACAGATGACGAATGAATGATACAACACCGTTCCCATATATATATATATATATTATCTTCTAGAGAAGTCCTAATCATTGAATCCCTAAAAAATATAGAAAACGATATATATGGACTATATATATATAATATATATATATATATATAATATTCCGAAGTAACAGAAGATAAATTAGAGGTTCGGGATACTATCTAAAAATATCGAAACCTACCAAAGATTTAGGAAATGTACCATATATCACATTAAAACGTATTTTATAATAATTTATAGAATATATATAGCTTATAATCATAGTCCGCGCCGTTAGGATTACTGAAAAAAACATAATATCAAATCAGATTTTAATGTTTGATATAGAACATATATGGTTCGACTCGGCTATTATCACATTATCTTTGGTTAGGATTTTATGAGACTTCATTTTCTCTTTCATATAATTGTTTAAGTGAGGATCCGGAATGGCTTTCAAATCAGAAATTTTCATAATATCACGTCAAGATGAACCAAATTTATTTATGTTCTTTTCGAAGTTCATGAAGTTAAAAGAAATGAAACGGCACAAAGAATATAAATGAGTTAATCATATATAATTTGTCGTTCTTGAAACAATACAACTTTTCACAAATCTACGAATCTAAAAAAACTCTTAATCTTCACGTCCTCTCTCGCAATCTTCTTCTTTGCGATGGCCACATACTGAACTGTCAAGCAACTTTTGCCATGGGAATATCCACTCACAATACGCGTTAAGATCTTCAGGAAATCGGAATAACGGAACTTTGATGGTAGGATGATCATCGATTACATCTTAGTCGATCAGCATGTAAGTTATGTTTGTAAATATGAAATAGATAAAAAGTCCTTAGTTAAACAATATCTTAGAATGATCAAATATTCATTAGATATGTATAGATCTGATATGAACCGGAATGTTTGTGTCAGGGTACAAAAATACATGCAAGGGTGAACAGCTACAACTTCCAGAGTTATCGCATCGCCTTACCAGAAGCAAAGTGGTGGGAAATTACCAATTTTATCGTCTCAAGTAATAATTGGCTAGACAACAAGTTCATGGTTGCGCTCATGATTTCATGATCGTTCTAAGGCGTGAAATAGAGGTTACGCCTCTTTATCCGCTTTTAAACAGACACTTCTTCGAATTTGCAGATTTTGAGAGAGTCATCTCTGGCAGACACATTATTGCAAATCCAATTGGTATGGTTAATCTAGATTGGTTACATAGTTTATTTGTGATTTATAATCATAGATTATTAGTAACATGGTCTATTATATTTGTTCATTGAAATAGTATATATTATTTTACCTTTCCTGCAGATTTTATTGGAGTCATTGGATAAATGGGTAATCTTTCACCACCAAGCAAGGATGTTGAGGAGAAAAGATCAATTCCCTTTCACTTGAAGAATGAGAGGTGATTACTAAAATTTTAAACTATATGACCGTATAAACAAGAACTATATTCTGATATTTGTCTATCAAAAAGGAACGAGGAACTTTATTGCATTGCTCATGGAGATTTAGCTGTGGATATGTACAAGAAAGTGAATGACAGTGAATCTGACGACGTTGTTTGCGTTCTAAGTGAATGGAGAATTGCCGAATCGGATGGTAAATGTTATTTGTCCAATACTATCGTTTTGTTGTACCATCTGTTTGATCTATATATCGATATCTTAACTAACATAGATGCGAAAAATAGGGGACATCATGATTGTGGATGGGAGAGGGTTGTCTAGGTTTTGGTTTGATCCAAACATACCTGAGGTGCAATTGATGAAAGATAGGTAGTAAAAACCCAGAAAAGTTTTAGATATGAAGAGTTTAAATCATAATATTTTATTGATAGCAAACTCTGATCAATTTCTTATTTGTTATATGTAGGATGGCCGATCAAATGGAAGATGCAACAATCAAGAGAATGTGCAGAGTAGAAAAAGTTATAAGCATATATGTTTCATTATAAACATTTTATTAACCTTTTAAAACGCCTATGGTGTCTTACCTTCACTGGATATGTACTTATGATTTTCTCATCTCCTCCCTTAAGTCTCTCTACAACTTAATCTACAACATATAATCTATGTTATTTTCATTATGAATTATTCATTTGTATCCCAAAATCAAGTATAGGTTCTCATGGAGTTCATATGCATTATGTATTATTAAAAGGTTCAGAATTATTCGTGACTCTAATTATTTTTATAATTGACATATAATTAGATTTTACTTTTATTAAATATATATTACAGTTTATAAATATCTATCTCCTAAATAAATATCATAGCCTGCGCCATTAGGCGTCGGGCACCCACCTAGTTATCAAATAAAGTAGAAAACATGTTTCAGGTTTAACATTTGCTAATAGTGTTTAACAAAAAACACTTATTATTCATTCCTAGGAATTTTGTTTTCTCAAACTTATTTTTCAAATTAGGTCAATGGTTTTTTTGTTTAACAGATTATCAATGCGCTAGATAAAATATTAGCTCCTGTGGCAGTCATTGTTACGTAGATAAGCAATAGCTAAATATTTAGTTTAGAAAAAACATTAATAAAAACTAGATTTCAAAATCAAATGTGAAAACAAATCAAGCATTAGATTCCTTATATGCATGTGTGTGTGTGTGTGTGTGTGTGTGTGTGTGCGCGCGCGAGTGTATGGAGATGGTTGGTAAGAACTGCAACAATCTTGAGACTCTAAAACGGAATAAGATGGATCCATCAGAGGTCGAGAGGTTAGAGCACACAGGTTAGAGCACACAATGTTAGTGCCTTATACATATTTGGAGGATCTATCTAACATGAGAATGTTAGTGACTTTAGGGAATGTTGATGTTTATACAATTGTGAGACACATGCGTCAGCTGAAACACTTGGAACTTCAATTCTCCACGCTAACTGATATAGCTCTTGACAGACTTTGTAAAGCTTGTTCGATTCTAGAGTATCTGGATTTGTTTGGGTGTCTGGAACTTGACTAGCGATGGTGTTACTAACAGTATCTCACTTCTCAAGAATTTGAAGGATATCAAGAAACCAGATTTTGAAGCTTTAGTCTTTGACTACTGAATTCATAATGTTTTGTGATCATACTTTCTCTTTTTTGGTTGAGTTCAAAAAGTCAAAAATACTCAAATTACATATCTTTTGATTAGAGTTTGCTGTTATTTTTTTTTTTTTTTCTGATTATGTTTGTGATTGGTTTTAGTTAGACAACAGCTGTAAAGGATAAAAATCAACAAAAAAATTGCGATGTTTTGTAATCTAATTTAATTTATGTTGTTTTCCCATTAGCTATCGCTTAATTATGTAAGAAAATAAAAATAGTAGTTATAGAGTTTGTTTTAGGAACAATTTGCAAAAATACCACTAATATGTTTCTTTACAAAGAAAAAAATTACAATTGCTTATATGGAAATTTTGAACTTAACCAAGGAGATTTATTCAGTACTGAATTTCTAATGATTTGATATTGATAAGTTTATTTTAACAATTTTTGGAGGAATTTGGAGAAATTGTTATGATTTTTGTTGAAATCTTCATGACACTATACTTGGAACCATGTATTTAAGTTAATATTGGTAGACGTCCTAAAATGGGTAAACGTCGAATAATTTATCAGCTAAAAGGTCCAAACATTTGAACTTTTCACCTTGATTAGAAGACTATTCGTAACTTCTTAGTTAAAGAATCGAAACGACCAAGCTCTCTAACTATCAACAAGGTAACTTGAGAAACAAGAAATCTAAAAGCCAACACATTCCATAGCTAAACCTTTAAGACAATTAACTCATCTTCTTCTTTGTTGTACGATTCCTAGACTCCTAATCAATTGATTCTTTTTCGTTGTCGATCAGATGGGACAAGCAATTTCCAACATGATGGGATCAGGGTGTTTCAAAATAAAGAAACAAAAAACATGATGAGATCAAGGTGTTTCAAAAAGAAGAAAAAGACATGATGGGATGGTCCATCCGAACTCGGCCCTGACTGGACTGAGTTGACTCGGGAATGTCTCCTCGACATATTCTCACGGCTGAACATGGAAGAAAGATCAACAGGACCGATGCTGGTCTGCAAGACGTGGATGAACGTGTGCCAAGACCCGTCATTCAACTTGGTCTTCGATCTCGATGCTAAATATTTGGCTCTCCCCACTTCGAACAGCTGGTTGTGGGGTCCACAATTCGAGGATAATATTGACTCTCTCCTCCGCTCTGTTGTGGATCGGAGCGAAGGAGCTCTGACGGAGATTCGAGTCTGGCACTGCACGGATCGATCTATCTCGTATGTTGCGGAGAGGTAGGTCTCAGTTTTCCAGATGCCGTGTTTTACACTTAATCCCTTGGAGGATTGAAATCATCTTATTCTTCCTAATCGCTTACCAAATTTGATTTGGTTTGTTTTGTAGGTGTCCTAATCTTGAGGTACTTTGTGTTAAGTATAGCCCAAAAGTTACAAGTTAAGTCGATGAACTTGATAGCCTTAAACTGTCATAAACTTAAGGAACTTGATATAAGTTGCTCTTATGAAATATCTTGCCTGTGTATCGAAATGGTGGCTAAGAATTGCAAGAATCTTGAGATTCTAAAACGGAATATGATGGATCCTTGCGAGGTCGAGAGATTAGAGTACACGAGGTTCGTGCCTCAGAACTATTTGGATAACAACCCTATCGACATTTATAGGAATGTTGATGCTCATACAATTGTGAAACACATGCGACATCTGAATCTGAAGCACTTGGAACTTCGATTCTCCACATTGACTGATAAAGCTTTTGACAGACTTTGTAAAGCTTGCTCGAGTCTAGAGTATCTTGACTTGTTCGGGTGTAAAAACTTAACTAGCGATGGTGTGTCTAACAGTACCTCGCGCTTGAAGAATTTGAAGAAGCTCAAGAAACCAAATTTTACAGCTATATAATACTTCGACTGAATTCATTTGTTTTGTGCTATACGTATCTTTTTTCCTTTGGTTATATTCAGTAAAGTCTGTTAAGCTGTTTTGGCACTCACTCGTCCCTAAGTTTAAGGAAGTTTTCACAAGCTTGTTCCTCATCGTAGAAGCCAGAGCAAAAATCATCTCTTTTGGATAACTGATTCTTCTTTCTCTTTATCTCCTTTGTAATACAGCATGCAAGCCTACATTTTGCAGTACTCAAATGGCGGTGAGTAACCACAACTAATCATATGATTTTTATGGTTTCTGCATATTTATTTTTATGATTTACAAAATAATTATCTTATGCTCTATTTTTGTTTCTCCCATCAGCTTGCTCAATTTTGTAAGAAAATAATAATACTAAATGAATACAGAGATTCTTCTAGGAACAATTGCAAAAATATACTTAATAATAAAAAACCACCACTGTGTATTTTTCAAAAATAAAACTGCTTAAACAAACAAACTTATTACTAGGAGATTTATTCCATATTCGATTTATAGTAATGCTTTGCTTTTTATAACTTTTTAGATTAAGTTTAATGATCAAATATGAATTTAGGGAATTTTTTATGATTTTTTAGTAAAATCAAATCTTCAGAATAGTACTTGGAAGCATGTATTATAGTTGAGATTTGTAAACGTCCTAAAATGGTTGAACGTCGAATCATTTATCGGCTTAAAAGTCCACAGAGATTTGACTTTTCACCTTGAGGCGAAGATTATTCGTAAGTTCTTACTTGAAAGGATCAAAACGACCAAGCTCTCTAACTATCAAGAAGGTAACTTGAGAAGCAAGAATTCTATAAGCGAATACATTTATAACTAAACCTTTAAGATATAACTCATCTTCTTCTTTGTTGTACGATCGACTCGTAGTCAATTAGTTCTTCTGCGTTGTCCATCAGATGGGACAAGTAGATTTCGTTGTCCATCAGATGGGACAAGCAAATTCCAACATGATGGGATCAAGGTGTTTCAAAAAGAAAACATGATGGGATGGGGTCCATCCGTACTCGGCCCTAACTGGACTGAGTTGACTCTGGAATGTCTGCTGAATCTGAGATAGCACTAGTAAAGACGGGATACTAAAGATGTGAGTTTAAGGAACTGGGTGCTTGATTAACTCGAAGAATATCAAATATGTTATAAAGGAAGTGGTCTCGTCACCAGGCCTGACGAGACGAACAATAGCGAACAAGAGGAAAAACAAGGAGAGTTCTAATGCCTAGATTTCTTTTAGCTTAATTGCTGGTGATTCTGAATGATTCCCGGATATGCTGGATGCCTTTCCACGAATGGAGAGTCTTTATTATATAGTGTTGATAGGTCGGCTTCTTGATGAATATTTTCCTTCCGGCGAGATGGATAACTTCCTCTTCTGCGATATGGAAAACTTCCTCTTGTTCTCGATTTCCTTCCATTCCTCGAGTCGGCATGAGACTTTGTTTATATTTCCTCATGGATTGTGCCTTTCTTCTCAAGTCTTGCCATATTGTTGAGGAGGTTAGGGCTAAAGTCGGATTGGGCTTTATGATTTTACTCATGGTGACGGGCTCAAGGAAATGTGCTAATTTCACCTCTAACAATGTTTCATCGACATATTCTCATGGCTGAGCATGGAGCAAAGATCCACCGGACCATTGCTGGTCTGCAAGACGTGGATGGACGTGTGCAAAAGACCCGTCGTTCAGCTTGGTCTTCGATCTGGAAGATAAATTTCCGTCTCTCCCTAATTCGAACAGCTGGTTGTGGGGTCCAGAATTCGAGGATGATATCGACTCTCTCCTCTGCTCCGTTGACGTTGGGAGCGAATAGCTCTGAGGGAGATTCGAGGTTGGAACTGTACGGATCGGTCGATCTCATATGTTGCTGAGAGGTACGTCACATTATCCTTTTAGAATATAAGTTATTTTTATTTAAAAATATTGTTACAACAAAGCAGAGGATGTTTGTGTTGTGTCTTGTCCCAAAACAGAGAAGGCCTATGAGCCTCAAGGCACCATCATCAACTTACTGCAACGTTAAGATCAGTCACTCTTGCCGAAGATCAAGCTATTTCGTCATCATAGAAGGCAGAGCGAATCATCTTCTGGATAACTGATTCTGCTTTCTCTTTGTCTCCTTTGTCAAACAGCTTGCAAAACAACATTTTACAATACTCAAATGCAGAGCCGTGCTATAGTGTTAAAAAAAAGTGCATTTGCACTGGACCCCCAAGATATATATTTATAAAGGCCCCCAATTAACAAAAACTTATCATATCCTAGTGGTTTCAGTAGTTTCATATGAGGTGCATTACCCGAATTCAGCTTCCTTTACATTCTTGCTTTTATTATTATTATTTTTTAATTTAAAATTTTAATAAAAATATTAATATTCAAGAGGCCCCTTTTTTAAAATTTGCCGTAAGCCCCCCAAATGGCGGTGAGTGACCACAACAGATCATATCCTCCACAATCTTCAGAGCCTCACCATACTTTTACATCTTGCAGCAACAACCAACAAGTGCAATACATGAAAGTGCATGGGGGTACCGATACGGACTGTGAATGATACAGAAAGTAGTACGAGCATAAATAGTAGTAAAGACACATAGAGTTTGTTAACGGGGTTCGTTTCCTACATCCCCGGGACCTCGTCCAGAATCCACTAGAACAAGATTGCAATTACAGTTGCTATGGTATCCAGCACTACAATGCCTACCATTCTCTCCTAGATGGATACATTCAAACAATGCCCTTAACCCTTTGTTTGGTCTTCCTACTAGAACCCCAAAACCTTATGCTAAGGCATCTTCGAATGTAATGGGTTGAGCACATCCAATGCTCTCCACGTCCTATTTATCCACAATAGGTACGCTTTGAAACCCTTCAAGATTTCTCCCTTGGTGATCACTCCAAATCTCCAAGAGAATATTTTTCCTTATTTTTCTCTAGGAAAAGGAAATATTCCTAGTTGCTTGATAGCTTCGAATCTCTTCGTCCAACTTAGCTCTTGACTCTTCTAGAATCTTCTAGACTCGCCTCCTCAGCTACAAGCATATGTCCAGCCCATCAGATCGATTCCTTAAGCCCATCTGCTGAACACGACTCTCTGTACTACTTCTTGACTGATACATGAAGTCCTTCATTCAACTGTATCTTCACCTGTTATGACATGTTCTAAAACTCGGTCAGCACTGCATCAACAATCTCTCCCTTGATGATTGAGTTTTAGAATCATGGCATAACCCTTCACGAGTATGATGATCTTCTAACTCTCCCTTAATTGTACACCATCCTCATGGCATAACCAATCCGAGCATGATGATCTTCTAGCTCTCCCTTAATTGAACACCATCGATTTTCTTGATTCCTCCAACACTCTCTCCCTCTTTGACCATGGTTGTGAACTCAGCAATTATAGCTCCATAATAATTCTCCCCCTGCTTGAGTTCATAACTGATCAAAGTTAATTGCTGAAGCATCTCCGCTCTTGAGGTTGATGGTCCTTCTTGAAGCGCCATGATGTACTGGGAATTCGCTCTTGGTAACCCTCCATCTTCTCCGCAGGAATCTCCCTTGTTTGCAGCTTTGCAATATGCACAAGAGCCCGCTCTGATACCAATTGAAAGTGCATGGGGGTACCGATACAGACTGTGAATGATACAGAAAGTAGTACGAGCATAAATAGTAGTAAAGACACATAGAGTTTGTTAACGGGGTTCGTTTCCTACATCCCCGGGACCTCGTCCAGAATCCACTAGAACAAGATTGCAATTACAGCTATGGTATCCAGCACTACAATGCCTACCATTCTCTCCTAGATGGATACATTCAAACAATGCCCTTAACCCTTTGTTTGGTCTTCCTACTAGAACCCCAAAACCTTATGCTAAGGCATCTTCGAATGTAATGGGTTGAGCACATCCAATGCTCTCCACGTCCTATTTATCCACAATAGGTACGCTTTGAAACCCTTCAAGATTTCTCCCTTGGTGATCACTCCAAATCTCCAAGAGAATATTCTTTCCTTATTTTTCTCTAGGAAAAGGAAATATTCCTAGTTGCTTGATAGCTTCGAATCTCTTCGTCCAACTTAGCTCTTGACTCTTCTAGAATCTTCTAGACTCGCCTCCTCAGCTACAAGCATGTCCATGTCCAGCCCATCAGATCGATTCCTTAAGCCCATCTGCTGAACACGACTCTCTGTACTACTTCTTGACTGATACATGAAGTCCTTCATTCAACTGTATCTTCATCTGTGATGGTCAGCACTGCATCAACAATAAACAGATTATCACTCGGAGCTTCTTCTTCTTTAAGCATCTGATCCAACAACTTATTTGCTATCTCCATATTCCCAATTTCACAAATTCCGAATACGAGATCTTCATAGCGTCATCCACACACATGATTGACCATCTCTTTAAGAACCAGAGAAGCTGCATCCTTGTCGTGTTTTCTAGTGTGACCAAGAATCAAAGATGTAAATGTGTAAAGATTAGGACTCAAACCAGCTTCAATCATCTTACAAAGATACTACGTCGACTCAAGCACATCTCCAGCTTTGCAATACGCACCGATCATGAGAAGTTAGTGCCTAGAGTAGTATATTTCGTCCTAGACTCCTAATATAGAAATATATCAACCAAATCTTAAACAAGTTCCATAATTTAATAGAAACATCTTGCCGCCAAGGTTCGCTTAAACTTTTTTATGTTGACCTCGACCTTAGGGTATTTTTGGCATATGTAGGTCACCACACCTTTGAACTCTTTCTTGTTCAATGTTCCAGTCTTTCCTTTGTCCGCTGTACTGAAAATTGCACGTATATCTTCTCAACAAGATTGTCCGTTATTACCTTGGTTTGCTCAACAAGACGAGGGTAATAACGTATTAAACTCATCATCTGATACAAATTATATATACCATCATAAAAATCTTATACCAGCTATAAAACTCTGAAAACCAGTAATATGAGACTACTAAAGTATTATGTCATGTTTTTTCAAGAATGTTGCGAAAATCAGTGAAATGGGAAATGAGATAATGTTCACTTATCAATTGAGAGCACTAACTAAACCACAAGCACTCTATAGACCATGATCTGCACTTCTTCTCACCACAAAAACCAGGAGCTGGTTGTAGACCCGAGACTAAAATATTTGGGGTCCGACACAAAATTAAAAATTAGGGTCTTTTTAAAAACGTTCATACAAAAATATCATAGGCCCATTCAAACTTTTGGGTTTAAATCAGTATTATATTTCTAGTGAAAATATTACACCATTTTGGTAAGGATACATTTTTATATCACATGCGACGTCGTTCTATTTCTTTAACATCTAGGTTATTTTCTGTATTATATAAGAATCGGGAACTCTAAATTATTCTCCGCAGTTTTCATTTCCGCCGTACTAGAAAAAAATCATAGCTAGGCACTTTTGATGGCGTGAAAGAAGATATCTCAAATCGGGTGAAAGTTTCACCAAAAGGTATGTTTTGTTCATCTACATATAGATTTTGATTTTGTTTTATATAAGAGTCACATACTCTAATATTTTCTCTACAGTTTTCATTCCACTGTAACACATAGAAAAATTGAAAGGCACTCTTGATGGCATGGAAGACGAGATCTAAAATCTGATTGATAATTTACCAAAAGTTATTTTTTTTTTCATTATTTCTCATTGTTTCTCTTATTTTTTTTGTTTGATTTCTTGTTTTTAATATAAATGGATGGAGTTTGATACTAGATGACTCTCGTCCCTATGCGCGAGTTAAATGTTCAGTTATCAAATAAAGTAGAAAACATGTTTCAGGATTAACATTTGCTAATGGTCTTTTAACAAAAAAACTTAATTCGATTGAGGTCTTATTATTTTTTTCCTAGGAATTTTGTTTTCTGAAACTTATTTATCAAAACTAAGTCAAAGTTTTTTTGTTTAATAGATTATCAATGCGCTAGATAAAATATTAGTTCCTTTAGCAATCGTTTTAGGTAGATAAGCCAAAGCTAAATCAGTTTAGACATAGAGAAAACATGAATAAAAACTAGATTTCAAAATCAAAGGTGAAAACAAATCAAGCAATAGATTCCTTATAGAGTTATTGGTGCACATTAGATTCTTTAGCGTAAATATCATGAGCTATGAACACCTAATTTGAAGAAATTTAAGATGATATTAATTCTGCAATGCCTTATGCGTTTTTCCATTTTTTTGTTGTTTTAAAATGCCTGCTTATGTTATTTTATTTTAAATAAATATTTTATTTATAATGAACCTAAGACAGCATATGTGTAAGGAACTAAGAATCGATATATATATATATATATCATATTTTTTTTTGGTCGTGGATATATATATCATATGAGACATCGTTCAATTATTTCTACAGCTAGGTTATTTTTTTTATTATATATAAGAGTTACAAAGTCTAATATTTTCTTTAAATCTTTCATATCTGCCGGAAGAGAAAACAATTTAGGCGCTTTTGATGGCATGAAAGAAAAGATCTCAAATCCGGTTAACGATTTACCAAAGGTATGTTTTTATTAATAATAAAGTCTTAGATTTTGGTTTTTATTTGATTTCTTGTACGTGTATAATGTTCTAGGTTCATATTATCACTTCTTCAATTATCTCATCATTTTCATATTTTAGTTTTATTGTTAATCGTTTGGGATTAGATGTAAACTTTTAAATACAAAATAATTAAAGTAGGTATGATGATAAACATATGTTCGATGGATATCTTTACTAAAATTTTAAATTTATTGATCATTGTTTCTCTTTTTCTTATATATGTACTAGAGGGCTGATCTACGTCTCACTCAGAATTTTGTATTGCTATTAACTTACATGGTTAGAAGAGTTATTCATTGATAATTGCATAGTTGCATTTATAACATGTTAAATCATTTTGACACTTATAAGTTTTATTTCTCAAATATGGGGTTTGATGTCTATTCGTCTCACCTATATATTTTTTCTTTCAGTATTTTATATTTTCCTGGCAACCCCCTCCCCCTTCCTCTCTCTCCACCTGACATAATGTTTAGATCAAATTATAGCCTGGTTTAAACATGTTTTTCTTCCAATTCTCACAATTCTTTAACAGCCTGGTTTAAAAGTGTTTCGAAGATGCTCTCTCTCTCTCTCTCTCTCTCTCTCTCTCTCTCTCTCTCTCTCTCTCTCTCTCTCTCTCTCTCTCTCTCTCTCTCTCTCTCTCTCTCTCTCTCTCACATCAGCACGCCATATTTAACTTTGGGTCGATTTAAATTTTAATCTTCACTATTTTCCTTTTCTATTCGTTTCTCCGGCAATGTTGACGGAACATAAGTTTATCGTTTGGAATGAGATCTTCATAGTGATTATAAAAAATGAAATAGAGAAGTAAGGAGATGAAATCTTACAAAGACGATATCGGGAAAAGCGGGAGGTAAAAGAAGAGTCTTTTTGTTTTGGTGACAGAAAGTACCAAAATTTTCCGACAAATGGAATCAGAAGCAGAGAAAACAAAGCCGACAATGGAGAAACGGTGGTTTTCACAATTCCCTGACTTTTGTTTTGTTTAGTTTACTGTGTAAGGGTTTATTTATATATATATAGTTGGAAATAAGGAAACAAAATAAAACCACCTGTTCATGATTAAAATTTAAGACAATGATTGTGGTCAATGAAAAAGAAAGAAAATTAAGAGAATAATTAATTGTGGTTGAAAAATAAGTTTCTGTGTCCAAATTAAAAAAAAAAAAATATATATATATATATATATATTTTTTTTTATTGAATTAGTTTGATATGTACCAAAATGGGACAAAGACAATTAATTTAACAAACAAACAAATATCTTCCATACTTTTTTTTTTAATTTGGACAGTAAATAAACTTTGTTTTCAACCACAATTAATTATTTACTTAGTTTTCTTTTCTTTTGGTTGACCAATCATTGTCTTAAATTTTAATCATGAACGGTGGTTTTATCTTGTTTCTATATATATATAAAGAAACCTTTATACATTAAATTAAACAAAACAAAAATCAGGAAAATGTAAAAAGCGCCGCTTCTACGTTGTGGGCTCCACTTTATCTGTTTCTGATTCCATTTCTTGTCGGAAAATTTTGGTACTTTCTGTGGCCAAAACAAAAAAACGCCCCTCCTTTACTTCCCGCTTTTCCAAGATCATCTCTGTAAGATTTCATCTCCTTTTGTCTTCTCTAATGCTTTTTTCCAGAAATCACAACTATATATGAAGATTCAATGCCAAAGAATAAACTTTTGCTCCATCAACAAATAACCACATAGTCTGTCTACTTGATGTGTTCCACTGTCACCGGCATCTGGGTTCACGAAATTCTATATTGGTTATATCAATAACAATAATCTGATACAAGATCATATATCAGTAACAATAATCTGATACAAGATGAAAGACATAGCCTCAATCTAATTCAATAACGACTCACCAAACAAGCTGCAGAGATAGATTCTAGAGTGTCTCGCTCACTCTCACACTCACAACAAACAGAAAACCAAATCGATCAAATAACCGCACAAGATCGTCCTGAATTTGACGATTATACCAATCAAAGCACTTACACATTCAAACTCATCGAATTAGACCGCAATTTCTCATCACCCGTATCTTTTCTCCACTAATTATGATAAGTTTCTTGGGCATCCCTTATATATCACTTAAGTCCCATCTAAACTCCCGATGTGGAATATTCTCACAATTAACCAATCACATCCAGAAACAGACAATTCTAGCTGTTCTTTTCTTTTTCTTCACCACATCCTCCTGAGTTCGAATTTCGTAATCATTCCCAGGTTTAGAAACATTTACCGTAACATCTTTATGCTTCATGTTGTTGCTCTGTGCTGCTCTACTTGTTTCTATCGACACACAACTTCAGTATCGCTTCCAATTTGGCCTCCATGGAACTGAGTCGCGCAATTCAATCTGGTTTCCAGAAAATTGATTTGATTGCGTCTGTGATTATTTCAAGAATTTACTTCAAAGAATCCTTCATTTCTTCGAGGGCGGAAAATTCAAACTGAGAATCCCCAATTTTCTGACTTTAGCTGCTCTTGATTTTGCAAGGAGAGTGATAAGAGTGAGTTTATAAACAAGGAGAGTGATAAGAGTGAACAACGCGTGGCAATATACAGCGCTAAATATTTTATCTGGAACAAATCTTGTTTTACGCTTTAAGAATTATATATACCTAAATGTTGATTACATTGTACATACATGCATATTTCAAATTCACTCCATTTTATGATTTTTTAACTTATGGGGGAATATTTCCCATATGATTTCCATAAGGAAATATGTGACTAGTCTAGCTATATGTAGATGACTCACCTGCAACATTCATGCCAATTGTATCAGCCTGAGTCATCTACATATAGCTAGACTAGTCACGTGTTTCCTTATGGAAATCATATGGGAAATATTCCCCCATAAGTTAAAAAATCATAAAATGGATTGAATTTGAAATATGGATGTATGTACAATGTAATCAACATTTAGGTCAGTCATATATAATTCCTAAAACGTAAAACAAGATTTGTTCCAAATAAAAGATTTAGCGCTGTCTGTTGCCACGCGTTGTTCACTCTTATCACTCTCCTTGTTTATAAACTCACCACTAATCTTCTTAACATAATCCTCCAAATTTTCTGACTTTAGCTACCCAAGCAAGCTGCCTGATCTTTCCGAAATTTGGCAAAAGGGGATAAAAAAACTCTCCTCTTGTCCACATAACCTTTTTTACCATATTTTGTCCTAATACACTTTATAATGCCAACTTTGCCAAATTTAACCGTCAAAATAGAGATTAATATATTTTTAACATATACAAAAATCACATTAATTTTTTAAAAATAAAATAACAAAGAGAAAAAAGGGAGAGTTAGATTAATAAAAAAAATTCTAATTTCAAAACTAACCCTTGTTTTTAAAACTTTGAAAGTTAAATTTTTTAATAAGTGAAAAACAAAATAAAACTATTATCAGTTTTTGGAATTAATAATGAGGGAAAACAATTTTTTTAATTAAAATTTACTGGAAAATCTTGAATTTATATTAAATAATGTAGTTTAGATTTTAGATGTATCAGAAAGATAGATTTTTGAAAGACAAGAACAGATATTTCAATTGAATAGTTATAATTGGATATACATATATTATTTACAAAATATACTAAAATTTATCATCAATATCAATCAAACTCTATAAATAACATCTTGAATATTTTTTTTATTCTTCTTTTTATTATAATAAAATAAAAATATCTGTTTGGAGTTATCTTTAGACTAGCAGAAAAATAAAATTTTAAACTGAAATAATTTAAAAATAACATAAACGAAACTGGTAGATTTGAAAAGATTTTTAAAATATTTACTTTCCATATTCGATAATGTATTCACAGATAAACCCTAGAAAGTGCTTACTTGTCGTTGCTCTTTTACCCAAAATCTGAGTTTTAGATAAAGCATTCTAGTTTTTGCAAGAAGATCCTACGGCCATCAGCCATGTCAATGAAACCCTAGAGAGTATCTCCCCTACCAAATCCTCAGAAAGATCAGACATTGTCGACATTCTTCAATGCTGCTCAAAGCAGTCATGAGACTTTCTGTGACCAACATGAAGGCAGTAGATGTTAAAGATGTTGCTTCCTCCATTACAATGATTGCTAATGAGAAACTAAAGGCTGAGAAAGAAGCTGCTGCTGGCAAAAAGAAGACAGGTTTGTTCATTTTCTTATTCTTGTTCTTGCCTTTGTGCCTATGTTTCTTGCTTTGTAGAACTGTTAGTGTGAAATCATTTTTGCATTCATCAAATTGGTTTTTGATTGATTGATTGTTCAGGTGGGAGGAAGAAACAACTTCAACTAGATAAGGCTGATGACGATCTAGTGGCTGGTCCTTATGACGCCATGGACGATTTCAACTTCATGTAGATTAAGAGAGCTTGTCTATTATTACTTAAAAGAAGCAAAAGTTTCTTACTTTCTGAAAATACAGTTGGAACAAGGAAGGCTTTTGTTTTCTGAGTTTTTGTTTTTTTTCCTGGTCTGGAGATTTTCTGGAGAGTGCTTTACTTTTTTTTTATTGGTCAAAAACATTTATGCTTGAAATTGTTCATATAAATTTTATATTTGACATTGATGTGAAGAGTGAAAAAACCAAGCATTTTTTTTTATAAATAAATAACTAAAGAGTTCTAGCCGAAGTCTTTAAATTAAATTAAATAAATAATCAAATCATTCAACAATAATTCAGTGGAAGCAAATAACAGAATTAAATAAATAATTTTAACAACTTAAACAATGCAAAACAATAAAACATCCTATCATCCTCTTCTCCGGCCTTGATTCCCCGATCACATAAACCTTTTACCTGCAACACATTGCGAAAGAGTTTAACAAATACTTAGTGAGGCGAGGCGATCACTCTGCCTACAAGCCAATTACGCAAATACTAGGCAATTAAATAATATTAAATAATTCTCTTAATATTAAAATACTATTTCTCAATTATTAAATAATTCTCATAATTAAATAATAATTTTTCTACACTTAAAATAATTTCCATAAATATATTAGACCAATTAATTAATTAAAATACATATTAATTAATTAAATCCCAAATTAAACCATTAAATTCAGTTAAACCAAATTCTGGTGCTTCAAAGAGACCTTTGGCTACTTACTACCTCCCTCAAAGCTTAGTAGTAACCCTCAACGGCTCCTCAAAGTCTACTCAAACACACCCGGAAAACCTACTTTCGTCAAAAGCAAACCGCACAAGCACAACAGTTTCACGTCCGGCAAAGAACCCAAGCAAATACCACAACACAAACGACTTTCGCTCAGCCAACCATCTCCTCAGAAGCTACCGTCAGCCCCACTCAAAAAGACATGGCGGGTAGATTCTCTTACGCAGAGAAAGGAAAAGCTATTGCCACGTCACAAGAGAACCTTGGGAGGAAAAGAATCCGAGCATCGGAAATGGATACAGCAGATCTCATACAAGAAAACTCTCTTACGCTCATCGGAAGAATCACCAATCCTAGAGAACAGAGAATCCGCTCCCTCATCCCGTATTTCACCAACCGCTGGGAGGTGAAAGGAGGTTTAGAAGGCTCAGATCTGGGAAACAATTGCTTCCAGTTCAGGTTTACCCTGGAGGAAGATCTGAAAAGAATCCTAGCGAACAGACCCTAACAGTTTGCTAGATGGATGGTGATAGTACAGAGGTGGAAGCCCATCATCTCACCGGCCTTCCCTTCGCAGATCCCTTTCTGGATCCATCTCAAAGGACTCCCACTCCATTACTGGAAAGAAGAACTCATCTGCAAGATTGGGAGGGAGATAGGAGAGCTCCTCGAGTTTGAGCTCTCGAAGACAGTTGCAAAAGTCAAGATCTCGGTCAATACCCTGAGCCCGATAGTAAAAGAAACGGAGATTGAGTTCACTACGGGAGAGGTGGCCCTTATTACTCTGGAGTACGAACGCCTGGGACTCCACTGCTCCGTCTGTAACAGCTTAGCCCATGAGTACCTGGATTGCCAAGACAGACATAGAGAATCAAACCAAACCCCATCGCGGCACGAGGAAAGCAAATCTAACACAGGGAATAGACTACAAGAACAAGTTCCCAAATACCCACGTGAAGAACAGCAAAGAAGGGAGCAAAGAGAAACGGAGCAAAAGAATACGGAAAGAAGAGATAGACATGGAAATCTGGTGAGAGAGAGGCCCATCTACACAAACAGAGGAAGAGAACCACAACATGGATATGACAGGTACCGCAAAACGGCAACAAACATGAGAACAAGCCCCAGAACACCACGGAGGAACTAGAGAGTTACCCCGGAAAGAGAGAGAGACGTCCACCACCAGGCGGCACGAGACTCAAGTGAGACTCATACTTATACATTCAGACCGGCGAGGAACAATTACCAAAATGGAGAACGCCGACACAGCAGAAGCTACCACCCTCCACAAAAGTGGCGTGAAAAGAACAGAAGCCACACACCGGAGCGCCAAACATTCTCAGCCAGATCTGAAACGTCTCGGCCACAAATACAGAGAGAAAGTGGAAACCGGAGCCCACCGGTAGCTCCAATTCCCACGACTGAGTAGGTTATGCAAGAGCTGCAAGAAGTCACTATCAGATACATCAATTGCCCTGATCCTGAAGAAAGTGCAGCAAGAAGACAACATGTTATGATTTCAGAAGAGTAAGGTGATGCGGGTTTAGATGTTGTAGTCGGGGTCGAACACGAGGAGGAAGTGTTCTCGCTTAACACCTTGTGAGATTGGTTTGTAGCTAGCTCGCAATATGGATGGTTTTGGACCTAAATGAGAAAAAAACAAAGAGAAATGTGAGTGAGGTTGTAAACAATTTAAAACAAGAGTTAGGCAAAGGACAATCATATGGAGCAATGATGAAAAGATAGTTGCATGGGATGTGTGTAGAGCCGTCTTGAACATGAATCACTAGTGTATGGTCTTTCCACTGTCGTGGCTCCAACCACTATGTTTAAAACAACCTAATATACTCAGCTTTCGTTGGCTATTAGAATTGCAAACATGCATTAAAGGTGATCAAGATTCAATTGTTCACAATAAACCATAACTCACTTTCGTTGGCTATGATCTATTGCTCACCAAATACTAGTTTTGAGATCTAGATTCAGCACTGTCGTGGTTCTATTTCTCTAAGATCAGATTACTAGATGTACGGTAGAGTAATCATGCATTAAGCTCAAGTAAAGGTGAAGATCCATAAGATAAATCCCAATAAGTTGCAACACAATCAAATCATCACGGCCACCATAGATCTCCTCGGCCTAACTAAGAGATCTACTCGGCCATGATGCAAACAAGCAAGCAAAGCATGATTGTAAACATTATGCAAGTATTAAAAGAGATAAAGGGATGAAGAAAGCTTCTCTATTGATGAACAAAGTCGGATTCTCCCTTGAAACTCTTAAAATCAAGTTTATAGAAATGGAAACAATGAAAAAGAAAGAACAAGAGTTGAGCGGCGCCTCCTTCTTCTTGGACGATCTCCTAGGGCTTCTCTCCTTCTCTCTTCTCTGACTCTCTTCTCACAAACTCACTCGACTCTCTTCTTCAGCGGCTAAAAACATGTATATATGGGCGAAGTCGCGTAGGGTTTTCTTCATGCCGGAAAAGGAAAGTTTCCCATGAGCAAAGCCTTCTTCTCCACGTCGTGTATGGGCCGACATTGTACCAAGGAAAGCTCCAAACATTAGCCAGGCCTCTTCTCTATTCGATCAAGGCCTTTGGCGCTGCTGCTCGGGCCATTAGACACTCCAAATCCTCCATGGGCTTCGTTTGCTCGCTTACCGGACATGTCTCGGTAGAAAATAAGTCTAGGCCTCATAGTTGATCCAAATGGCTTCATTCCACTTCGACGTGATGCATGACTCAAGTATCTATCTTTCCATATCAAGATCGTAACTTTTGGACGTCGGGAACTCCTCCGCGCGCGGCCAAACTTCCGAAGCTTCGTTCTGCGCGCTAGCGAGAACTAACACTTGGAGATAAAATGATCTTCTTGACTTGGAAACTTGCATGGATCTTGATTTAGGGCTCTTTTACTCCTTTTTGCATCCTTTTTGATGGTTTCACCTACAAAGACTTCAAATCCCACAAATACAAGAAAACTACCTCTAAAGGCAAAGAATCTTGCAAAAACCGTTTGAAAACATAGTTATATAGTAAAATCATGTAAAATATGGTGATATCAACTCCCCCAGACTTAGCCTTTTGCTTGTCCCCAAGCAAACTAAGCAGGAAAAGAGGTTTGAAAACGTGAGAACTCTCAAATCTTTTGGAAATCCAAATTGACTTATGCTTTAGTAATCCACATGAAACAGCATTGGCAAGTTTTGAATTAAGAACAAAGTACATACCATGAGTTTTGCGATTTTCCCAAAGCGGTCCACCTCTCCTTGGACAATCCAATTCGCCACCCTTGACTCCTTTCATTTCTAAAGGTGTGGTCTCAACTAGGGAGTATCGATCAGCCGGCTTTTAGATTCTTACTCATCCCCTTGTTTGGCACTTGTCTTTTACTCCATGTTTCTCCTCTCTCTCTTCTCACTTCTTTGAGTTGATTCATCCCTTTTTTAGGGTAGCGAAGTATTTTTTTTATTCAACTCCTTCTCTTTATTATAGAGGTTTTTCTTATTGCTTGGACCTTCCATAGACGCGAGTATTGATGGTGTTTGCCACCGAATCCCCGGTTACTTGGATCCATAGGCCTTTCATAGACGCGAGAATTGATGGTGTTTGTGATATGCCTCTATTTTAACCCGTTCCATACCAAAGCATCAACTTTTAGAAGGCCTAAAAACAATCTACTCAATGGATTTCATCAAGACCAGTTCCCTGCGTGCTCTGAGTGAGTTAACTTTCCAACGCAATTGGATTGGCATCATTTGGATGAGTAGAAATGAAGTTATGATCAAAATTAGTGAAGACTGGTCCAGACGGCTTATCGAGCAGCGTCCAACCGCGCACCGGCCGAACGAACTACTCCCACGATCGTCCCGCGATATCCGCGTTCCATCCCGCCAATGCACGGCCGAGCTCACGTACCGACCCGGGAAGCACGTCCCGCGGTCGCCGTCCAAGTCTCGCCACCATAAGCCGCGCACGACCGCACCGCGAACGGGAAGCACGCTCGCCCGCCGCACGCCACAACCGTGTCGCGCCGATCCACCGTCCGACCAGGAAGGCATCGTCCCACGTCCGGCCAAACCTTCGGCCAAACCATCCATCCGCCGACCCGACGCCGAACGACGAACCTCGGCCACGATCGACCCGACGTACCGATGGCCGACACGACCGATAGCCGGCCGACCGTCCGAACGGTCCGGTCGACCCGAAGCCCGTTTTGAAGCCCGTTTCACATGTTTTCAGCCCGGCTTAACCTAATGCCGCCTCTGAAGACCTAGCACTATAAATACAACTTTTTAGCCTCTTGAGAAGAGAGCCGCTTGTATCACGATTTTACTTAGAGTTTTATTGCAATCATGTTTTCTTCATCTCTATGTGTTATTGCTTTGATCATGTCTGAGTAATCCACTAGTTAGGTTGCTAGGGTTACTATTCAATGAGTTGCTTGCATGATCTTTGATTTCGATGATTAGCTAGGGATTATATTAGAGTCTTTGTCTCGTCTTGTGCACTTAACTAATGCTGATTGCTTTACCGCGCATCTAGTAATCCGATCTTAGGTTGATTTGAGCCTCGACAGTGTTGTATCATTCGCCGGACATATTCTTTGACAAGCTAGGTTTCTTAGACTGCGAAAGTTGATCTACTATAATCTAGTGAACTGTATCAGAACCTATTCATTCTAATGCTTGATTTAATCACCTAGGGACATACCAAAAGTTTAGCGACTAGGTAGATTAACAAAGGAGCCGGAGCCTCGAAAGTGGAATGGTTTTATATTCGTGATCTGTGTTCTAGACGGTTCTTAATATCCCAATATCCCTAATCAATTCATCTATCATTGTTTCATTGATCATTGCTTGCTTCTCTGCGATTAGCCCCTGTTGACCTAGCGCTTCTTCCTATTGATTTACAACCTCGTTTACTTGCTAGTTCGGTTCACCATTACAACCTCAATCATACTTTTGTTTTAGCTTGATCCAAAATCCATAGTTTCAAAGTGTACTCAATAGCCAGTCCTTGTGTTCGATACCCATACTTCCGCGATCTGTGCACTTGCAGAGGTCTAGAGTTTGGTAAAACCTGACTCACATCAAGTTTTTGGCGCCGTTGCCGGGGACTGCAGCAGTACCTTTGGAACTCGACTAGGATCTAGTCTAGAACCTTTTCCTGTTTTGCTTTTCTTTTGCTTTTGAATTTTCAGTTTTTGATTTCTTTTCTTTGATTTTGCTTTTGTTTTTGTTTTTCCCTTTTGATTTAAGTTTGTTTCCTAGACTCTTTTCAGGTGCATGACTAGGAGGTCCAACAAGGACAACCTAGTTGAACATCCAGAGATAGACAAGCTTGAGAAGCAACTTAGGAAGCAAAAAGCCCAAGAGATGGCCGACGAAGCAGCTCGCGCTCACGCCGCTGAAGTGGCGCGCGCTAAGAAGAAGGAAGAGATCCACCTCCTCCTCCTAATCCACAAGACCCTGCTGGAGATGTGAATGTGCAACCTCAAGCGGAGCAACAATCGGAGACTATGACTCTGCCGATGCTTTCTTCATGGATAGAAACCCTATCCATCCACCACTTCCTGCAAGGAATGACTATGAGATCAAGCCTCAGATCATAGCATTGGTTAGACAGAACCAATTCAATGGCCTTCCAGCTGAGCACCCTCTTGATCACATAGAAAACTTTGAAGAAATTTGCAGCACTACAAGATCCAATGGAGTCTCTGCTGACTACCTTGAAGTGCAAGCTCTTTTCATTCTCTCTTGGCGACAAAGCTTCAAGATGGTTGAAGTCTCTGCCAGCTCACTCCATCACCACTTGGGATGAGTACAAGGCCGCTTTCATCAACCACTTCTACACCAAGCAAAGATCAGTTTCTGTAAGGAACAAGATCTCCACTTTCGCCAAGCCAACAATGAATCTTTCTATGAGGCGCTAGATCGATTCAAGGAGTACATTAGGGACTGCCCTAATCATGGTTTCAATGAGGGAAACCTATGGAACATCTTCTATCGTGGCATAGACCACAAGTACAAGCTTTCATTGGACACTGCAAGCAATGGAAACTTCATGACCAAGACTGTTGATGAAGCTAAGGTTCTTATTGAGAATCTTGCAGCTAGTGATTGTAACAACTGTCCTGATTATGACCGCTCAAGCCGCACCACTACTAGCTCCCCTGATTCTTTTCAAATGACTGAACTCAAGAACATGATGGCTCAAGTTCTTAAGGGACAGCTCAAGCATATCAATGCAATAGAAGGGATGAGTGATGCTAATGAAGACCCATCAAGAGAATGCATGGGAGATTTCTCTAATGAAGCCAATGAAGAAGATGTGAACTACATTGGAAACTATGGGAACAAGGGATACAATCCAAGCTATCGCCCAAACCCCAACATGTCTTATAGAAACCCCAATGTGGAGAATCCTCAAGACCAAGTGTATCCTCCAAGGTATCCACAACAACAAAGACCTCCTTACCAATCTCAAGGAAGTCAATTTCAGCCAAGGCAAGGTATATGAGCAGAGATCATCATATCCGCCCAAGGAGCCATATGCTTCTTCACCAAATCAAGCTCCTCCAAACCAACAAGGGGAAGATTTGAAGGAATCCTCCAACAGATCATGGATGGCCAGAAGAGAATACTAAAGAGATGTATGAGAAGATGGACACTTTGTTCAGCAATCTCAACACCAAGTATGATGCTGTTGCCACTCATGTGAAGAAACTAGAGACTCAAGTCACTCAAACTATGGAAGCTGTTAAGAGACAGGAAGCTGAATCCAAGAAGTCCTTTTGCAACTCAGCCGCCATAGAAGAAAGATTTGAAGACCAAGTTCCAGAATGGATGCTTTCAAAACCTACTGTTGATTGCATGATTTGGCCTGAAGAGAATTACCCAGAGAGAGAGTCCAATCGAGCTAGAAAGAGAAGACTCTTCCCAAAGATTATCCCCAAGACAGATAACTCAGGAAAGTTTGTTGTGCCTTGTATCATCAAAGGTAACATTCTTGAGCAATCTTTGTGTGACACAGGAGCCAATGTGAACATCATGTCTAAGAGGATAGCTGACAAGATAGGCCTCACCAAGATAGAGCCATCATCCATCTCCATCAACTATGCTGATTCATTCTCACAAACCCCTATGGCTTTGTGCCTAATGTGATGGTGCAGATTGGAAATTGCTCTATCCCTACTGATTTCCAGATTGTGGAAATGAGAGAGAGTAGCCATAGACCTCTCATATTTGGAACCCCTTTCCTGTCTACTGTGGGTGCCATATTTGATTTCCCCAATCAAAGAATCTCTTTCAACAAGGTGAACAAGGGTATGTTCTTCCCTATGTGTTCAACAAAGAACTCTTTTGTTGACATGGTCCAAGAGGAGAAAGCTACTTTGAAGCCACCCCAAGAAGGAGAAACTGAAGAAACAATCAAGGAAGATCCCATTCCTAAGCCCAAGCAGCTTGCCAAACAAGCAAGGAGTAAGACTAAGGCCCCTACACCAAAACCGCCCAAGGGATCAACCAAGATTGAAGATGAGGCCAAGCCAAGAAGGAAGGTTAGAAAGCCTAGGTCTGGCCGCAACATGAAGCTTCTATTCCCAAAGGAGCTTATTGATGAGAATCTAGAAGGATTCAAGGAGAAAGTTGACAAGAACTCTAAAGCTTTTTCCTAAGGCAGTGTGCCAAGGGACATTCATGGAGAGATTGTCTATCCAGCTGTGAATCACCCACCAGATACTCATTGCAAGGAGAAAAGACTTGGAGGATCAAGATGCCTCTTGTCTCCATCTTCTCCTGAGCGCCAAGCCTTACAGTCAAGCTAAAGACTTAAAACAAGCGCTGCATGGGAGGCAACCCATGAGGTACTTTTACTTTTCTTTCTTTAAATTTCTTAGTTTTTGTTTTGCTTTTGTGTTTTCTTTGTTTTAAGATAGGATAGAAGGAGAAAAAGGTGTGAAAACACAATCCGCGAAAACATTGGCCGCGGACGCGCAAAAAGTTTTGGCCGAGCAATTCCAACCGGGCCGACCGTACCGGTCGAGCCGGGAAGGAACGGCGTGCTCGGCCGGATACTACGCGCGACAAAACCGTCCGAGCGCACGCACGACAGGAAGGAAAAGGCCGCGATCGGCCGAAAGTATCGGAACGGACCGACCGTGCCGGTCGATCCGGGAAACAAACGATCGGCCTCGGCCAATTCTTCGCCGAAATTTGGCCGACCAAATCGCACGACCGCGACAAAACCATCGGCCCAAACTTTTCTCGGCCAAGGTAAGTCCCCTTTTCATTAATTCAAACCGGTTTTAACCAATCCTAAACCAACTTAAACCGGTTTTCAATCAAAATTCGAATTTGAAAAGGAAAATTATAAGGATTTAGCTTTATACTTTACCTTTCCCTTGAAAAAACAAGAACCTCTCTTTCTTCTCCAAAACCCTAAACTCCATTAGAGGAACTCTAAGAGCTTTGATTTCAAAACTTTTACTGTTCATAACTCTAAATTGGAATTTACTTGCTCTTCCCTTATTCACTTTTCAACACACAAGGTATGTCTTCTAACTCTAATCCTATGTTTATGCAAGATCGAAATTCAATAAGTTTCTTGTTTGGTCTAAACTCTTGTCTAAACTTGAAATTACCATCCTTATAGTCTTGTAATGAACTTAGCTAGGTGGAACCTAGGTGGTTTAGAGTTATTTGAAGTTTAATTTCACAATTGAATAGTTTTTCACAAAACTTATTGGGCATTCCAAACCCCTTATTCAAAGGTGAAATTGCTTAGCATACTTCAATTCATTAGTTTATCTAGTGATTACTTGGATTAGAAACTCAATTTCTCTTGATTTGCTAAAAATTTCGATTTTAAGCACCATAATCTTGAGATGAACAGTAAAATCCGAAAATTAACTTTGAAAAAGTGAAATTTCCATTTTGTTCTTTGATTCATGATTAAGCCTTGAGTTGTTCCATTATCCATATCATTATTGCAACTCAATTAGCTTATTCTTCTTTTGCATTAATCACAAACTCATGTTTCTTCCCAAGAATTTGCTCTTGTAGGTACCCAATGGCAAAGACAAAAGGAAATGAGAGTATGAAGAAGAAAGACCCATTCATGGCAACCACCAAAGAAACAAATCAAGCTAGGGAGTAGTAGCTCCAATGCAAGAGCAGCAATACCAACTTCACCACATTCCATTGATGCAAATCAAGAACATGTGGAGAGTCCAAGAGGAGAAGATGATTGGGCACTTGTAAGCTTTGTTGGAGAACAAATCCAAGACCCAAGAAAGTGCAAGAAGGCAATGGAGAAGGTGAACATCGAACCTTGTGTGAAGATGGACACCCAAACCCTTGACCTTCTCAAGATAAGAGATGATGTCACATGGTACATAAGGAAGCTAGGCTTGAGCAAGCTCTTCAAGCTAGAGTGTAGTGAGTACTCAACTACAAGGAGTTCCTCTCCACAGTAGCTCTTGCCTTTCCCAACCACAATGGAGACCAACCAGCTGGTGATGGACTCCTACTCTTCAAGATAGGCGATGCCAATGGGCGCATCTCCATCTCAGCTCTATGCCAACTCTTTGGACTTCCCAATGAGACAGCACATGACTTCAAGGAGAACTCAAAGAGGAAACAAGCTGCCTTTGCTGATTGGACACACTTTGCCAATGAACCATTCTTGCCTTCAAGATCAAAGGTGTCTAGAATCACTCATCCAGCCATTCGCTATGTGCACCGCCTCATCTCCACCACTTTCCAATGCAAACAAGAAGCCAACAAGGTCACAACTGATGAGTTCTACATCCTCACCACACCATTCATCAAGCATGAGTACAAGGCCAACCTTGGTCTTTTACTTGCCAAGACATTCATCAATGTGAGGAAGCTAGCTCAAGACTTGGAAGGCAACAAGAAGCTTTGTGTTCGTTTTGGGAGGCTTATCACGGCCATAGTACAACATGTGGGGATTGACATTCCCAACTATGAGCCACTACCCAAGCCAACCCCTTTGGATCTCCATGCCTTCAGCAATCCACTTCCTAAACCGTTGGACTAAAGACCCAACCGGTTTTGCTATGAGTTTCCAATTGGTCCAGCCAACACTTCCCTTGTCTTGCTGCCACATGAAGACATCCCAAGCCTACGCTCAGGTGTTGTCACTTTCCAGCCCAAGGAGGAAGACTTCTATGTTCCATCAAGTGAGAAACCATCATTCCCCATGCTCACCTATCGCACACTTCAGCATGCAGTCAAGACTCAACGCCGCCACCAAGAACGCCATGTTCTCACTACTGGCATGGCGCACCAAGCTCTAGACCGTGTAAGCAAGCTGGAGAAGATGTGGAGTGCCAATCTCGCTTCATCTCACGCCTAGTTCGTGTAGTTCGCCACATTGCACCGGAGAGACTCTTTCGCCCTTCTTCCACCGCTAGAGAGCCATATGAGCCTGACCTTGGTGAGTTCTCACTAGACTCAGAGCTTGGTTCAGAAGGCGATGACCCCATAGATGAGGAAGAGAGTTCTTCTCACTGCCACACATAGTCATCTCAAGTGGTACTTAGTGCAATGGACACTTACAAATCTCCATTTTCTATCCCTATCTCATTTTAATGAATTTCTTTATTTTTCTTTTACTTTGAATATTACCTCTCACCTTAATGTGATTTGCTTTCACCGGGACGGTGCAAGTTAAGTCTGGGGGGAGTTTTATTGTGTTACTAATGCATTTTTCTTTCTTTTCTTATGTTTTTTCACTTTGTTTCATGTTTTTCAAAAAGTTTTATTGAGTCAAAAACCAGTCCGGAAGTTATGAACTTGCTTTGAGATTTGATAAAAGAAGATTTCCCCCTTTGTTTTTGTTGTGGGTCGCGCCTCACCGCAGGCACTGAATGAATGAAATGAGTGGAATACTTGCGGCTCGTGAAGTACTTTGTGTTTGATGTTGAGGCCCCTATTGGTGAAGCGACTTTTGGAGAGCAGAAGTATGCTCTCTCCTATGTTCAGATCGCTAGAGAGTCTGATATTTGGAAGATGTTTTACGTGCAGACTCATCTTGGTCACATATTGAAACCTGGGGATCAAGCTTTAGGGTATGATGTTTATGGAGAAAATGTGAATGATAATGAGATGGAGAAGTATCGTTTGAGTGTGAAGAATGGTCTTCCTGAGGCGATTCTGATCAAGAAGTGTTATGATGAGCAGAGAGAGAGGAAGCAGAGGAAGACACGTACGTGGAAGATTAAGTCGCTTCCGATGGAGATGGATGAGTCAAGAGGAGGAAGGGGTGGTGATCCGGATAAGATGATTATTAACTAATTACATTGAAAATGTAACAACACAAAGATCTAAAAATTCTAATTTATACCATTTATGATATGAATGATAGTCTTCTAGTTCGTTTGTACCATCTAAATCATAGCGGTTATCCTAAATGATAGTCTTCTAGTTCGTTTGTACCATTTATGGCTAAATATCTTCAAATTTAAAATTCACATTTAACACACTTACAAATAATGTGAAACATAATATGCTTTTCTTCAATTGATAGCCCCAATGTGACAACGTGGAAACATACGAGCAATATTTCCGGATCATCAAAGTTTCCGGTCACTGGGATTGTTAGGGATCATGGAGGTGAGAAGAGCAGCCAGCCCACGATAAGATCAATGGATGGAAAATTTCCATATTCAGAAACATATGTCAAACTCATTAAACTTAACATTTCTCTTTTACTAATCTTGACTCTCTGTACTCTGTCACTTCTCAAATATATTATTCACATTTTTTGCTTATATTTTCACTAGTAAATGTTTTCTGCAACAATAAATTTACTAACTGAAAAAGTAAAAAAGTTGCAAAAAAATAAGCAAAAAAATGAGCAAACTATGAGCAAACTAATGTTTTTTAAATGACAAAATAATAATAATAGGTTGAGAATTGAAATTTTTTTGAACAAAATAGATGATTATGAAATAGTTTCATTGATTGAAAATGTAACAATCCAAAGATCTAAAAACTCTAATATATAGCAGTACTCCTAAATGATAGTTTTCTAGTTCGTTTCACTGATCATGGCTAAATATATTTCAACTTAAAAATAATGTGAAATATAATATGTTTTTCTTCAATTGATAGTCCCCAGGGTGACGACGTGGAAACATACGAGCAATATTTCCGCCGAACCTTAATTGAAGTGCAAATATTTCGAGATCATCAAAGTTTCCAGAACCCTGCATTCAACTTGGGATCGTTAGGGATCATAGAGGTGAGAAGAGCAGCAGAAACATATGTAAAACTCATTAAAATGAACATTCCTCTTTTGCTAATCTCTGCACTGTCCTTTTATTTATTTAAAAAAAAAAACTAATCTCTTTTTTTTCTGGTTTAATACAAAAACCCTGTTCTTGTTGCTAAAAAAATGTAATATTATAGAAAATGAAAAGATTAGGTTATTTAAATTGAGGTTAACCAAATTGCATAACCTGTCTAAATTGGTTTCATTGCATAACTTGACAGCTCACATTTTTTGTCCAACAGTACTACCATAAATTTTAATAGTAAATTGTTTAGTTTTTTAATATTCATACAATATTCAGAATTCACTATATATATAACATATTCAGAATTCGACATTTATGGAACGTATGCTTATTTTATAGTTAATACACAATCTTCAGTTTGACAAAAAAAAAAGAAAAAAAAAAATCTTCAATTTCTTGCGTCTGAGACAGCCCATTTCTTAACAGCTCATTGCTTCCTGTTCCTACAAATTTTAAATAAGTGATTGAAACGTTAAATTAAAGACATGCTTGAAAGGTGCTTGAAATGTACCATATACGCAAACCAAAAGCAAAAAAAAAGTAAAAAATCAGTTACCTCTTTATCCCAGTCACATCTCACTGTAATAAAAATCAATATCAATGTTTGAATCACGGTTCCTCCAGATATCATACCAGCCCAAATGCCCTATCAACATAATCACCATATGTGGAGTTTAACCTTCAAATATTGTTAACTTGATATCAAATAAAATAAATAAAAACTAGTTTATCATTACCTTAGCCCCAAAGTTGAAAATCCACCCCATGACAAATCCAAGTGGAAGTCCAATGATATAGTAACATCCCAAATTTATATATGCCACTAATGATTGCCAACCCATTCCAACCGCAACTCCTAATCAAATGCCAAAAGTCACCATAAGACAAAGTGTTGACTTTATTTTATTTCATTTTAGAGCATATTAATTTGTTTATGTAACGTACCGGAAAGAACCGGTTGGATACTGTTGAGAAAAATAGTAAAAGCCAAAAGAATATAGAGATTATTGACTGCTTTTATGACAGTTTCACTTGAAGAGAAGATCCAGCTGATTTGGTTGTGGAAAAATACTAAGAGCACCGAGAACATTATTCCAATGATTAATGATTGTGTTACTGATATGATCATTGCAAATCTTGCTCTTTTTCCGCTGCCTGCTCCTAATTCATTTGCCACTCGTATGCTGAAAAAATAGATTATCATCATAGTAGAAATATACCTAACTGTTTGGCCCAAAAAATGAGCAATTCTTAAAAATACCACAAAAATAAGTTTATAATCCAAAACTAACAGTACTAGTTTTTTTATATAGAAAATAACACAACTAAAAACTAACTTTACAATCGCAACACTAAAACCTAAAAAATAAACACTAAATCCTAGATCTAAAATACTAAACTCAAACATTTAAATTATAAAGCCTTAAAAATCATTTTCAATGTTTTTGGTAGTTTTGGAAGAATAATATTTATTGTTATGTTTTTTAAAATGATGATATTTTTGGTTCATAAACTAATTATTTTAGTAGTATTTTACGGAATTACACAAAAAATAAAATAATAAAGTATGTATCTATGCTAATATTGTGTGGTTACCTTCTTTCTCAATATCTGAGAGATTGTCATGTGTCACTATAATTTTTTGACACATGTCCTCTTTTTAAATCCAACATCAATTTTTCTTTATTTTAAGTTTTTTTTCTCTCAACCAACTATTTACTTCATATATATTACATAATTAACCACATTCAATTCTTGCAAATTTATGTAGATATAATATATATGAATTTCATTTACAAAAATAATAATAATAATAACTATGGATTATATTTTACTATGCAAATGATATCCAAAAAAAAACTCAACTAAAACCATATGCAAATAGTTATATCATAAGTATAAAACTTGAATTTCACAAAAATAATAATAATAACTCCACTGTATACATTTAGAATCATACTAAATATTTGCATTGCCCATAAACATTAAATTAAATTAAATTTTCATAATTAATAATTTGTTTCCTCAGGTTTATATGCTGCAAATAAATGCAAGTCTAATATGTTTACGAATTTTATATGCTGCATTTATTAGATATTCAAAATTAATTAATGACTCTAATTTAATGTCAGCCCAACAAAGCAAAAATAATCAAATACTCCATCTGTTTCTAAAAATTTGATGTTTTAGAAACTTTTTTTGTTCCATAAAATTTGTTTTTGTTAGCTTTTTAAAATATTTTTAATTACTAGTATAAGTCATTTAGTTATAAAATTTCAAGAATACTTTTGAATTCCTATTGGTTTATATTTATAAAATTATTTAATGAGAGAGAAAATGATGCACTTATAACTAGCATTAATTATTTTTTAATATGTATGAAAATTCTAAAACATCAAACTGTTAGAAACAGAGGGAGTAAACATCAAAAAAAAACCAAACCTCAATATATAAAGAACAATACGATTACTACAAATAAAGAATTTTATATGTGAAAGTAGTACTGTTACAATTCATACCAAAGTTTCTCTATGTCGAACAAATACATGCCTCCTGTTGATAACAAAAATGTTTGTTTATTGGAATTTGGAGTACAAATTTCTTCTGTTCTCTGTCTTGAAACTTTTTTTTATAGTAAAGTAATGAGATAATATACCCGCGCATGCGGGTTTCCTCCTAGTTATATATATAGTGGCTATGATAGAGCAGAAACTAATTCAGGACAGCCCACTGTAATTTATCTGGCAGCCCATTGTTATTTTTTTGATGATTCATTATTCATTATTATTCATATATTTAAAAACATACTAGCTAAAAAAATTATAAGCATGCATGAACTACTATAAACCGAACTAAACAAAAACCAAAGTATATATTTTACGATAGTAATAAAAATGAGATATTAGTTACCCGGTCCCGGCGAAGAAAGCAAGTGGAATCATCATCTCGAAACCATTTATGGACATGCTGGCGGGTGAAAATTGTAATATATAAAAATATGTGATACATATTTTAAACTTTTTAATATATACTCCCTTCGATTCAAATTAATTGTCATTTTGGCAAAATGTATCTCCAAATATTTGGAAGTATGTGGACGTGTTTTGCATTGCAAATACATCCAAATAATTACAGATACATTTTCCCAAAACGACAAGTAATTTGAAACGGAGGAAGTATTAATCTAATAATCTCAAGAAGTATGTTATTGACGTACCATATAGACATAGAGCCCACAGCAATTTTTGCATCTCCAGATTTCCAGTCAGCACAATTAAAATCCAAACTGTTTCAACAGAAATCTACCGTAAGAAGTTGTTCTGATCCATAAACCATAAGTAAACATCATTTTTTACTTTTTTTGACATAACTGGCGTTTAACGAGCAATTACCAGAGCATGACACCGGACGATGCAGAGAGCTTAGTGAATTCCCATAGTTTGGTGAAAGCTTCGGTGGAGAAACCGGTCCAAGTAAGTGGACAACCACCGCAAGTGATGTAAATAAATAGGATGAAGCCATTGAGCCACCACGACACGTTAGCTGCAGCGATGGCCCCTGTGACTCCAAGATTAAGGCCGTACACAAAAAGCCAGCACACAAATATGTGAACTACAAGTGCCACTGCAGACGAGATTGCAATCACCTAGTGGTAATGTAAAAAGAATATTAAGCTCTAGATCAAAAGAAAAATTGTAAAAAGAATATTGACCAAACACATTTAGAATTATTTTTATCCACTAGATAGTACATAATTTATAGACATAGAATTATTTCCAATAGCTTGGGTGACTAAGGCTATAGATTCTATCGATAATTCCACTGTGAATTAGTCAACTAGATAGTACATAATTCCACTGTGAATTAGTACTCTTGTAGTGCTATGAAGGTTGAATTCCACAGAGATCAATTAGGCCTCACTAAGAATATGAATATTTTAAATTACCCAAAGTTACATTTTGATGGATTTTTGCTTAATTAAAGCTACACAACATAAACACAAAGTATAAAACAATAAGATAACCTATCAAAAACCAAGTAAGATAATAAAGCAAGCGATATGTGCATTGTCAAATAGCAAAACAAGATAATCATCTTAACCTTGATTTCCATTAACATAAACGATTTTTAAACCATCTATCCAAGAAATCGAGCCATCGAGCCATCAAGACGAGACGATCATTCAAATCATAACGTATATACCATATTTTTGAGCTGGCATTGGAGGTAGCGGTTTATGGGGAAAAAGAAGGCAAATGAAAAATGTGTAGGAATGGCCCAAACAGCGATGGTGCCTGAGAGCTCGGCAATGTCATCAGGCTGGCCCAAGAACTGAAGAATGGGGGACGCAAAAATGTACATAGGGAGGAGCAATATGGAGCATAAGAAGAGAACAATCCAAGATCGCTGCAAATACACTCCCAACATGTCAAACTTCTTTGCTCCAAACGCTTGACCGCACAACGTTTCCAACGCAGTCGCCATTCCAATCTGCATATATTAAGAGATATATAGTTTCTTCATTAATTAACCCAAACGTGACAATATAAGCTAGAGAATGTGTGTGTGTTTGTGTGTATACGAAGAGGCTGAAGTTTAAGCCGATGATGACGTTGTTGACGATGGAGATGGCAGCAAGTTCGAGCTCGCCGAGGTGGCCTGCGAAGGCCTGAGTGACGACGAAAATCGAGTAAGTCAAAACTCGGGTGAATATGGCTGGTCCAACGACACGCCATAGCTTCTTCGTCTCCATCCATATCTTTCTCTTTATGTCTCCATCTTCCTCCTCCGCCGCATTTTGATCCCTTAACAGAGGGATCCTTGCCTTCTCTACACTTTCTGCTTCATTGTCTCTCTCTCCCATCACTGATCTTCTGTAAATTAAAAGTTAAATAAATTGAGTAGATGAGAGATACGTGTTAGTTGCTACTATATATAGGCTCTGAGTGAAGCTATACTCCACTCAATGTCGTCGGTCCAATGAATTTAAATGCCCTACTCGAATTTAAAAATATGCATTTCAATTTCTTTTTTCCAAAATCACAAAAGTAGTAACAATATAAAAAACCCTTAAAACTTCATAAAATAAAGAAGTTCTAAATAAACAATTTCCAGTTTATAAATAGTTTGCCGAAAACAAAAAACTGATTTCTTATGGCTTAAATATAGCTTTCATTAAATCATTCATTAAACTCACACCGTAGCTGTCCCGATTGATAACAAAACCAATCCATTCAACCTTTCTTGTGACATGGTAGATCGCAGGTAATTCTTAAACAACTTCAACTTCGAAAAACTTTTTTCAGTAGTGGCAACCTAAAATATGCCCTTGTTAAAACTCTGTAAATAATATTTATACACCCATTAAAAAAAAAATTAACAAAAATATGCCTCTGATAATTGGATGCTCTACTCGACCGTTTACCCTGCATGTGCTCAGGGCCGATCCTGTCCCTGACTCCACTACAACGCGACACTTTAACGACTCTTTTTTTTTTACCTTCAACCAATAAATAGAAGGGATGGGATTGCATGTGTGTTTTCAACAACAGATAAATAAAAATGTTGCCATATGTGGAACCAAATTCATGAAGCTATTTTTTTATACGTATGTACTATAGCTGAATAGTATAGATACACGACAAATATGATGCTTTTTTTTCTTACAGTTTTTTTTTTAATTATTACTTTTTTTTGTGTAAAGGAAAAAGACTAATTTTATTTTTACTTTTTTGATTGTGAGTTACTGTTACGGATCGATGAGCGGATCTACGTATACGGTAGGGGTCAGCTGACCCCCACTAAATTATTATTTTCTTCCTTAATTACAATAAAATTCATTAAATGACACCCTACTAATTTTATATCTGACCCTGTTTCCATTTTTTCTCATTGTTTCTAAAAGAAAGTTCATTCTTTCTTAATTCTTTAGTGAAAAAAGGAAAATAAATAAACTAGTTTCTATCTTTATCTATCAAATATTTATTGTATAATCTCTAACTAAATGTAATATTTGATCACATTTACATTTAATATTGTTAACATTTGCATATATATTGAATTTTGGGTGAGAAATTCATGTATAATAATTATTTCTTTTGAAATTTGGTTTAAATTTTGTTTTTATATATGATTAAATTAATTGAAAATTATCTAGCTATAAATATATTTTAAATCATTAAAGTACAGCATTCTGATAAAATATATATTGTCTATTTTGGTCATTTGGTATTCATAAAAAAAAAAACAAACAAGAGAGAGCACTTATTTGCCAATGACTGTTGAAATTTTTTCTCTCCCAGGCACGTTAACCGAGAAAGGTCCTTGACCACTTATCTCTCGCTTTCAACCTCTCTTTACCCGGAAAACCTTTCCCAAACTAGAAGGTTTTTCAAATTTTCAACGTTCCTGGTTTAACGAGCCCGGGTTCCACCCCCGACCCAGTGTCGGAGGGTCCTAGCTATCACCGGTAAGCAGAGTCCTCTCCTCACACTAGCTACCACCGAGCAAACAACAACCTGCCATGCAACACAAGCTCCCCGCCAAACGATAAGGCTGCGAGGATACCATACGCCGACAAAGGAAAGGGCATAGCTTACCAGTCCGAACCCAGCCAATGGAAGCGCATCCGAGCTCCAGAACTGGACACGTCGGATCTGGTAAAAGAAAACGCTCTTACGCTCATCGGAAGACTGACTAACCCAAAGGAACAAAGGCTACGAGCCATGTTCAACTTCTTCCTAGACCGTTGGGAACTCAAGAGTAGTTTCGAAGGCTCGGACCTGGGCCACGACTGCTTCCAACTTAGATTCAACAGAGTGGAAGATCTCAAGAAGGTTCTTGATAACAGACCGTACCAATTTGGCCATTGGATGGTCATACTACAGAAGTGGGAACCGGTAATCTCCTCTAGCTTCCCGTCTCAAATTCCCTTCTGGATCCGGCTCAAGGGTTTACCACTGCACTACTGGAAAGAAGAGCTCATCTGCAACATCGACAGGGAGGCTGGTACCCTACTTGGCCATGAGATCTCTAAAACGGAGGCAAAGATTCATGTATCAATCAACGCGCTAGAGCCAATAGTGAAGGAAACCATCGTTGAATTTGCCTCGGGAGAAGAAGCCTTGGTAACACTCGAATACGAAAGACTTGGCTTCCACTGCTCAAGCTGCAACAAGCTAACACACAACAACAAAGACTGCAAGTTGAGAAGCACAGAAGACCAGACCCTAAACAAGACAAACCCTGAACCTCGGGACAGACCAAAATCTACTCATAGAGAGGAAAGAGAAGACAGAGAGCTTCGAGGAAGGAGGGATGGGTCACCTGACTACAGTCACAGAAGAGATAGATATGGTAGAGCTTTTGGGGAACGAGTCTATTATAGCAACTCCGCGAGTGAGGTGAACAGAGAGAGATCTACTGCCTCCAGCTTCCAACGCAGACACAACACTCATAGAGACTACCCAGAGAGAAGCCGCCACCCACAAAACCGGGAACCTGAAGGTTCCAACGGTGTGGGAAGGAGAGATCTGAGACCCCATCTGCAAGAAAAACACGTGACAAATGGCAGAAGCACCCAGTCAGGGCTACAGTGGCGCGAAAAATCTCCCTCGAGTTACACAAGAAGAGAAACAACACCGGAGTTGGGAGGGAACCACACTTACCAAACACCGAGAAGAGAGAGACTGGAACCAGAACCAAACATCCCTGCAATCCCTACAATAGATGAGGTTATGGAAGACCTAAGAGAGGTGACGGTCTGATATGTTAACGGCGAGAGTCTGAGAAGCAGGGGTTAATGGCTGAAACAGCGGCAAATATTGTAGCAGCAGCCTCGGAATCTTACTACCGAGCATTACAATTTGAACAAGAGAACCAAAACTCTTACCAATTAGAAAGTGGTATCGTGGAGACGGAGGTAATGGCGGAGGCACAAAACGTACCAAAGAAGAGAAGAGGCAAACCCCCAAAGAACAAGAGAAATAGCCCTATGATTGGCACAAGTCTGAGAATGAGGCGCTTTACACAAGTTCAGAACTCACCACGCATCAGAGGCACAAATACAAGAGGGGGCACATCCCACGCAGCTGAAACATCAAGAAGAAACGGGAGTGTTTCAAACAGGGGCATAAGTGAGTATGTAAGCACTCAACGACCAGTGGGCACGATCATACCGGCTATTTCAAGAGCAACGGTGGATTTTTGGCGTCCACCAAGTCCAATTCCTTAAAAGTGGCCAGCTGGAACTGTTGTGGGCTAGGGAATCCCATGACGGTCCAGCGACTGAGGGGAATACGCTCAGGTATTCGCCCTGACATCCTGTTCCTAACAGAAAAAAAAAATCCCGATGAGTTTGTGCTTCAAACACTAGACTGTGTGGAATACGAATCACATCTTTTGGTCTCACCTCACAGTCCCGGAGGAGGAGGACTAGCCCTCTTTTGGAAGAAGGAACTGGAAGTAGAAATCCTATTCACATGCCACAACTTCATAGATATGCGCATCAAGGCTGAGGGGAAAAGCTTCTACGCCACATTTGTGTATGGAGAGCCAGACCAAACAAAAAGACACGAAGTTTGGCAAAAATTGATGGAACAAGCAACGGAAAGAACAGACCCCTGGCTACCTACAGGGGATTTCAATGACATCATAGAGTCGGCGGAGAAAAAAGAAGGCCCAGTAAGGCCAGAGACCTGTATGACCTCAGGTTCTCTGGCAACTTCTACTCCTGGAGAGGAAAGAGAAACGACCATCTTGTGAGATGTCGTTTAGACAGGTCAATGTCAAATAGCGCCTGGGCGGAAGAATACCCATCAGGAAGAAGTGAATACCTGCGCTTTGAAGGATCTGACCACAGGCCAATCATCACCATCTTCGACCCCACCAGGAAGAAAAAGAGAGGTCTTTTCCGCTATGACCTGAGACTAAAGGAAAACGAAGAAGTCCAGAAGCTTATATTTGAGGCTTGGAACACAAGTGAAACAGATACAGTGGAAGGAAAGATCAGCAGATGCAGACGAGAAATCATCTGTTGGAATAAAGAAAAGCATCTAAACAGTCAGGAACGGATTGAGAGGTACCGGGAAGACCTAGAGGAAGCAATGATGGATATACAACATAACACCGAGATCATTGAGGAGCTGAACCGAGAACTAGGCAAGGCTTATCGTGAAGAAGAAGCTTTCTGGAAGCAAAGAAGTAGACAGCTCTGGCTGGCCCTGGGAGAACAGAACACAAGCTACTTCCACGCTGTTACAAAAGGCAGGAAAGCAACAAATAAGTTCTCAGTAATAGAAGATGAGGGCAACAACTCGGTTTATGAAGAAAATGAGATAATAAAAGTCATCACGGACTTCTACCAGAAATTATTCACCACGGAAGAGGGAGAAAGAAAATCAACAGTCTTTCAAGCACTGAAACCATGTATATCAGAGGAGGTAAACAAAAACCTGATAAAAATACCCACCCCAGAGGAGATCAAACAGGCATGCTTCTCCATCCATCCGGAAAAAGCCCCAGGACCGGATGGTTTCTCCGCATGCTTCTTCCAAACCAACTGGGAGAAAGTGAAAACAAAAATCATCTCCGAGATACAACAGTTCTTCTCTACAGGGATCCTGCCAAGAAACATCAATGCAACACATGTTAGGCTCATCCCGAAAATCGCAAGTCCAAAGAAGGTGTCAGACTACAGACCAATTGCTCTATGCAATGTGTACTTCAAGATGATCTCCAAAATTCTCACCTTAAGCACGGATTCTGCTAAGTAAGTACTGTCAAGACACACCGTTTCTGGACTGTCCAGTCTCCACCACTGCGTCACATGGTTGGAGAGGAATATGCGTGGGAAGAGATCTCTTGAAACCATTGGTGGAAAAAGCAATAGGAGATGGAAACAACACGAGACTGTGGAAAGATCCATGGCTCTCAATGGAAGAACAAAAGAGACCAATAGGTCCACCTACGGAGACAACAAAAGATATGTTAGTTGGGGAACTCCTACACATGAATACAAAAGCATGGGACAAAGAGAAAATCCGAGCCATTCTCCCTAACTTGGAATCAGAAATCCTACAAATCCAACCGAGCCGACTGGGAGCAAAAGATAAAATCCAACCGAGCCGACTGGGAGCAAAAGATAATTACATATGGCTTCCGTCAGAGAGTGGAGTCTACACAGCGAAATCAGGCTATTATGAGTCCCTGAATCAGAGCACAGAGACGAGTGAGGACCAAGATCAACAACAACACAACTTCAAATGGATGAAACACATCTGGAACATCCACAGTGCTTCGAAAACAAAAATGTTTCTATGGAAAGCAATGAATGGAGCGTTACCGGTCGGAGAAAACCTGAAGGCAAGGAACATCAATCTGGAGATACGTTGCCCCCACTGCGGAGAGGAAGAAACAACATCCCACCTCCTCTTTCACTGCACGTATGCAGCCCAAATCTGGAGGATGATCCCCTGCAAAGACCAAATCGATCCCTTAAGAATTACAGATATCAGAGCGGGAATTGAATTATCACCACATGTTGTCTGCTTACCTCCCACAGGTATCGGAGAGAGACCATTATTTCCTTGGGTGGTGTGGAGGATATGGATCGCAAGAAACCAATAAATCTTTGACAAGAAACGCCAATCGGAAGAGGAAACCCTACACCAAGCGATCGTCTATGCAAAGGAATGGCAGAAGGCGCAGCACCAGAAGCACAAACGAGCCGCAGCGGGAACAAATCCATTCCTCACGCTCCGACAGGTCTCGCGACGGAATTGGACAACATGCAAAACGGACGCCGCCTGGAGAAAGGAATCGCAATCGGCGGGACTCGGATGGATCATCTACAACCATACCGGTGGCAAAGCAGAGGAGATTCTCGCACAAGGAATGGCATCACGCCGCAACATCAAATCCCCAATCATGGCCGAGGGATTGGGGGTTCTCGCAGCACTCACACAAGCACGGGACCTCGGCACCAAGCAACTCATAGTCGCCTCAGATTCGTAGCAGCTGATCAAGGCAATAAACAAAAGGATTTCCACCAAGGAACTCCATGGGATTCTCCACGACATCCTAGATTTATCTTTTGTGTTTGAGAAAATTTCTTTCGTGTTTGTTCCACGGGAGGAAAATCATCAAGCCGATAAACTTGCAAAACAGACCTTAACCGGCATTTGTAATGAATCGGTTTAGTGAAATAAAAATCCAGCTTTTGCACAAAAAAAAAAAAAAACTGCATCCAATCGCAGTATAAGGACAATCGCAGCATCCATAATTCCATATACATCAAAATCATTTGCATATATGGAAATTAAAAAAGTCAAAATATCTGTTACAATAGTCTTGTGACATGCGTTAAGGGACCACTAGCTACCGTAAGTTTAGTCAATATTTCTGCATCCATATGTAAAAGACAAGTTGATATTTGGAAATTAACGTATACTTTGAATAGTCTGATCAGTCAAGTCGACAATATTTAGAAACTTAGCGTATACTTTGATTCTTTGAATAGTCTGGTAAGACAAGTCAATAATATCGGTGTCAGACGCTCGGTAAGTTGATTTATGGAGTGATTAGAAACTTATTGTGGCCTTTTTATGGTTAAACAGAAAGAGATTATATACTCAGTAACTATGCCAATAAATATGATCTTTAGCTTTCAAGATCAGAAAATCATTGATGGACATATCGAATGTATGCACGTAGATTCTTTGTATCGATTTCATGTGTTAGGATTGACCATCGGTTAAATTTTAGTCTATATTTCCTCATGCATAATCTATAAGAACATCTCCAATGGGAGTCTCTAAATGGAGTCTCTCATATTCAAAATATAATAAAATAATAAGAGAAAAAGAGGAGAATGTCTCAAAACAGAGACTTTGAAAAACTTACTAGACCATCTCTATTAAACTCATTAGACTTTGTAAAACTCAAGGATGTCTTAAAAAAAAAATTAAAATGATATATTAGTATTGTATTAGAGATTTATTGGAGTGTGAAAACCTAGTGTCCAAAGTTTCTTCATTAAGACATTTTTAGTGAATGTCTTACTATGTTTAAGACATCTATTGTATAATATTACTATTTTATGAATAAATATATGTTAAGACACTCATACAAAGTTGTGCAATGGAGATGTTCTTAGAGACTCCATTGATACATGGTTTTTAAAGAGTGATCTTTTTATTTATTTTATAGCTCAAATTTTAATTAGATAACTAAATTATATTAAAATATTAACACTATATTGATGAGAGACTCAAAACAAGGCTATCACCATTTGAGGTGCTCTAGAGTACACTTAGAACATCCTTTAACAAAATTTAACCAATGTTCAATCCAGGCATTATTGGATATAACTTTTGGGGCACAAACCCTCTCATATATATATTTTTATATTTTTTAATATAATTTTTGGTTTATGGTCTTAAGAAATGTATAATATTATTATTATTATTATATTGTGGTCTCGACAAATGGAGATGCTGTTAGGATTTGAGATTTCTCTCTATAAAATGTGAATGTTGTCACAACATTTCTCTTACCAACAATATCTTATCAGTTTTCCTCAACGCTTTAACTAACCACAACAATGGCAAACCATCTTCCCGATCCATTAACCACTTCCACTAAACCAAGTCTAAACAAAGAAGAACGATTTGATGAAGAAACACTGAGCTTGCAAGGGGAGAGGATTTTGTACACCGCGATGGCCTTCCCTATGGTTTTCAAATCCGCCTTGGAGCTTGGCGTTATTGACACGATTGCAGCTGTAGATGAAGGTGTGTGGCTCTCATCTTCTGAGATTGTGCTCGCCTCCCAACCAAACCCACCAACCCAAAGGCAGCGGTGATGTTGGACCGGATGCTGGGTTTACTAGCCAGTTACTCGATCTTGAAGTACCGTATGGTTGAAACCGGAGAAAATGGTGCAACCCGAAAATTTGAGAGGGTATATGCTGCTGAACCGGTTTGCATGTCTTTCTTGAACCGTGGAGATGGCTCAGGGTCCCTCGCGTCTCTGTTCATGTTATCCACAAGCGAAGTCTTTTTCAAGACTTGGTACGTACTAAATAACTATAACGTTTTACCATACACACTAAAAAGAAATATATATTATACGTACGGGTTAATGAACAGTTGATTATTGATTTTTAACAGGGCACATCTGAAAGATTTGATATTAGAAGGAAAAGATGCATTTACATCTGCTCATGGCATGAAACTCTTTGAATACGTTGGTTTCAATGAACAATTGGCTGAGTTGCTTAACCGGGGAATGTCAGAAGGTTCTACCCTGACCATGAAGAAAGTTCTAGAAGTTTACAGAGGATTCGAAGATGTAAACACTTTGGTGGATGTGGGAGGAGGAATTGGAACCATTGTAGGTCTAGTGACTTCCAAGTATCCTCATATTAAAGGCATCAATTTTGATTTAGCCTCGGCTATAGCCCATGCTCCTCTTTATCCAGGTATAATTACACTAATTGATGAAATTAACAATTTTTTTTGTTTGTTTGTAAAAGGATATAAATTTTCAATGCTGAAGTGCTAGTTTTGATAACTATATCTTAAAATTGTTATACTTTTTTTGCTTAAATTTACTAAAATTGGGTGATATATAGGAGTGAAGCATGTTTCGGGAGATATGTTTATTGAAATCCCAAAAGGAGATGCCATCTTCATGAAAGTAAGTTCATATATATACTTCACTTTTTGAAAAAAAAAATTGAAAAAAAAAATCACTAACAAATATATATATATATATATATGATTATGGTCAAACATATATTGACTAGAAAATGAAATGGATAAAATGACAGTGGATACTACATGATTGGAGCGATGAAGACTGTGTAAAAATTCTAAAAATTGTTGGAAAAGTCTTCCCGAGAAGGAAAAGTGATAATAGTCGAGATGAATATGCCAGTGAAGACAAAGATCAACGATTTTGCTTCTAACATTGTGTTTTCCAGTGACATGCACATGTTACTACAATGCTCAGGTGGTAAGGAAAGGTCTTTTACGAGATCCAAACTCTAGCCTCTGATTCGGGTTTCTCTCGTTGTGAAATTATATGTCATGCTTATGCATATTGTGTTGTCGAACTCCACAAAATATAGAGTTTTTTTAAAAGTCCTAATAATATAAACGTAAATTTGTATTTCACACTAAAAAAATAAACAATGATGAGCTTTTGTTTCGTTTTAGTATATTTTCTCGTTTTTATTTGGTGTAATATAGTTTATATTTTTCGCTTTTAAGATTGTGGGCACTGTTTAGTGACAGCAACGTGTAATAAATTTTATCAATGTGAAAATCTTTTTCGTGTTTGTCTAATTTGTAATAAGAAAAATTGCATTAAAAACTTTTAGACCGACATCGATCCACTTTTAGTTTGGGCAAGAAGTAAACATTTCCAAAAAAATTGTTGATTTTCAAACCTCCATAACTCACCAAGATATTGCAACAATCTATATATATAGTTCGTGTTCCTCTCTTCTGGTTGCTTCTAAATTCTCCAATTTGCCACGTCAGCAATTAATTTTTTTATTATTTTTTCTTTTTAATTTCATAATAATTAGCATTCATTACTATAATAAGTTTAACAAGAATATGAAAAGTCATTTTTAGAAAAGGAGAAAGACTATGTATAGATCTATAAAAACTATTATTTAGTAAGTTTACTTTTGTTAGATTATATAATTTACATTAATGTCAAGATATTATATAAAGAACACTGGTTTTTTTAAGTATTTTGGGATGAAATGAGACGGAACGGGACAGGGAAAGAACGAGACAAGATGAGAAGGAAAGAAATGGGAAGGGATGGGATTATAAGGAAATTTTGTCTATCCTTAGTTATATTTAGGGAACGGGACGAAAAGAAACGGAAGGAACATGATGGGACATAACAAAATTGAAAGGAACATAATGGGATAGGACGGGACGTGACGGGACAGACAGAACGAATGAGACGAGAAAGAACGAACATGATGAAAATGAACGAAATGGGATACAATAGGACAAGACGGTATGTTAATTTTGCCAAATCCTAATTATTTTTAATTAATATGTGTAATATTTTTGAAATAATAATAAAATATAGAAATAAATTAAATTTGCGGAAAAACAATAAAATTAACACAACAATATAAATTCCTGCGCAAAGCGCGGGTCACCTCATAGTCTTTTATATAATAGGAGAGTGCTCTCTCCATATAGCCAATCCACATCAGCAAAAAATTCTTTAAACTGTATTTAAGAAATTTAATACATGACTATTCATATTTCTTTCCATATAATCCAAAGAAATACATAAAATAAATTAAGAAAAATACACAAAATCAATTAAGAAATATTAAGTATGTAATAACTTGGTGTCAAAATTTAACAAAAAATTGGAGAATCAATTGGAGAAAGAAAATTATGTTTATTGACCAAAATTTATAGTATAAATAGTATATAATTACTTTATTGATCAAAATTTATATAGAGGATTTATTTTTTGTAAAACATTAAAATGTGTTTAAGAGTTAAAAAATATATAATATTATTTAGATAATACAGCTGAAAGCGAATAAGAAGTTAGAAGTAAGAAATGTAAATTTTAAGGATTATGACATGTTTGTTTTAAAAGTATAATTTAAATTTACAAATATAAAATTGTATATAAGAATCAACGATCATCTTCACCAAACGCTAATCTAAAGAAAAATAAATATATTTTTTTAACATATTTCGAGCCACAATGTGATTCTATATCATGTTTTAAACTTCTTTCTTCAAACTTAATATAAAATTAGAGTCCAATGAAACTGAATAAGTGAAATATTTAAATGTTAAATTTTTGAAAAAAGAACCATAGATGAAGTATACAGTTAACATTTTTTAAGACTAATATTGAACATCCTTAATATGAATAATTAGATTAACTCAAAACGTAACCACTAAAAATAAATAATAAACCATCATAATTTAAATCAACGAATACAGAAAACACAATTATTGTTGCAACAACCCCGCGCTTGTGCGGGTCTTCATTCCCTAGTCAAGTGTAATATAAGACTATATTTAAGTTAGTTAAGACACTACTAAAAAACTTATGTTTAACATCGATTTAATATAATCGATTTGAGAAATGATGTTAAAATATTAAATAACTAGTTGAATTAGCATTGCTATGTTAGATAGAAACTCTGTCTGAAGTATCCCATTTCGGAAACGTTTCTGAATCGAAAAACTCTCGGAAAGTATCGGAAACTTTTTTTTCATGTTTTCTAAAATTTGTAGTTTGGAAACTCGTTGAAAACGCGCGTTTCCAAATTGACAAAATCTTATTTCTTATTTTTGAAAACATAATAACTAAACAACTACATAACAAATAATAATATTAACAGATTACTTTAATTATTTAAGATAATTAAATGATTTATTTGACTCATTAGATGAAATTAGTCTTAGCATTATATATTGAGTTTGAATATCTTTCTCTCTCGATGAAAATAGCTAAAGATAGTTTCGAGATTAATGGAGTGCATAACAATAATAATACCGAATATTTTAAATTTTTTGACTGTGAACATTATGATATTTATTATCTTTAGTTAAACTATTTTTAATATTTAACATAATACATATATTATATAAATATATTATTTATTTTTATATATACACATTTCCAATATTTTATTTTTCAAAATGCATATTTCTCGTTTCGCTTCTGCATTTCCGTTTCCGTTTCCAGCATATATTAGAAGGGAGACCAAAATAATGGAGAAACCGGTCCAAGTAAGCGGAAAACAGATACAAGTGATGTAAATAAATAAGATGAAGCCATTGAGCCACCATGACAGTTAGCTGTAGCGATGGGCCTATGAGTCCAAGATAAAGGCCGTACACAAAAAGTCAGCACACAAATATGCGAAATACAAGTGCCATAGCAGACGAGATTGCAATCACTTGGTAGTAATGTAAAGAGAATATTGACCAAACACATTTAGAATTGTTAATATAAAGAAAAGAAATTCAACTAGATATATAATACCTATCTAGATTTGGACCCGTGAGAAGCACGGGATATTGTAATTGTTCATAAAAAACTCAATATTGTACAGAATTATGTAAATAATAGTATCTTTGTAGGAAAACCAAATCAGTTTTTTGGGTCTGGTTCGGGTTCGGGGCCTAATCTTAATAAAGAAAAGTTTTAGGAGAATTTTTAAGATATACATTTTTTTGGGTGTCAATTTTGAAAACTACATCATATATTAATTTTCAAAATCACACATTTTTTTTCTAAATTTAACATCTAAGTTTTGGTTCACTAATTCTTAATTAGGATCTATATTTATATATATAAACACAAAGTAAGATTGAATATGACTAACATTTGCCTAATTCCAAAGATGGGACGACCGAGTAAGATGACGGAGTTGAAACCAATAAGGCTATGTAATGTGGGTTATAAGAGCATTCACATCCCTCATCCTCACACATGGACTTTTTAATTTTATTTATTAATAAAAAACGATTTTCGAGGAAACAAAAATGATTTTTTTAAGTAAAAGAAAAACATCATCCCAATCGGGTGATGACATGTGGCAGAACCCCTTCCAAAGCAAACTCCGAAATAGCTTCATGTAGAATCGATTGTTTAATTTTTGCATGCCACATCACTATTATTTGTTTTCTTTTCTTTTAAGTGTTAGAGTCCCAATAAAGATGCACAATGTGGATGCTCTAAGATTATTTCAAAATTTAGTTGCCAAAGGCTTAAAGTGCTTCTACGAGAGTTAATTTCGGAAACTCAGTCTGCTTTCGTACCAGACTGCCTAATCTCTGATAACATTTTGATAGCTCAGGAGATGTTCCATGGACTCAGGCAAATAATTTTTGTAAAGGAAAGTTTATGGCGGTAAAGACAGATATGAGTAAAGCTTATGATCGGGTGGAATGGCATTTTATAGAGGAATTAATGCGGAAAATGGGGTTTGTAGAGCAATGGATCTCATGGATGATGTGTTGCATAACATTTGTTAAGTACAAGGTCTTAATTAGTGGACAGCCAAGTGGCAAAATAATACACCATAGAGGCTTACGCCAAGGGGATCCGCTATCCCTATATCTGTTTATCTTAATGTACCGAGGTTTTAATCACAAACCTGAAAAAGACAGGAGAAATGGATGTAATTAAGGGTAACTAATGGATGTTTGGAAAACAACACCAAGCATGAGAGAATTAGAATCAAAAGCGATTACGATTCTGAGATTGAAGCAAGGTTATCAATTAACATAGAAGGAAAAAAACCCAAAATATAGAGATACCTGATTTAAGAAGAAGAGATTTGATTCAAGGATCTGGTAACGCTTAGATTTAGAAAGGAGGAAGATGAATTTGGATTTTGGAGATCTGGAAAAATAAAACATAGTGGTTCACGATGAATAGATTTAGGTGGTTTCGTTTGTCTCTGCAGAAGTGAGAAATTCATGGTAAAAGTGGATTATAGAGTTTGAAGATCGTGGTAGTTTCAAGATCGTGGTCTCGTGGAAGAGAAAATAAAATTTCAGAAAAAAGAAATGAAAAATAACAAAAAAATGGAAAAAACCATCGAAAAAAACAAAAACAAAATTTGAAAGGACATGTGTCGTTCATATAAGCCATGAGGTGACTTGTGCTTTATTAGTACTAGGTTAATTCCCGCGCTACGCGCGGATGGTGTTGTCACTTTTTTCATTTAATTTGTTGTTTCATTTTTGTAAAATTTGTATATTTTTGAATAATATGATAATCGTTCCCATGCAGCGTTTCTTTTAGTTTCTCAAGTTGCCTTTTTACCAACACTCTAAGATATAATTTTGTGGTAGAAAACACCTTTAAGAGTTGTGTCTGCAAGTCTCCAACCAAACAGTTTGAAACTGCTCTTTGCTTTCTCCACTGCAAACACCTTTCAGATTTGAACTTCCTCCTTTCGAATCTCAAATTTCTATCCTTGTGATGTGGTATATCATTTTAGCGTTTGGCGAGACATCTTTAACAAGTCTCTACATCTTGCTCATGTTTTGATGATGTTGTCATCGTTAATACATAGTATCCACCATATCTTGCTCATGTTTTGATGATGTTGTCATCGTTAATACATCGTATCCACCATATCTTCCCTCCTTTTAACTCTTTTGGATTCCCAATGCATTGTAATCTTTTATCTATATAAATCTCCAATTGGTGACAGAAAAACTTTGCACATTCTATTAAATGAGTAATGAGGATTATTGCAGTGTGTTTTATTTGTTTTTGATGACTGTTCACAGCCAGGTTCATTTTATTTAAATTATTGTGGTTTATTACTATCTTTCACTAATTTTTTTATCTCCTTTCATTCCTTTCATCTTCTAGTTCTTCGTTATTGTAATGTTTCCAGTTTTCATCCAATCATTTGATTCTTGTTTGTTGGTTTCTTGAACTCTTCTTGTTTTTCAATCACCTTACAGTTAAAGGTTTTTTGTCTTCTTTACTTACTTAACAACTTGTATCCTTTTCCACCATTTTTGTGATATTCGTAATGTCTGACATTGTTTTATGTTTATGTGATATTTGTGTCTTACAGTGTTCGTCTTTTGGTTTACTTTTCTACAATTGTTTCTCTTCTTAATCACCTTTATTCTTGATATATTGTTTTTTTGTGTTTACATTTTTTGGATATTTCTTGTTATTTTTTGTTCTAATTCAATTGATTGAACTTTTTGTCACCCACAAAATGTGATATCTTCCCTCTCTGTTTATTACTCCTACTTGTGATAAAAGAATTAGCAATTGTTACCAACAAAACCGAAAACATTGCACCGATCTTCTGCAACATTTCACAGAATAAGCAAGTTTTATCTTGAAACTTGAGGGCGAAGATACACATATCTACATATGCCAACCTAATGAATGTGGCAAAGTATGCATAGGAATGTATTTAGTACCATCTCTTTTAAGTTGATAAGAATTCTGACGGCATAGAAGATACGGAAAATTTAGTATTTTAGCTTTTGTAAACTGACAATCGATGAACTTAATTCAATAAATTTCTAAATGCTACATCATCATCAGATTACACCGCCCACTCTCACCGAGGGTCCGCAGTTTGCAATTCCCCAAGAGAACGTGTTGATGGTTCCAGATTCATGCTTCCTAGCGAGACGCCGCTTGTTGCCTTCACCGTAAGCAGCGATGTGGTCTTTGTGTTTCACTTGAAGCTTCTCTACCGTTGTCTGTATCACTGCTAATCCTCGATCGTTCCTCATCAACTTTGTACTGTCGTTACAGTGACTTCCAGCTCTGTTCCAATCACCCTAAAACCCATTCAACTATGTTACAACAAAACTAACCAGGACTGATTTGGGTAATATGGCCATTACACAAGAGATCTCAGTGATCCTATAGGCAACGTTAGTAGAGTTGTACCTCTTGTTGGCCGGATTTGGACCCCCGGCCGGTGTGTAAGCATCCCACATCACCTTCATATATGAATAGCACAACAATCAATAATTTTTTTAATGTGTTTTAGATCAAAATTCAATTTGGCACGCTAATAATCTTAAATAAACGCACCAGAATGTTGTTGCCTCTTCATGCGTTGCTATTCCATTTAACCGTCGTCAACGAAGCTTCCTCAATCTTCTAAGTCAAAGATCTCCCGATATTTTGCTATCTCGGTTGGAGAAGGCGGAAAAGGAAATAAAAGGAACTTAGAAAAAAAAAAAAAAAAAAAAAAAAAAAACAATGATGGTTTGACATGGCTGCTGTTCGTCATACAACGACCCTCATACGATGGACCTATGAAAAAAGTCATCTTCTAGTTTGTTGACTCTGTTTTCACCTCCACGATGACTTGTTTTCCCTTTTTTCGTACAGCCATCTAAGTTTTGCTCCCATACATGAAACCAAAAGATACCCAAAACGAAATTAGAGTACTGTACCTTTTCTTAGTATCTCCTCACTTATTCTTAGAAGCTTTTCAACACAGACTCTCATGGTTCTCTTGCGAGAAATAACATTACCCATCACACACTAAACCCTTTATAATCTCTATTGTAGAAATGTATATATAGTCAAAACCTGCATAAAGATTATAGTACCCAAAGATCCATCATCAAGAGTTAAAGTAAATTAGAAGGTTCATAGTTTGCAAATGTCTATTCTCAGCTAAAACTTAATACCACTGAGATTCTTAGATATATGTAGGATGATGCAGAGGGAAACGTAAGACAACAAATCCAAAGCTAATTCATAATTTACTTGTAAGGAGGATCATCACAGCATCAAAATGTTATTACGAATTTAGAGAGCTGGAAGGTACCAAATGGATATGGTTTCCTGCAAATCATTGTCATAAACTCCACACTTTTATGTTCAGTTGATCCTTTGACACCAGACTATCTAAAAAACACACCTAAAGTAGATTATCTTAATGTGCAAAGCAAGCATATCGAAGGATCTGATATAAGAAGACACTATGTCTCTTTAAATCATATTCCAGCAGTGAATGAGCAATTTTTTTTTTTTTTCAACTTGAAAATGCTTACCGGATTGCTGGTTTTGTGGTCGTACTATACTATAAAGTTACAGATTTATTAGCGTTTATTAGCGTTTGTAAAGTTACAGTCGTTGCACCTTAGTCAATAAATTAAAAATGGTATAGCATCTTCAGAAAGACAAAACAATGATAAAAATATTCCAAAATCAAATTCATAGAAAATGAGAACAGAAGGTAAACCTTTGTAGAGATATCGTACCGTACTACTGGAGAGAACTAAAAGTTTCTGGCCCACTCTCCTCGCATTAGGAGGTGTGTCAATGCATGGAACCTAAAGGAAGCCAAATTAGTGGTTAGGAAAACTAAATTCAACAGTGCAAAGAGATTTTTGAAGGAACAAAGTTACAGAAATTATGTACGACATTTCTCTTATCTTGTTTCAATCTCAAAAAGGTCTAATAAAGTAAATACACAATATCTATAACCATCTTTTTCACATGAAATCCTCGGAAGAACAATAACAGCTTGAATTAGAAATATTCAATGGGAGTTCCACTGGCTGATATTTGTCCATTCACACCAATGAAGAAATAAGACTATTGAGACTTGAGAAGAGCAAGTTACCTATCTTGCATCGAAAAAAAGAAGTTGAAGAAATTTCTGCAGCTTTCAGGTTTAAGTTCTTGCTGCCAGCTTCAATGAATCCAACAAAGCTTTCAGGTTTCAGTTCAAGAAATTTCTCAATTGTTTGATAAGATTTTTCATTTTTGCTGAGATATATGTGTGTCTTCTTGTTTTGAAATCCTAGACCGCCATGGTTAACAAACTCATCAAACGGTTCTGCTTTCCCTGAAAAGAAATCGAAAAAGAAAGATTTAAGATACAAAATTAGCTGTGAAACTTTACAAAATCTTTGATGAATCTTGTGACTACTGAACAACCTTTTTTGAGTCACTGTAGTTCCATAGATGTTGTGTTTCCAAGTTTGATGTTTTGGCGATGATTCCTTACGGTAATGCTTTAGTTCCCAATGGCTTATTGAGATTCGAAATGAAAGATATTCAATCATAAGCTATGATATAGAACAATCTAATGAAAGAAAACAGAAACAAAACTGAATTTCTTCTTAGAAAACAAACCTCGCAATGCTCGCATGTACTGGATGTTTTGTTCTGAATGTTCTGCATCTTACCAGTGATGTTATTATGCATCTTATCAGTGATCTACTCTGTGCAATATGGATTACAGCCATATTCGGATTCTTCCCAAAACCTCAACTTCTTTCAAAGGCATCGTTTTTCCGTAAGTAAATCAAGAATCTATTTTTCACTTGAGCCAGTCCTTTGAATTCGGATACTTCTCACAACCACTCCTACAGAACTAAACATAACAGAGAGAATACGACCTCGTCCAAGAAGTGAAAGCCCCCAACAGGACAAATTTGAGAGCCACATAAGCTCAAATTCTATGGTAAGCAATACCTTAAATGTCACAATGATCAAAGTTAGGAGCTAAATGAAGAAACTTAATTTCAATTGAGCCACAAAGCAAAGTCCTTTCATTTCAGATACTTAGCAAAACCTCATCGAATAAGCTATGATAAAATCTCTTCACCCGGGCTGTCTCCGCCTTTAGAAGCTTTCCGTAGTGAAACCAATCGCGACTTGCCCTTTAGTGCGCCATTCTAATCCCAAGAACAATGTTCACTTCTCCAAAGAACAGAGAGATTCTCCCAATCCAATAATGATACCAATTCCAATATAGTCTCATCTTTGTCTCCTTCTGCGACCGCGCAAAGAAAGCCATAACCTGCAAAAACATATCATAGGCAACTCCAGTAGTTCTTATCTAATATCACTCCACAGTACGAAACAATGGTTTCAATTCAATAATCTAAATTCCAAATCTAGAAGCAAACCAAATCCAAAATCGGTTGAAAACTTTATCCGTCGAAAAGTTTCAGATTCATTAAAACTTTATCCAATTTCTTAAAATAGTTTCTTTTCATCACCTGAGAACAAATGATTCAGAGTATGCAAGATGAAGGAACAAAGGATATTGAAAAGCCAAATAATCGCTACAGACAGAGGCCATTTAGAGGTTAAAAACGATCGGATCATTTCATCGTTTCGAAAATTGGAAACCCTGTTCAAACAGCAGATGTTATATGCAACACAGAGCTAAATGTAAAAGAAAGATGAAGAAAATATCCAAATCGTAAGTTGTTTCATGTTCCCAAACCTCCACAAAACAGAAGGGCAAAGCAACAATCGGCAAAACCAAAAGAAAGAACAGTTGTTTGGAGAAATGAAAAAGAGAGAAAAAGAGAAGGATATTTACAGGGCGTATCTGTGGTGAGAATGGCCATGGGATCGGAGTGTCAGAAATTCAATCATGCCGAAGCTTCATCTTGTCGAGCTTATCATGCGCACCCACTATTGTGAACATCTCCAAACAAAGTTCCTACAAAATCAAAATAACCCATCATTCGTAAATCAGTTAGAAATGGACAGAAAATCGATAAGAATATGATCTACTTCATGCGCAAACCTTTAGTTGGGAAAAAGTAAAGCAGGAACTGAAACTTCTTGTCAATTGTATCGTCTCCCTCGGTCTGTGTCTCCCTTCTAAGTCGAACACTAACGGAAATGAAGAAGGGTCGAAATTGATTTAGTGTGAGATTTAAGAGATTGGAGGCTTAATGAATGAGCACAGAAGAAGGAGAGATTTGATTTCAGCAATGGGTGTAATCCTCTGGTGGATCCGTTTTTCTTTGTGAAAATATGAAATGTCAATCGAGAGGAAGAGCAGAAGACGGATGATTTTTTTTGTTAATAAACGAATACTCCAGACATGCAAGAGAATAAAGGAAAAAAAGTCCAGAAAACATACAAAGTGCCACGTGTCCATCTCTCCCGTGCTGATGTGGCGGTCAGCTGGAGAGAGATGGGCAACTTTTGAAAAAATAAAGCACGAACTGAAACTTCTTGTCACTTGTATCGTCTCCCTCGGTCTGTGTCTCCCTTCTAAGTCGAACACGAACGGAAATGAAGAAGGGTCGAAATTGATTTAGTGTGAGATTTAAGAGATTGGAGGCTTAACGAATGAGCACAGAAGAAGGAGAGATTTGATTTCAGCAATGGGTGTAATCCTCTGATGGATCCGTTTTTCTTTGTGAAAATATGAAATGTCAACCGAGAGGAAGAGCAGAAGACGGATGATTTTTTTTGTTAATAAACGAATACTCCAGACATGCAAGAGAATAAAGGAAAAAAAAGTCCAGAAAACATACAAAGTGCCACGTGTCCATCTCTCCCGTGCTGATGTGGCGGTCAGCTGGAGAGAGATGGGCAACTTTTGAAAAAATAAAGCACGAACTGAAACTTCTTGTCACTTGTATCGTCTCCCTCGGTCTGTGTCTCCCTTCTAAGTCGAACACAAACGGAAATGAAAAAGGGTCGAAATTGATTTAGTGTGAGATTTAAGAGATTGGAGGCTTAACGAATGAGCACAGAAGAAGGAGAGATTTGATTTCAGCAATGGGTGTAATCCTCTGATGGATCCGTTTTTCTTTGTGAAAATATGAAATGTCAACCGAGAGGAAGAGCAGAAGACGGATGATTTTTTTTGTTAATAAACGAATACTCCAGACATGCAAGAGAATAAAGGAAAAAAAGGTCCAGAAAACATACAAAGTGCCACGTGTCCATCTCTCCCGTGCTGATGTGGCGGTCAGCTGGAGAGAGATGGGCAACTTTTATAGTATAAGATTAGATAAGTGTTTTACTTTAATTACATAAAACACAACTTTGCATTGTTTGTTTTGATTTAGTTAAGTTTTTAAACTCTATGGACTTGTAATGTGTAATTCGCAATCTCTTGTGATTCAACCCGTAAGTACTACAATTACATGTTGTGCACTTGCAACTATTAGTTGAGTCTAGAGATCTTTTTTTTTGTTCATCCCACGCATGCATCAAATGGCCCAAACAACGATGGTGCGTGAGAGCTCAGCAATGTCGTCAGGCTGGCCCAAGAAATTAAGAATCGAGGACGCAAAAATGTACATAGGGAGCGATGGAGCATAAGAAGAGAACAACCCAAGATCGCTGCAAATACACTTCCAACATGTCAAACTTCTTCGCTCCAAACGCTTGACCGCACAACGTTGCCAACACAGTCGCCATTCCAATATGCATATATTAAGATATTGTAGTTATTTTCATACTTTCATATACACAATAACGTTCATATTTTTCTGAAGCCAAAAAGGGGTAAAAAAACATGTAAATTTTTTGTTTAAACTTTTATCACAAAACTGGCATGTTAAACCCAAACCAAAATAATAAATAATAATAAATAATAATAATTAATTAATATATCATCATTATAAAGGGTGTTTATGCAAAAAATACCTTAAACTAAATTTGTTTTGCAAATCAAACCCTCAGTTAAAAAATGTGGAAAATAAACCCTGAAGTCAAAAGAACCCATCAATATAGGACCTTCAAGCTAAGAATGCTCTTCAAGCTAAGAAAAAAAAAACATGGTTTATTGATGGCCCAAAGGTCAAACCCGCAGCAGTTGGTAATGATCAGGAATCATGGATCGCTGTGAACTATATGGTCCTTGGATGGCTCCAGACATCTATCACACCTCATGTTAGATCTACAGTGTGTGGTTCATTACGGATGCTCACAGTTTGTTGGAAAAATTGAAGGAACGTTTTTGCATACGAAACAAGGTTTGTGTTCATCATCCTCGAACACAGACTGCTTCCTGCCGACAAGACGAACAGCCCGTAATTGATAATTATGGTAAGCTTCAATCGATGTGGGACAAACTTGATATTTACAAGCCTATTCCAGAATTTACGCATTCTGCAGTTCATCAATATGCAAAGGATAGGGAAGAAGAAAAGGTTAACAAAATTATGATGGGTTTCGGTTTGGGAATGTGATTCAAGCTATTATTGATGCGGATCCATCGCCTGATTTGGCGCAAGCATACGTAAGTGTGATCCGAGAAGAACATAGACTTCTCAATGCCAAGGAACGAGAAGCTCAGGGTGATGAGGTTGGAGTTCCTTCTCGGGTGATTCGTCGTTGGAGACTGTGCAGCAACAGCTCCCGACCTGGAATCCTAAAAACAAGAACAAAGAGCTTTGCAGTCTTCTATGTTCTCACTGTGGGAAAACAGGACACGAAAAAGTAGGTTAACCTTCAAAAACTGATGAATAAAACTGGTGGCTTTTACCTTACCACCATAGTTGAAAACCTAGGCGTACACAAGTCCAATAAAATAATAACATCCAAATTTTATGTATGATTATATATTGCTCAAAGCAAAAAATATTCAAGCCCATAAAAAATTCACTCATTTAGCCACTTTTCTAATAAATATATTTTGGAATTTGTCAACATTAAAATATTATTATCCGTAGGCGTTTGTTCAGGTAATAATTTTAGCTTTGTTTGTTGGGATAGTTTGAAAAGTGGGTAGTTTCAAGTTTGTAATTAGAGAAAGAGGTGGGTGCAAGTTTTAATTAGTAAATCAGAAGAGAGAATGTCATTTTTGGAGTTTGAGGACCGAAATCACCATGGGTATAAGAGAGATAGACTCAAGAGAGAGAGGGAAAAGTGAACCCAAGTGGACCCATAAACATAATATGGAACATGTGAAAAAAGAAAAACATAAAAATAATGCATAAAAATAAATCAAAAATATATTAGTTTTCTCTTTCTTACTTTTTCAATTTTCTTTCTCCCTTAATTTTGTCATTCAAATATATCATTGCAAAAAATAAATTATATGATAGTATATGTATTGAAAAAAAGTAGATTTTTTCTTGAACATAATGAATGAAAAAAAATTTAAACGGTTAATTTTTAAAAATAATAGAATATAGAAAAATCATATGTTAATCAATTCTATAAACTAATATAAATCCTAAACCCCAAACCCTAAATTCTAAAATCAAAACTCTAAACACATAATCATAAACTTTAACATTCAACTTCTAAATTTTAATCCCTAAACCATAAATTCTAACAACTCAACCCTTAATTCTAACAAATTATCTCTAAATTTAAGGTCTAAACTTTAGATATTAATCTAAAATGTTAACTTTAAAACTTCAATGTTAAATCAGTTTTTGATTTAACGGTAAGACTTCAATCTTAAGAAATAAAAATTAAAATCACTTTCCCTTTCTTACTTTTGTGTCTCCATCAACTTTATGATTCAAATATATCATTGTAAAACATAAATTATATAATAGCATATGTATTTTTTTTAAAAGTTTTTTTCTGTATATTTTGAATTTAAAAATTTTCAAATTGGAGAATATTAACACGATTTTATATAAAATTTACGTCTGTTATTGTATACGTACACAAAATCTAATAATATTTATAATGTACACTCTAATATATGGTGTACACAAAAATAGTGTACGCACCAATATATGGTTTACGCGCCAATATATAGTGTACAAACCACCGAAATACAGTGTACGTACACCAAATTCTAATAAATTTTATAATGTATGTGCCAATATATGGTGTACGCATTAATATATGGTATTCAACCCACGGAAATATAGTGTACATACACAAAAAATGAGTAATATATATAGTATACGCGCCAATATTTGGTGTACAAAAGAATAGTGTACACGCCAATATACGGTGTACGCGCTAATATATAATGTACCAATATATAATCTTAGTAGTCTTAGCAATCTTTAACATTATTATAGATTTATATATTATTTCCAACAAATAATGGTGTATCTATACGGTATTATATGGTGTGCATATCAGTAGTGTGCATTAGTTATTTAGTGTATGTGTTATATGGTGGACACTAAATTTTTAGTGTACGTATTATATACGATATATGCATAAAAACTATGTTGTGATATATAATACATGCAACCAATTATAATTTTTATGATCTCAAGTTTAAAGATTAGACTTAGATTTAAGGTTTAAATTTTTTAGATTTAGTTTTGACCATTTTTCATATCACCTATTTTAGAGAATAGAAGGAAAGAACGAAGTGAACGAACGAACATACTATGATTGTCAATAACACTAAAACAAAACTTTCTTCTTTCAGTAGCATTTATTTTTCAAAATTATCCACTGTAACATTTTTAATTTAAGTCCATGACAAAAAAAAATCCGCTAAAGATAAACACTAAACACATAGGTAATCAACTATTTTATCATCGACACTAAATCCTAAATATTAAATCTAATCAAATACTGATGAACCCTTAAAAAAATTTGTAAACTCTAAACCCTAAACGCTAAACTCTAGTAAAAAATTGGTAAACTCATAAAAGTATAAACCTTAATTGCGGATTGGTGAATCCGTAGGACAAAATTATAATCCCCCAACCTCAAACCCTAGATGGTAAAACCTAATTAATGATTGGTGAACGCATGGAAAAAAATGATAACAAAACATTAAAAACAAATGGATTGATGAACCCTTAGAAAAAACTTCAAACTCTAAAATACAATAGGAAATCAACTAATCAATCATCGACAGTAAATCTTAAATACTAAACCCTAATCAAGTATGAATGAACCCTTGGAAAAAATTGTAAACTCTAAACCCTATACGCTAAACTCTAGTCAAAGACTGGTAAACTCTTAAAAGAGGTAAACCCAAATTGCGGATTGGTGAACCTATAGAACAAATTTATAAACCCTAAACCTGAAAACCTACATTGTATACCCTAGTTAAAGATTGGTGAACCCATGAAAAAAAAATCATAAAATACATCAAAACAAATGTTATTGGATTAAACATTTGTTTGATGTAATCTAAAATACTGTAGAAACCCCTAGTTAAGAATTGATGAACCCTTTAAAAAAGTGTAAACTGTAAAATACAGTAGGTAATCAGCTAATTAATCATTGACACCAAATCCTAAGAACTAAACCCGAATCAAGTACTAATGAGCCCTTGCAAATAATTGTAAACTCTAAATCCTATACACTAACTCTATTCAAAAATTGGTAACTCATAAAAAATTGTAAACATTAATTGCGGATTGTTGAACCCATATGATAAATTTATAAACCCTAAACCTCAAACTCTAAATGGTCAACCCTAGTTAAGGATTGGTGATCCCATGGAAAAAAACATAAAATACATTAAAAATAAATGTTTTTGGATTAAACATTTGTTTGATATAATTTAAAATAAAGTAGAAACCTCTAGTGAAGGATTGATGAACCTTTGAAAAAAATGTAAACTCTAAAATACATTAGGTAATCAACTAATTAATCATTGACACTAAATCCTAAATAATAAACCCTAATTAAATTCTAGTGAACCCTTGGAAACAATTGTAAACTCTAAACTTTATACGCTAACTCTAATAAAAAATTGGTAACTTATATGAAAATGTAAACCCTAATTGCGGATTGGTGAACCCATATGAAAAAATTATAAACCGTAAACCTTAAACCCTAAATGGTAACCCCTTAATAAGAATTCATGAACACATGGAAAAAAAATCATAAAATACATTAAAAATAAATGTTATTGGATTAAACATTTGTTTGATGTAATCTAAAATACAACATAAACCTCTAGTCCAGGATTGATGAACCCTTTGAAAATATTGTAAACTCTAAAATACAGTAGGTAATCAACTAATTAATCGTTGACACTAAATCCTAAATATTAATCCCTAATCAAGTACTAATGATCCCTTGGAAAAAATTGTAAACTCTAAACCTTATACGCTAAACTCTAGTCAAAAATTGGTAACTCATAAAAAATGTAAACCCTAATTGAAGATTGGTGAACCCATATGAAAATTTATAAACCCTAAACCTCAAACCCTAAATGGTAAACCCTAGTTAAGGAATTGTGAACCCATAGAAAAAAATCATAAAATATTTTAAAAACAAATGTTATTTGATTAAACATATGTTAGAAACCTCTAGGCAAGGATTTATAACCCTTTGAAAATATTGTAAACTCTAAACCCTAAAACTGGATATTGTTCTACATTCATTCACCCGAACTAAAATAATATTATAGTCTTAAACTAAATTTTTTATAAAGTAAGAGTTTCTAATTCACATTTTCTCAAGTGTACGCAACAATAACACAACATAACACATATAATTTTTCATGGTTTAAGGTTTAACATTTATGATTCTTCCCCATTGATTCAACTATCTTGATTAGAGTTTGGGATTTAGGGAAAGGGTTTATGACATTTTCCCATGGCTTCATCCTTGACTAGGGTTTACCATTTAGGTTTTAGCGTTTATAATTTTTCCCTATAGATTCACAAATCCGCCACTAGGAGCTATAATTTTCCATGGATTCACTAATCTTTGACTAGAGTTTAGTGTTTAGGATTAAGCGTTTAAAATTGGTTTGCATGGGTTCATCAAACCTTAACTAGGTTTTAACATTTAGTATTTCATTATTAATTGTTTATTATTTATAATACAAGTATTTCTCTTTTGCACGTACACTAATATTTAGTGTACACTACTGATGCGTACACCATATAATAGTGTGTAGGTACATCACTTTTTGTGGAAAATGATATATAAATCTACATTAGTATTAAAAAATAGCTAAGAATACTAGGATCATATATTGGTACAACATATATTGGCACATACACTATATATTGGTGTGTACACTATTTTTGGGTACATTATAAGGATTTGTGACCCACATTGAAAAAAAATCATAAACCCTAAACCTAAACTATAGGAAATATATATGTATACTTTTTTTGTTTAAGTCAATGTAAAATTGTTTGGAGGCTTACTATTTTTTTTAGGTTGTCCATTAAAAAAATGCTATGAAAAGAAGGAAAATGGTTTAAGTGGTATTTTGAAGAAATGTTTCATAATTTTTTTAGGTTCAATGATTTTTAATTAAAAAATACTATTGTAGGATTAAAATCTTTTACAAAAATATTATTTTTGGGGATATTTACTGAAAATATATCCATTTGAATATGCCTCTAATTTATTTTCTTTAAATTTGAAATTCAATAATTTTAAAAGGGTAATAAAGAATACTCCATAAAAAAAACAAATCTAAACTTGAATTAGTAATGTATGTTTTAATTTTAGAATTTTATAATTTTGAGTTACTAAGATTATTATTTATTTTCTGAAAATTCTGAAATTAAACATACCTTAACCATACAAAAATAAAAAATACATTATTTTATAATTTAATAATTTTGAATTAATAAAATGAACTGGCAGGAAGGCGTAATTAAATAGAAATCGCATAGGTATATATTAAGGCCCATATGTGTAAGTAAATATGATTTTTAATTTAAAAAAAAAACGAGATGCAATAGGCGTAGTTAAATAGAAATAGTGAGGTCCTTTGATAAGGCCAAATAGTGATCCACCCATTTTGCTAATTTCAAACTTGCACCCACCCAAAACTTAATTCCAAACTTTAAATCCACCATCCCACCAAGTTTCCCTTGTTTGTTTCTTATTGTTTTTTTTTTTTTTTGAACATCAATTTTATTAAAAACGAGTTCACAAGTACGGCGTTACAAACGAAGCAAGCGCTGCTTTTGCCAAGAAATCGGCTCGAGTATTTTCAGCTCTTGGTATAAAAACGACGGAGATCGAGACAAAGGAAGATGCTAGAGATTTGATGTCGCGGAGGACTCCAAAGATTTCAGCAATTTTGTCGTTTGATCTGATAGCTCGGACAAGCGTTTGTGAATCGGATCTGAGGCAGAGATTGGTCCAGTTCCTAGCCTTTGCTTGGATCATAGCCTCTCGGATTGCGATTGCCTCCGCTGCGAGAGAGGAGAGGACCGGGAATTCCGTGCTGTTCCCTTCTTCCAGGATTGCTTGATTGCTGTCAGAGAAACTCCATGCAATTCCGGCTATTCTAGTGTCGGTTCTCCAAGCTGCATCCACATTTACGATTTTCGGGTGATCGGCCGATTGGTGGCTTAGTGAGCTTCTCCCTTTCTTCTCCAAAGTTGCCACAGCTTGTTGAGCCCTTTCCCATTCGCGGGCGCTGGCCATTGCTTTTGTGACCGTGTCCATGGGTGTAAGGCCCCTGTCCTCGAAGATTTGGTTATTGCGGTTGGTCCATAAGCTCCAGGCGATCCAGGGAAAGCTCCACGCACCGGTTAGACCCGTTGGCGGGAGGCTGATCCAAGTTTTCGAGCTCTGGAGTATCTCGATGAAGGGTTGATTGGTCATAGTCGCCTGTCGATTTGCTATCGGAGCTAGTTCCCAAGTTCGTTTTGCGAAAGCACAATGCAACAGGAAGTGATCCCGCGTTTCAAGGTCTCCACACCGGTTACAAGTAGCATTGCTCTCGATTCCTCGGTTAAGAAGGTTCTCTCCCAGAGCAAGTGCCCCACTACACAGCTTCCAGAGGAACACTTTCAACTTCTGCGAGGTTTTCCCTTTCCATACATCTTTGTTCCAGTTGATTCCTGAAATCTCATCATCTTGGTGATTCATGTCTTCTTGTTGTTGTAGAGAGAAAGCTACATGATACCCTGTTTTAACTGAGTAGTCTCCAGATGCCTCTGCTAGCCATATACGTGAGCCTTCATGTCCGAGTTTACTCGGTTTGATTCCTAGGATAGGGATTTCCACCAGAGGGAAAAAAATTTGGACTTTCGATATGTTCCATGTCTTTGTTTACGGGTCTATCAGATCTGAGACCTTCCATCTTGCTGTCTCCTCCGTTGCAGGGCCCATTGGTCTTGTTGGTTCCAGTGACGATATCCATGGATCATTCCACATGCTTATCCCTCTTCCATTTACAATTGCTTTCCCCAGGTTAGAGCGCAATAGGTTCCTTCCAATAACAATCCCTTGCCATCCATGTGAAGCTGAAGCTTTACCTTTTGTTTCCAGGAAGTTTTCATGTCTAACATACTTCCTTTTAGCACCCGGGCCAAGAGACAAGATGGATTGGTGAGGATTCTCCAACTCAGCTTCGCTAGCAGCGCATCATTAAAGGCTTGAATGTCCCGGAACCCAAGCCCGCCATCCTTCTTCGACTTGGTAAGCTTCCTCCACGCTACCCAACACATCTTTCTCTTTCCAGCTTGCTCGTCCCACCAGAATCTTGTCAAAACTGACTGGATTCGTTTGCATAGGCTCATTGGCAGTTTGAAGCATGACATAGTGTAAGTTGGGATCGCAGAGAGGACCGATTGTAGCATAGTCATCTTTCCAGCCTCCGAGAGGAAACGTGAAGACCAACTTGAGGCCTTTCGTTGTATGCGCTCCACTATCAACGCAAACAAGTCTTTCTTTTTGCGACCAAAATGTTCAGGTAACCCCAGATACTTCCCTTTTCCTCCTATGGAGGTTATTCCCAAAATCTCTTGAGCTTTCTCTTTTGTCTCTCTGCTTGTTTTCGCCGCAAACGTGATAGATGATTTGATGAGGTTTATTTTTTGCCCTGATGCCACTTCGTACGTCTTAAGAATTTTTGCTAACACTTCACAGTTCTTCTAGTTGGACATGCAGAAGAACATTGTATCGTCGGCAAAGAGCAAATGGTTTATAGTAGGGCTTCCTCGAGCAACCTTTATCCCCGGCAAAGATCCTTCCTTTTGGGCTTTCGTGCACAGACCTGAGAGAACCTGTCCACAGAGGATGAAGATGAAGGGGGAGAGAGGATCTCCTTGTCTGATCCCTCTTCTTGGTTGAACATTTCCGTGGGCTCCTTCATTAATCAGGTACGAGTATGTAACAGTTGATACACATTGATTTATCCAGTTAATCCACTTAGGGTGAAAACCGAGTTTCTTTTGAACCGCTGCAAGGAAATCCCATTCAATCCTATCGTACGCTTTGCTCATATCTGTTTTAACCGCCATTGAGCAATGCTTTTTTGCTCCGGATGTCTTCAGGAAGTGGAGGACCTCATGTGTGATCATCACATTATCAGATATTGCTCGACCTGGGACAAACGCAGATTGGTTTTCCGAGATAAGGCCGCTAAGGATCGGTTGAAGTCTCAGGGTGAGTAGTTTCGAGATTATCTTGTAGAACACATTGCAAAGGGCAATAGGCCTGTAGTCTGTTACTCCTTTTGGGCTTGAGGTTTTTGGAATTAACCTGATATGCGTTGTGTTGATCGTTGCAGGCAGAAGTCCGGATGAGAAGAGACCTTTAATCTCCTTCACAATCTCATCTCCCACCACTTCCTAGTGGGTCTGGAAAAAACTTGCCGAGAACCCATCTGGACCTGGGGCTTTATCCGGGTGTATTGCAAAGAGGGCCTGTCTTATTTCTTCCTTAGTAGGCTCCGCTATAAGGGTTTCATTCTCTGTGTTTGAGATGCGTGGGGATAGGATAGTTTCTACCATTGAAGTCATGTCATTGATAGAAGAGGAGAATAGCTCGGCGTAGTATTTTTCTATTATGTCTGCAATCCCCGGCTCCTCATAGCAGACTCTTCCGTCATGATCTTCCAACATGGTAATGTTGTTTATCCGTCTTCTATCTCGTGTCACCGCGTGAAAATATCATGTATTCTTATCTCCCAGAGTTAACCATAACTGCCTGCTTCTCTGTTTCCAGTACGCCTCTTCCGCTTTGTAGGATGCATTCAGTTCTGCATTTAGGTTTTGGAGGTTGACTTCGTTTATGGTTCTATCAGACATGGCTTGCTCGAGTTGTAGCTTTAGCTCTTCTATATTCTTCTTAGAATTGACATGATGCTCTCTATTCCATTTGGAAATCCCCTTTCTGCACTTCGTTATGCACTGTTCCACAGTATCTCTAGGATTCTCTTCCCATGCTTGTTTGATGATTTTCTTAATTTCCTCATTGCCTTTCATTCTTCGATCGTATCTGAACAAACCTCTTTTTTTTTTATTTGCAGGTTCCAAGGAAGTAAGAGGAGGTCGGTGGTCTGACGCTTCAAACCATAGATAGTTACTTCGTCCTGTTGGGAAGATCTCTGCCCACACACTATTTGAAACAGCTCTATGGAGCTCCTTGAGGACATATTCGTCAGTATTTTTTGTTTCCATGATGAAGAAGATGTCTGGGGTAATACTAGAGCGTATTTCCCTAATGCGCCGGACTGTTGTAGGGTTCCCCAGCCCACAGCAGTTCCAGCTCGCAATTTTTAAGGAAGAGGGTTTGACTGAGGCCGAAAATTTCCCGTTGCCTTTGAAATGGCCGGAATGATTGTGCCTATAGGTGCCTGTCTACTGGAACTTGAGAGTGTTGGAGCTTGGTGGGAAGCAGCCGGTCTTGATGGGCCCACGTCGTTTGTGGGAGCTGTTTTAGTTAGACGTTTCTTGTTCCCCGGCGATGCCTGCGTGAATCGTCTTCCTCTGATGCTAGTCCCGACCATGGGGCTGTTCCTTTTACTCTTTGGTGGCCTACCCCTACGTTTCTTTGTGTTGATCTGTTGGGTCTCTGGGATCACAGTTTCCTCAGGTACCAGCGCTTCGTTTACTACGACCTCTTCTTCTTGGTCAAATTGTAGAGTTCGGTAGTATGATTCTGTAGCCGCTGCTACTATATTTGCTGCTGTTGTCTCCATTAACTCTTGGTCCTCTGGTTGCATGACCCTCTGTCTTCTTGCTGCTCTTTCCACAGGATCAGCTACGTTGACGTAACAGATGGTTACATCCTGCAAGTCTTCCATAACCTCCTCTGTTGTAGGGATGCCTTGAATTATTGGGGATGGGGAGGTTCTTTGCGCACTCTCTACCTCTTGTCGTCGTGGTCTTGACGACTCCGATCTCTCTGTAAGTGCCAGTTGGGCTCCTCTCGATCTGTGACCTACTTCTCTCCATTGGAATCTTCCTGAGGCTTCCTCTCTCTGATTTAGTTGACTTTGGGAACGAGAGCCTCGCTGATTCTCTCCCTGTGAACCCCTAAGGTTTCTCTCGTTGGTGTACTGCGGTGGGGCCGCTCTGGAGGTATATTCCTGGTAGTTTCTCCTATCCGAGTACGTTGGTCTTGGGGAGGGGGACTGGATTCTTTCTCCAGATCGCTCTCTGGATACCTCTTTTGGTACATTGCTGTAGAAAGATCTTTCGCCTATATGGTTCCCATGTCTATCTCTTCTCTGGTAGGAGTTTTGAGAACTCTCTCTTTGGCCTCTTTGTTCTCTGTGGTACATTTCCTCGTTCGTAGATCTGACCCTCTCCGTGGTCTTTGGTGCTTGACTGGGGTTGTTGTAGGTAGCAGCGTGGGCTGTCTTATTGGTGTTCTCTACGTTCTCCGGGCAGTCAGTTTCAGCGTGCGAGAGGCGGTTGCAGATCCGGCAGTGGTTGCCAAGTCTTTCGTACTCAAGGGTGACTAGGGCCTCAGCGCCCGATGCAAACTCCAGGACCGTTTCTTTCACCAGCGGGAGCAACACGTTTATGGAGGCGTAGATCTTGACCTCTGTCTTTGTTATCTCGTGCCTGAGGAGCTCTCCCACCTCTTTTCCTATGTTACATATAGTCTTCGGCTTCCAGTAGTGGAGGGGTATTCCTTTGAGTTGGATGCAGAACGGGATTTGGGATGGGAACGTGTTAGAGATAACTGGTTCCCATTTCTGAAGCACCACCATCCATCTGGCGAACTGGTATGGTCTATTGTTCAGAATTCTTTGTAGATCTTCTTTGAGTCTGAAACGGAACTGGAAACAGTTGTTTCCCAGGTCTGAGCCTACTATGTTTCCTTTCAGCTCCCATCTGTTTGTGAAGTACGGAATCAGAGCCCGGATCCGTTGTTCATGGGGGTTTGTTACTCTTCCTATTAGGGTGAGAGAATTTTCTTCTTCAAAGTCCGTCGTGTCAAGCTCCGGAGCTTGGATTCTTTTTCGAAGAGAGGGTTCTTTGTCGTACGCTATCCCTTTCCCTTTTTCGGAGTAAGGGAATCTTCCGGCCATCTTGCTTATCTGAAAGTTGTCTAGGTGGATCTGAGAACCGGTCGGCTTGTGACTGGCTAGATATCTTGCGTGCTGAAGACGTGAGTATTATCCGTTGGAGACTAGGGAAAGACTTCCTTTGTCTCTCCGGTTGCGAGCTTTTTCTGGGCGGGTTTGAAGATAGGATGGCTAGAGGGAAAAAACCAGTAACGTTATGAAAGAGCCTTCTACGTGGGTTGCGAGACAAGCTAAGAAAAGCTCAAGGGTCTTCCAGGACATTCTTCAGGGTTGCTTGGCGGTGCAGATGATTGACTACTGGTCATTTCGTTGAGGTTGAGGCTTCTTACCGGTGGTCTGGACGGACCCTCCGACCTGTAGGTGGGGGCTGAACCGCGGCGTTGTGTGTCCCGAGGCAGAAAATTTTGAAAAAACTTCTATTTTGGGAAAGAAAAGACCTAGGAATAGGCTGTGAAAAGGACTTGTCGTGAAAGTCTCCGGTTACTCGAAACTCGTGCTTGGGAGAAAACTAGAGCGCTTTTTGAAAACTAACAAGTAAATGTTTCTTATTGTTTTGTTATCCATTTTACAGAGGATGGTTCTCTTTTTTTGTTTTTTTTTTCTTGATAAAGGGTTTACAGAGGATGGTCCTCTCAATGCCAGAAAATGGAATTGGCTTGTTTCCGGTTGTTGGATTTTCATTATACATAGCGGTCATAGCCCTGGTATGTTTATAGCCAAAGATGGTTATTTTGGGTCTCTAGAGCAACTTAGTTTGTAGCTCAACTTAGTACCTTTCATAATTTTGATCAGATTCATTGTAGAAGGAATGTTAATTCTTGCTGTCATTATCAATTGTTGTGTATAGCTAAGATCCTTGACTGGGAGAAGATTTTTAAAAAGTAAACTCACCTATTTTTTAAAATAGAAATTTATAATTATCAAAAATAACAATCTGAAAATTATTTAGCTGTCAAAATATTTTGAAATCATTATCTTTCTGATAAAAGATATTTTCTTTATTTTGGTCATTTGATACTAAATATATTTATAGGTAGATGCAAATTCTCAGAAAAAGAAAACAAACAACCAAACAAAAACAAACAAAACTGCGTCCAATCGCAGCATCCATATGGACAACCAAAAACATGAACGAACAACATGAAATTATGTTGACGTATATTTAGAAAAGTCGAAATCTCTGTTAGAATAGGCATGTAAAATGCGTTAAGTGGTCTGTAGCTATCGTCAGACAAGTCAATAATATCGGCATCTATATGTAAGACAAGTCGATAATAGGGAAATTACCGTGTACTTTGAATAGTCTGGTCAGTTATTTAGAAACTTGGTTACAATTCTCTCTTCTTCTTCTTTTCTTTTTTTTTTTTTTTTTTTTTTTTTTCTCACGTGTTCCTAAGAAAAGGGAATTTGTCTAGATAGTTTTTTTTTTAATTGTTACTAATCTTACTAAAATCTAATATTATTGGTTTGCTGGTTTTTAAAAATCCATACAAAATCCGTTGTTATTCATAATATTTGTGTTTATTTATTGATTTCATGAATCTATTAAAATATTTTTGACTGGAACATGAATTTTAAACAATTTAACTCATGAAACAAAATTTCCAAATTACTACATATGACACTTAACTTCTCAAAATTCATTATAATAAATGAATTCATTATAATAAAATATATTTTATATACAATATACAAATTTTCTCCAAATCTAACATAAACTCTTTATAAATTTAACAGTTTTCTTAACTCTAAAAATCAATCATCTGTATATAAATTCATCTTCCAATAGCGTATACTTTGAATAGTAAATAATATCAGAATTTGAGTGATCTTAGTTAACAAACAATTGCGGTGTTGGACGCTGACTAAGTTGATGTATTGAGGGATAAGAAACTTATTGTGGCTTTGTTATGGTAAAACATAAAACTTAGTAACTATGCCAATGAATATGATATTTAGCTTTCAAAATGTGAATGTTTTGACAACATTTCTCTTACCAACATGTCTCTTACCAATGTGAATGCTATTAGGTTCTGAGATTTCTCTCTATAAAATGTGAATGTTGTCACAACATTTCTCTTACCAACAATATCTTATCAGTTTTCCTCAACGCTTTAACCAACCACAACAATGGCAAACCATCTTCCCGATCCATTAACCACTTCCACTAAACCAAGTCTAAACAAAGAAGAACGATTTGATGAAGAAACACTGAGCTTGCAAGGGGAGAGGATTTTGTACACCGCGATGGCCTTCCCTATGGTTTTCAAATCCGCCTTGGAGCTTGGCGTTATTGACACGATGCAGCTGTAGATGAAGGTGTGTGGCTCTCATCTTCTGAGATTGTGCTCGCCTCCCAACCAAACCCACCAACCCAAAGGCAGCGGTGATGTTGGACCGGATGCTGGGTTTACTAGCCAGTTACTCGATCTTGAAGTACCGTATGGTTGAAACCGGAGAAAATGGTGCAACCCGAAAATTTGAGAGGGTATATGCTGCTGAACCGGTTTGCATGTCTTTCTTGAACCGTGGAGATGGCTCAGGGTCCCTCGCGTCTCTGTTCATGTTATCCACAAGCGAAGTCTTTTTCAAGACTTGGTACGTACTAAATAACTATAACGTTTTACACACACAACACACAAATATATATATATATATAAAAAGAAATATATATTATACGTACGGGTTAATGAACAGTTGATTATTGATTTTTAACAGGGCACATCTGAAAGATTTGATATTAGAAGGAAAAGATGCATTTACATCTGCTCATGGCATGAAACTCTTTGAATACGTTGGTTTCAATGAACAATTGGCTGAGTTGCTTAACCGGGGAATGTCAGAAGGTTCTACCCTGACCATGAAGAAAGTTCTAGAAGTTTACAGAGGATTCGAAGATGTAAACACTTTGGTGGATGTGGGAGGAGGAATTGGAACCATTTAGGTCTAGTGACTTCCAAGTATCCTCATATTAAAGGCATCAATTTTGATTTAGCCTCGGCTATAGCCCATGCTCCTCTTTATCCAGGTATATTACACTAATTGATGAAATTAACAATTTTATTGATTTAGTTTAGTTTTGATATAAATTTTCTCAATTTGATATAGTTTCTATATCTTAAAATTGTTATACTTTGTTTTGCTTAAATTTACTAAAATTGGGTGATATATAGGAGTGAAGCATGTTTCGGGAGATATGTTTATTGAAATCCCAAAAGGAGATGCCATCTTCATGAAAGTAAGTTCATATATATATATACTTTTTCATTTTGAAAAAAAAAACTATCACTAATATATATATATGATTATGGTCAAACATATATTGACTAGAAAATGAAATGGATAAAATGACAGTGGATACTACATGATTGGAGCGATGAAGACTGTGTAAAAATTCTAAAAATTGTTGGAAAAGTCTTCCCGAGAAGGAAAAGTGATAATAGTCGAGATGAATATGCCAGTGAAGACAAAGATCAACGATTTTGCTTCTAACATTGTGTTTTCCAGTGACATGCACATGTTACTACAATGCTCAGGTGGTAAGGAAAGGTCTTTTACGAGATCCAAACTCTAGCCTCTGATTCGGGTTTCTCTCGTTGTGAAATTATATGTCATGCTTATGCATATTGTGTTGTCGAACTCCACAAAATATAGTTGTTTTTAAAAGTCCTAATAATAAAACGTAAATTTGTATTTCACACAGAAAAAATAAACAATGATGAGCTTTTGTTTCGTTTCTAGTATATTTTCTCGTTTTTATTTGGTGTAATATAGTTTATTTTTTCGCTTTTAAGATTGTGGCACTGTTTAGTGACAGCAACGTGTAATAAATTTATCAATGTGAAAATCTTTTTCGTGTTTGTCTAATTTGTAATAAGAAAAATTGCATTAAAAACTTTTAGACCGACATCGATCCACTTTTAATTTGGGCAAGAAGTAAACATTTCCAAAAAAAAATTGTTGATTTTCAAACCTCCATAACTCACGAAATTGCAACAATCAAGTGTACGTCTTTTTTTTTTTTTTTTTATCAACCAATCAAGTGTAACTCAAGACTATATTTTAAGTTTGAAAAAAAGGGAAGATTACTTATTTAGCACAGATTTATTGAAAAAATGTCACAAGAGCTCAAAATTGTAACCATCTCACATATAGTCTTGGCAAATTTCGTTTTGCTGGGTTTTGCCCAACAAAAGGCACTGCATCTCTGTCCAACTTATCAGAACCATTGTTTCAACTACGCCACAATCATCAAACAACAATGACATTTCATTACTCAATCGAATATACACATTATATGTATGACTACCAAAAGAAGCACATATGCATATCTACATATTGACAAACAAGTTAAGTTAGAAGCAGGAACATCTATGTATTGCACTTTTACGGAAATGTGATAGATTGGTTATAGATTCTACATACTCGCGCCTTTATTACCTGCAGCACTTTTAGCTGAGACCACACCAAGAGAGAGCTTTAAGAGTCCAAGTTGATACGCCCCTGGAATAGATCGGACTTGAAGATAAGTGTTTGAGCGGATTGGAACACAAAGGAACCAACAATGGATGATAGATGAATGGATCGAGTGGCTATACTAGAGAACCCGCGGAAATGGAACTCTAACACCACCTTCGACTTGTTGATATTACGCACAACAAGTGAAAGGATTTCTCTGTGGACTTGATTGATATTACACACAATAAGTGGACAGAGTGATTGATCAAGCATAAAGAGAGGTTTTTGATTTAAAATGATTGATAAGTTTCAAAGAGAGAAAGGGTTTGAGTTTTAAAGGAAACGAGAGAGAAGGGAGAGGAAGAGATGATTGGAACAAGCTCCAACATCTCGAAACACAAAACATAAATGAAACAAAGACTGATAGACGACCCTTCAGCTTCTTGGCGCTCTCCTTTGAAATCTTGGGCCGGACCTCAACACTTGGAAAAGAGAGGATTTGGAAGTGTGCTTGGGCCTCGTTAAAAACCTTGTCAAGAAAACCCAAAGGGACAAAACTTGACAAGGGAAAAAGAGCACACAACACACTTGTCTCTTTATCCCATGTAAGGCCTTCAAGCAAACACTAGAGTAGTTGGCTTGGCTTCTTGGCTGACTCAAACAGCTAAGGACTTTGCCAATTGCTTGGTTTAGTGCCTTAGTTTGTGAACGAGTGATGGGCCAGTTGGAATGGCATGCTCTCCTCAGGTACAAGCTGCGGCTTCAAGTCTCCTCCTCGGCCAAAGCTGCCATTCCATCTTCTTCCTCGGCCAAAGTTGCGCTTCCTGAACCTCCTCATCCATGATCGCATCATCCCCTCCCTCTTGAAAAGGATTTGACCTCAAATCTGGTTCATCTGCAAGAAAAGGAGATAAGTCAGCAACATTAAAACTAGGACTGATATTGTACTTACCTTGGAGATCAACTCTATAAGAGTTGTTGTTGATTCGCTTGGTGACTGTGAAAGGGCCATCAATGCGCGGCATTAGCTTGGACTTGCGCTCGGCTGGGAATCTTTCTTTGCGAAGATGAATCCAAACTTGATCTCCAGCTCAAAGATTAAGTTCGCGCCGTCCCTTGTTGGCCTTCTTGGTACTGCCTTGTCTTTTCCTCAATGTTCTTTGCCTGCTCATGTATCTTCTTCACCATCTCAGCTCTCTTCTGTCCATCTGCACTCAATCTTTCACTCAAAGGCAGAGGCATTAAATCCAAAGGTGACAGGGGTTTAAACCCATAAACAATTTCAAAAGGAGAGAACTTAGATGCTGAATGCACAGAATGATTATAAGCAAATTCTATATGAGGCAAGCAATCATCCCAATTCTTAAGATTCTTTTTAAGCAGCACACGCAACAAGGTTCCTAAAGTCCGGTTTACAACCTCAGTTTGACCATCAGTTTGGGGATGACAAGTGGTGGAAAATAAAAGCTTAGTCCCTAACTTAGACCACAAGGTTTTCCAAAAGTAACTAAGGAACTTAGTGTCACGATCAGAAACAATGGTGCGCGGCATGCCATGCAATCTAATGACATCTTTAAAGAACAATGCAGCAACATGAGATGCATCATCAGTTTTATTGCATGCAACAAAATGAGCCATCTTAGAAAATCTATCCACAATCACAAAAATGGAATCCTTCCCATGTCCTTTTGCGGGTTCAGTGTTGAATCGAGTGGAGCATCTCCTCTTCAATTGTGTCTCGGCCAGAACAGCCTTGTGGAACATTGACTCCAAGGCCACACAATTTTGCATCTCCACGATATCTTGTATCTCACGGTTTAAGCCTCCAAGAAACCGAGACATAGTGGCCTCGCGATCTTCAATCACATTGGCGCGCAAGAGCATAACCTCCATTTCTTGATAATACTCCTCCACAGTCTTGGTGCCTTGGGTGAGTTTCCTCAGCTTAGAATGTAACTCGCGTTGGTAATGGCCAGGGACAAACCGTTGCCTCATGATTCTCTTCTTTTCTTCCCAAGTGGTGACCTCAAAAGCGCCACCAATCTCTCGTGCCAACACGATTTGTTCCCACCACCTCAGTGCATAGTCATTGAATTCTGACACGGCTAACTTGACTCGGTTGGCGCCAATGATGTTGTGTAAGTTGAAATTGAACTCACACTTCTTCTCCCAGTCCATGTACTCGTCTGGATTGCTCCGGCCATGGAACAGTGGAATCTTCATTTTGTAACCTCCCAAGTTTTCCATCATACGATCTGGTTCATCTCGTGGCCTTCTAGATCGGCGCTGGCTAGAGTGAGATGAATGACCGCTACCATAGTAGGCATGAGCCTGATCATCACCGAGTCCATGAGACGCCATGGGATCATTCCTCCTTTCTCCATCCGAAACATGTATTGGATCCTTAGTCTCCTTTCGCTTGCCTTGTTTGACCTGATCTCTCCGATCAAGCTCCTCCACCAACATCTTCTTGATCTGATCCAGTAAGGCCTCTCCAACACCGCTTGATCCTTCTTCCTTTTCTGACGCCATAGTACCTGAAATTTAAGAACAACTTTGCGGCAGTCAAAAGTTCAAAGGAAAATTGTTGCAAATAAATTTTAAAAATTATAGACACAATTTTAAAAATTATGCAACCACTCAGGAATGACAGATCTATGTGAAAATGATCAGAATAAATTGTGACAAAAATATTAAAATTATGGAATAAATCTAAAAGGCAGTGATGGATGGAAATGATCAAATGGATGATGAAACAAGAGATGAACGATGAGCAAATGGTTTTAATATGATCGAAAAGTCACACTTGTCTCTTTTATCCCAAGTGCACAAGTCACACTTGTCTCTTTTATCCCAAGTGTAAGGCCTTCAAGCACACTAGAGTAGTTGGCTTGGATTCTGGCTGACTCAAACAGCTAAGGACTTTGCCAATTGCTTGGTTTAGTGCCTTAGTTTGTGAGCGAGTGATCGGACCACTTGGCAAGGCCATGTTCTCCTCAGGTACAAGCTGTGCGGCCTCATCTCCATCCGCGGCCAAGAGCTGCGCGGTTCCATCTTCTTCCTCGGCCAATAGTTGCGCGTCCTGAACCTCCTCATCCATGATCGCATCACAATTTAAGGCAACTTCAGGTACCAATCAAATTAAAACTATCAAGGATGTGCGAGTGGAAAGTGAAAACAGAAAATGGATGGCATAATGTAACAAAAAAGTATCCCCACTCGTCGGACTGAGAAAAATCTAATATGCTGAGATACAAAACAATACTTCTTGTAAAACACAATAAAGTTTCCAAATGTGAAACTAAGAAATTATTAAAATATTTTTAAGGCTTTTTAACCAAAAGAAGGTATCCATTGTTTTCTTTTCTTTAATTGACTTGGAGGATTTTTATCCGAATTACCCAAATTTAACAGAAAAAGCAAACCCTTGTACGCATGAGTGTTAGCCATCAAATAATTTGAACACCACCAAAATTACATATTTTTTTTTTTTTTTTTTTTTTTTGTTAAAACCAAAATTACAGCTTCAACATTTCCCTCAAGCCAACCCAATTGGATTAGATCATTTTCTCATTTGAGAGACTTCACCAATCTGTTAATTAACTTGAAAAACTTGAATGTGAAACTTCACCTATAAGAGCCGTGCCAACCGTAATAGCTTCCATAAGCGAATATTAAAAAATGCACTTAGTCTTAATTTTTTTTTAGAAAAACAAGTAGGATTGTCACATTGCAAAAACAATAAACTATATTCTAAAACGTAATTTTCGTTCTTTTTCACAAAAATTGATGATAAAGTTTTCAAAATCAACGTTTCTTAACAGTTATTTTTTAGATGGATAAGATACCCATATCACAATTTTTAAAATGCATGGATAAAACTTAGAGAAATAACAAAGTAATTAAAAGGTAAAACACAAAAGGAATAATGTTTTTACCTTAACTGTAACTAAATTTGTTGGAAAAACGTTGAAAAGCTTTGTTACTAATGAACTTCTCAACTCTAAACACCAGCATAAGTGAAAGGAAGAAAGAAATTTACATAGCCTAGTTTTTTTCTTACCTTAATTTCTAAATAATACAAATTATTTCCACAATAATTTATTGTTTAGTAACTTAAATTTTATTTAAATTTATTTTTGTAAGCCCATATATAGTTATCTATAGTATTGTAAATTTTTGAAGTAGTTACGTAGGTCCATACCCATATTTGCTGAGATATTTTAATATTTGAAGTTAATACAAATGTGGAATGACAAATAACTCTCTATAAAAAATTGCCACCCAGCAAAATATTTTTTTTGCTGCCATAAGCAAATTTTACCTTTTGTTTGCATGTAAGCACGGCTCTGTCTATAAACAAACATACATAACTTTTTTTTTTACTTAAAAGGGTTTTCTTATATTAATAAAATATAAACGTTTACAATGAAGTAAAAGAAACCATTACAGCCAGTTTACTAAAAACAAGTTTCAGAGAAAGAAACTCGATGTTTATCAGAAACAGAGTAAAAAGGGAGATTTAAGGATCTCTTATAGACAATTGCTGAAGAATCAGAGAGCCTTTACTGTGGTCTAGCTGGATAAGGGCACGGCATTTGTCCTTCACCGTTGAAAAGATGAGTTTCAAGATCACATCTTGATTCATAGTTAACCCATCATAATTTAGAAACAATAGTTCGATTATTTGATTCATGTATGCATGTTTTAAGTCCGCGTATTTCTTGGCCATCAAGAAGACAGATGGAGCTGCTGTTTTGGCTAGAAAATTTGTGCGAAAGATTGTAAGGCTGCATGGAGTGCCAGCTAGTATTGTGTCAGGCCGTGATCCCAGATTCACTTCAGAGTTTTGGAGAGCTTTTCAGGGAGAGATGGGCACTAAGGTCCACTTGAGTACAGCTAATCATCCGCAGACAGATGGGCAATCAGAGAGGACTATCCAGACTTTGGAGGATTTGCTGAGGATGTGTGTGCTAGATTGGGGTGGCCATTGGGCAGATCACCTGAGCTTAGTTGAGTTTGCATACAACAACAGCTTTCAGGCGAGTATTGGCATGACTCCATTTTGAGGGTATGTATGGGAGGCCATGTTGGACACCCCTATGCTGGACCCAAGTGGGGGAGCGCAGCATGTATGGAACTACTTATGTTCAGGAGACGGCATAGAAGGTCCGTGTTGTGAGGCTGAAGATGAAGGAGGCTTAGGATAGGCAGAAGAGTTATGCAGATAGATGATGTACTCAATATTTACATCATTTAGACATATAATTTCATACATATTTGCATGTTCTTGACATTCATTTCACTCATTTTAGGTCAATTACCTTCCATTGTGTACATTCATACCATTTAGAGCATACATTGCATACATTCTGCATTTGGAGTTGCAATTAGGTACTTTTGAGGAGTTTTGGAGCTAATTCAAAGATCAGAGTTTGAAGAAACGTTCAGGAGCTCGCAACCAGGATGTCAATCAGGTTCTAGGAACCTGATTATCGCATTTCAGCTGCGCCTTGACCAGAAGACTTGTTGACCCACGTTGACCAAGCTTTGACCACTATCCAACTGTACCAAACCGGGATTAAATCTCAATCTTTGGAGTCTAAACCAATTGGGAAGCAAGAAAAGTCAAGATAAATGAGTCGACCAAGGGTTTTGAAGTCTCCAAGTATAAATAGATTAAAGTCCTATTATTTTAGGCATCTTGTAATTTCCTCTTTCAAGAACACCAAAAACAGCTCCTTTAGGGTTCTAAACATTTTGTTAGATCCCTGATATATCATGGTTTTTATGGGTTTTTGCCATGATATAAGTCTTGTATATAGAGTCTTTTTAGTGTTTTTGGAGTCTTTTTGAGTCTATTCAGGTCAAGCATGTTTTGGAGCACAATTGGAGATTTTGGAGCTATTTGGAGCATATTTGGGGAAGCTGCTGGAAAACAAGACAAATGCGTCGACCGACGCAATTCATTTGTGTCGGTCGACGCAAGCTTTTCCCAGAAGTGCAGCGATTTTTTAAAGGCTTTTGAAGATCTGCACTTTGGCCCACAAGTTCCACTTATTTACAAGAAGGCCCAATTCGTGTTTTAGAGAGTTTTTAGGTTTAAAAGCCATTGTTAGGCTATTTTTATCATTACATCTTATTTTCTATTGAGACTTGGAGAGATTTGTTCAGAGCTTTTGGGGAGACTATTCTGCTACTCTGTCCGTTTGAGAGAAGAATTCGAACCCCTGTTATTTTATATTTCTCTTTAATGCAATTTATTCAGTTTATGATGTTGTCTTCAATCACCATGTCTGATGTAGTTAGGTTTTGGGTTTTTCAAAGGTTGATGATGGATTGTTAGAATTGAATAATGTTAGGATAATCTTATAGTTCTTCATCTGGATTGTGCTTAATCATTGATTTCTAGAATTGATCAGCTGGAATTCATACCCTAGGTTGATTAGTAGATGCGAAAGTGTTATTAATCCCTGAACTATCTTAGATGAGCAAAATACCTATCTGCAAAGGAATTTGGTTTAGGGATTTTGTGAACAATTGAACCTGAATTAATGCTTGTCTGATTTATTGAATTTGCAAAGAAATTTGGAATTCTAGATTTGACATAGATAATCTCTGCAACGAAAGTTGATTGGTTTTACATTAGTGATTTGAGTTCGAGAACGGTGCTTAATTAATATCCTGATACTTTAATTCTGCAATTCTGATTCAACCTGCGAATTTCCCAAGGCCTAGCGTTTGTCTCTCTTGAATTTAACTTCGTTAATCACTCATCTGCTACTTGTTTTCTTTTATTTGGTTTTCATTACTATCATATCTCTTAGCCTGATTTGAATCTGGAAATTCGTTGTGCAACTGATAGACGTTTGGATTCGATAACCCTATTTACTACGACTGAATTGCTGTGCACTTGCAGTTAATTTTAGTGAGAACTTTACACCTATCAATCTCAACTTCGATTTTAATCAAATCAAGTTCTTTCCTTCTACAATCTTCTTATCTTATCTCTCTAATCATGATTAGGACCCTTTCCCCATGGGATTTGGTGTTCTAAGCATGATTAGTGAGTAAACCCCTTTGGTCTTAGAGGATGGGATAGATTAGGGATTTTAGAGTTTGATTTTGATGTTTAGAGGTTAAATTTCGTTACAATCCTTCCTTGTTGGGTTTTCTTAATGCTAGGTCTCTAATGATAATTTAGATCTAGGTTTTAAACATTTCCCACATCAAAAGTGTTTGGAGAAATGTTGGACCAACCAACAAGGAGATTTGCTTCTCTAGCTCATGATAGTGACTGTTTAGAGAGCTTATTGGTTTAGGAGAATTGTTGCTTATTGCTGGCTTGAATCCTTTCCACTAATGAAAGTTAGCTCTTGGATTGGGTTCTTGCTTTGTGATTTTCACCATGAAAATGGGTTAATCTTGCTTCTTGAATTCTCTTCCTAGGATTGTTTGTCTAAACATCATTATCAACCTCTAAGATTCTCTAATCAATTACCCCATCCTAAGACCTCTTTCTTCCTTTGAATTCATCTACTTGCTTGATTCAATTTGGTTTCTAGCTTAGTCTTTGATTTCAAATTGCTTCAAACTCTGTTTATTGCCTTTATTTCTCCATTTTTACTGTTCATTTCGGATTTCACAAAACCAAATCTTTTTGCTCTTGACTTGAGAAAGTTTCTTGCTTTCTTTCTTGTCCCAATCACTCTTCAAAGTGGATTGATAACCTTAAACTATGCTGCAATGATATGAGCAGGGATTAAGGGTTTGAAACACCTAAAAATCTTGTTTTCAAACTGGCGCCGTTGCCATTTGGAGAGATTTGATTGGACATTTTCGATTTAGAAATTTTTCAAGATCAAGTTTTTATTTCATATTTCGCTTGCTGCTCATCCGTTCTTGAAGTTTCTTTGTGGTTTTGCAGGTTTATGAACACAAGATCACGTGGTCAAGACATTCTGTTCTGGACAAGTGATTTTCAAAGAGCTGAACAAGAGAAACAGTCAAAGCAAGGCAGAGATAGAGCTGAGAAGCAACTGAGAGCTGAACAGCAGCTAGAGAACGTGTACCATAGCTTGTGAGCATGGCAGACCCACCAGGGGTCCCAGAGTTTCCATTGGGAGCTGACCAGCAGCATGGAGGATATCCAGTTCATCCTCCACACCCTCCACGACAAATCGGAGCTGCTGACACTCCGACTTCTCATGTCAACCGCCACGGAATCACCCCACCACCAGTCCCCTTTAACTTTGAAATCAAGACCAGCTTGATCTCATTGGTGGAGAGTTCAGTGTTTCATGGCATGAAGGATGAGGATCCATTGAAGCATCTTGACAAGTTTGACAGAATTTGTTCTTTGCAGCAACTCAATGGAGTTTCTGAAGATGGTTTCAAGTTAAGGCTTTTCCCTTTCTCTCTAGAGGATAAAGCTCTCACTTGGGAAGCATCTCTGCCTGCTGGATCAGTCACCACTTGGGCGCAGTGCAAGCAATCTTTCTTGGCTAAGTTCTTTCCAACCTCAAGAACAGCACAACTGCGCAATGATATCTCCGGTTTCACGCAAATGCATGGAGAAACTTTCTGTGAGGCATATGAGCGCTTCAAGGGCTACCAGATGCAGTGTCCTCACCATGGTTTCTCTAAAGAGAATCTACTGAGTACCTTGTACAGAGGAACATTACCCAAATACAGAATGCATCTTGATTCAGCAAGCAATGGTTACTTCATGGGTAAAGATGTTGATGCTGGATTGATTTTAGTTGAGAACGTTGCCACTAGTGATGGAAGCTATGGTGAAGATTGTGACAGAGCTGAGAGAGGCAGTCTTGCTCAAGAAGAGAATCACAAGAAGGAGCTCAAGACTCTCAATGATAAGCTTGACAAGCTACTGTCAGGTCAGAAAAAGCAAGTGCACTTCATTAATGGTGAGGAGATTCAAGAGAAAAAGCTCAACTATGTGGACAGCCAAGATGGAAACCAATGGGTCTATTACAAGCACGGTTTTTCTCCACAAGATCTTGGGTCTACTCAAGCTCAAGGAAGCCACAATTCTGGTCAAGAGGCAGAGATGAAGACCATATTGCAACAGATAATCCAAGGACAAGCTAATGGTGCCTTAGAGTTGAACAAGAGGATGGTTGAGATTCACAATAAGGTTGATTGCTCATACAATGATCTAAACAACAAGTTTGAGTCTCTAACTACCAAAGTGCTTACCTTGGAAGCTAAAGTTGGTGGTTCTTCATCATCAAGTACAAAGGAGTATTGTCATGCAGTTTTCTCTACTAAAGATGGTGTGGCTGAGACTGAAGAGAATGAGAGAGCTATAGAAGAACTTTACAGGCTCCTTCATGGTACAAGTGTTGAGATTTCAGTGAATGAGAGACTTCTCAAGCTGAAAAACGAAATGCCAAGGAGGAAGCCTCAAAGATTGTTGCAAGAGAAGAAACCATCAAGGTTGAGCCTCCTCTTTACAAACCAGAGCTTCCATTTCCTGAGAGAGTTCTCACTAAAGCTCAAAAGAAGGTAGTCTCCACATTCAGGAATGATATGAGCAATATTGGTGTTCATCTACCCAACATAGGCAATATGCAAGAAGCTCACCTCCAAATAGAGCTGATTAAGATGTTCTTGTGAACAAAGAGAGAGTGGCAGCGCTTCTTGAGCTCTCTACACCCCCAGATCCTCCCATATCACGCCAACCTCCATTCCCAAGCTTGAGAAACAAGGGAAGTTCACATTGCCTTGCACCCTTGGAGATTTGAAGCTTGATGATGCTCTTGTGGATTCTGGAGCAAGTGTGAATCTGATATCACTTGCCATGGTTAAGCAGCTGGGTATAAAGAGCATGACGCCTCCTACATCTTCTATCATGTTTGGAGATGCCTCTTCTAAGTCTCCACTTGGTCTAATCAAGGATTACCCTTTAAAGATAGGAGACTGCAAGGTTCCAACTGATCTGACTGTTTTGGGTATGTATGGAGATAAGGAAGGTACCATTGATCCTTGGAACACCATTCCTTACAACTGTTGGAGCCTCAATTGACTTTCACAAGAAGCTGGTCACTCTCCACAATATCAACAGCAAGGTTGCATACCCAATGAAGGTTTCTTCAACAAGTTATTGTGGAACCATAACCATTGCCAATTCCAGCTTCAAGAAGGACAAGGTTGAGTGTGACAAAGTTGTGCATGTGCTTGATGAGTGTGGAGAAGATATTATGGATGGAGAGTGTCTCATTGATATGTTTAGTGAGCACATGGGACGTGCTCAGAAGGAGGAGGTGTGTAGAGGCAGAGAGGCCACTCTTAAGAGAAAGAAAAAGATGGAGAAACCACATCCTCACTCTCTTGATCCATCCCCAGGTGATCCAGTCAAACCCCACGGTTCTCTTGCTCATGCCATGGCTATACTGTCAAAGGCGTGCAGCCCTTCACCATTCACTAGCAAGAGTTAAAGAAGGTCAAGCTTGGGACCTAAAACAAGCTCACTTGGGAGGAAGTCCCATGCTTATCCTTTTGTATATACTTAAGCTTTTCAATTTTTTTTGTGTTTGCCTTTGGTGCTTTTGTGTTGTAGGTTTGGTGCAGCTTGTTTGGATGAGGAATTGGGATGTTCTTGAGAGACCTGAGTTGATTGTCTAAAAATCAGATTGCAAAAACTTGACAGAATGGTCGCAATCAGGATTTCAAACAGGTTTGCTCCTCAGAACAACCCGATTCCCGTCTGAGCCATGTTAAATCTTTGAGGTCACCAGCTCTGGAGTACAGCAACGCATCTTACAGCCTTGAAAATCAATCATCCTCCTCCTCCATGAGTACCTGAGAGGTACAACTCCAACACATTGTAAATACTATGCATTTTTAGTCTTCTCTGTTTTTGCATTTTGTTTGATGGGTCTCTTCTTCAAGCTTTTATTTGCACAAGGGACTGTGCAGTTTAAGTTTGGGGGAGAGGTCCATAGCATTTGACCTTGTGTTCTGTTTTCTTATTTTCGATTTTCATCCTTGAGTCTCATGCATCATGTGCATTGCATCTATGTCATAGAGAAAACCAAAAAAATGAAAATTTTCAAAACATTGCATAACACAAAAAGAAAAGCATCATTTGCATTTGCACATTAGGATTGAGTCTAGATGCATCTCATGTAGTTACTTGCACTTGCATAAGAAAAAAAATATTGATCATTTCCATTAAAAGGTGTGATTTTTCGAAAAGTTTTCAATGGCCTAGTTGTTAATTATTTGGTGCATATTGAGTGAGTTTGAAGTTAAGATAGAACCACATTTGGAATGCACATTTTGACATCATGACTTGGTTGAATCATTGCTTTGAATTGAACTCTCACCTTATCTATTGGAACCTAATTTGATCACTTAAATATCATTCTCATGCATTAAAAGTTTCTGCTCATGGATTTTGTTTCCCTTGGACACTCTTTATCCAATTTTCATCCTTCTTTGTGTGTCCAAGTTTGTTTGATAACCCTCCCTGAACCAAACCTTTCTTTCAAGCCAAAGCTTTTACTGAGAGATGTGAGGCCTTTTCCAGATTGAGCTAAGCAAAAAGTGTTGAGTCTTGACCGACAAAGTTTGAGCTTCCATGTAGAACTAGCTCACGTTTTTGAGCTAGACTAGGCTTAGGAATTGGGTGGTTGGGAGTTTGTGAGGAAGAGAGTGAGTTTAAAAGAGACCTTGAGAGTGGCAGAAAGTAAAAAAGAGAAAGGATGGGAGAAAGAAAAGAAAAGAAAAGGAGAGTTAAAAAGAGTGGTGGCTGTGTGAAGTTGTCAAAGTTAGGCAAGAAAAAAAGAAAAAGAGAAAATCAAAGCCTAGAAAAGAAAAGCCTTAAGCCACAAAAGTTCAAAAAAGTCTACTCCTCTGTTTTGAAAAGAAAGTTTATCCTCCCTTAAGTCCTAGTTTATAACCCTTCAAGGTCCAGAAAAGAAAGAAAAGAGAGAGTGTCATTTGGGTTCATTTGAGTTTCATTTTCTTGAAGAAAAGGGTAGCTAGGATTTCAGTGGGTATCTTTGGGTTCTCAGCTCTGTTTTGGGTAGATGGAAGTTCAGCTTTGTATCATCCTTGGACTTGACTCTTAGCATTTTGCCCAAGCTCAATCCATCTTTGAGAGATCCCTGTTTTAAAAATGAGTAAACCACTTTGGAGAAACCTTTCATATCTCCTAAAAAGCCTAAACCCTTAACCAAATGAGCAAATCTTGAAGTGCATGAGTTTTGATTCATGGTTTGTATTAATTGAATGTCAAAAGGTGAGAGTGATATGAATGCATGTGTAGATTGGGTCTAGTGTCATTTTGTTGCTTTGATGAATGTGGCTAAAGTTTTTGAAGTAAAGCAAACTCACTTGCATCTTATAATTCTCAACTAGGACATTGATCTCATTTCTTCTCATTGCACCTTGGAATCTGAGTCTTTCTCCTAATCCAATACTCTCAGATTTGTTCTTCTTGCTTGAGGGCAAGCAAGTGATAAGTTTGGGGGTGTTGATGTACTCATATTTACATCATTTAGACATATAATTTCATACATATTTGCATGTTCTTGACATTCATTTCACTCATTTTAGGTCAATTACCTTCCATTGTGTACATTCATACCATTTAGAGCATACATTGCATACATTCTGCATTTGGAGTTGCATTTAGGTACTTTTGAGGAGTTTTGGAGCTAGTTCGGAGATCAGAGTTTGAAGAAACGTTCAGGAGCTCGCAACCAGGATGTCAAACAGGTTCAGAAACCTGTTTCTCGCCTTTCAGCTGAGTTGACCAGAGACGTTGACCCGCGTTGACCAAAGCTTTGACCACTATCCAGCTGTACCAAACCAAAACGCAAAGTTTGGAGCCAAGACCATTTGGGAAGGAAGAAGTCAAGCTAAATGAGTTGACCAAGGGTTTTGGAGTCTCCAAGTATAAATAGATTAAAGTCCTATTATTTTAGGCACTTGTAATTTCCCTTTCAAGAACACCAAAAACAGCCTCTTTAGGGTTCTAAACAATTTGTTAGATCCCAACTTCGATTTTAATCAAATCAAGTTCTTTCCTTCTACAATCTTCTTATCTTATCTCTCTAATCATGATTAGGACCCTTTCCCCATGGGATTTGGTGTTCTAAGCATGATTAGTGAGTAAACCCCTTTGGTCTTAGAGGATGGGATAGATTAGGGATTTTAGAGTTTGATTTTGATGTTTAGAGGTTAAATTCGTTACAATCCTTCCTTGTTGGGTTTTCTTAATGCTAGGTCTCTAATGATAATTTATCTAGGTTTTAAACATTTTCCACATCAAAAGTGTTTGGAGAAATGTTGGACCAACCAACAAGGAGATTTGCTTCTCTAGCTCATGATAGTGAATGTTTAGAGAGCTTATTGGTTTAGGAGAATTGTTGCTTATTGCTGGCTTGAATCCTTTCCACTAATGAAAGTTAGCTCTTGGATTGGGTTCTTGCTTTGTGATTTTCACCATGAAAATGGGTTAATCTTGCTTCTTGAATTCTCTTCCTAGGATTGTTTGTCTAAACATCATTATCAACCTCTAAGATTCTCTAATCAATTACCCCATCCTAAGACCTCTTTCTTCCTTTGAATTCATCTACTTGCTTGAGCATTTTTGTTTCTAGCTTAGTCTTTGATTTCAAATTGCTTCAAACTCTGTTTATTGCCTTTATTTCTGCATTTTTACTGTTCATTTCGGATTTCACAAAACCAAATCTTTTTGCTCTTGACTTGAGAAGTTTCTTGTATTCTTTCTTGACTCAATCAATCTCCATTATGGATTGACTCTCAAATACTACATTGACATGAGTGGGATTTGAGTAATTGAAACCATTAAAAATCATGTTTCAACATACAAAGACGAGAGCTTGAGTTTTAGGTTGGAGATAGAGTGTATCTCAAGATGGCTATGTTGAGGGGTCCTAACAGATCCATAGTAGAGAACAAGCTGAGTCCGCGTTTTATGGGGCCGTTTCCTGTAGTGGAGTGAGTTGGGCCATTGGTTTACAGGCTGGAGTTGCCTGACATTATTAGAGCCTTTCACAAGGTTTTTCATGTGTCGATGCTGAGGAAGTGTCTTCACCCTACTCAAGCCAGATTTGACAGTGCATGTGAGGATTTTAGAGAGGAGGGAAAAGGTTCTGAGGAACAAGAGGATTCCCTTACTAAGGCTTTTGTGGGATTGCAGTGGTTCTACAGAGGAGACTTGGGAGCGAGAGGCAAAGATGAAGTTGAAGTTCAGGAAGTGGTTCGACAAGCAGGTCGAGGAGTGAGCTTCTTTCATTTTTGTAGTTCCTAGTTGTTTTAGCTTTTGAGCTTTGTACTTGTATTTTCGTTTGGGTTTGCAATGATATACATTTTGGAGTTTTAATGAGATGTAGTTTTTTCTCATTTTGTCTTGTGTTGTCAAGTGGTATTTCGGATGTTACAAGTGTTTGACTAGTTGGTGGTGAGACAGTTCTGATTTTATTGTTATAGAAGTCTTAGAATTTTCGCTCTAAGGATTGCGATCATGAATAACTCATTACAGTTTTGGAGACAGTGGTTCTCTCGCAGAGTCGTCTGAGTGTAGTGGCCTCAGTATGAATGACTTATCTGAGTGTAGTGGCCTGAGTATAAGTTGTGGCTGACTTATTTGGGTGTATAAGCAGCGGTTGGCAAGCCCTTGGGTGCAGTGGCCCCAGTTTGGGTAGATGCAGACTTGTCTGGGTGTAGTAGCTCCAGTACAAGTTGTTTCAGGTGATGAGTTAAGAGTAAAGATGTTTAAAGACGGGCGTGTAACATAATATTTTAATGTGTGTCTCGGGGATCAGGTGAGGATCTCCAGTGTGGTGGCCTTGCGAGGTCGAGGTTTTACGGTCTTCGTGACGTGTTTGTCATGTTTCGAGGTTGAATCCAGTTTAGTGGGGTAGAGTTGTAACATCCGCAAACCAACAATTGCAAAATTGACGCGGTTCAATTTGAGTTATTCGGTTTAGGTTGGTTTAAGGGAAAATCCCAAATTCGATGGAATAAAAGAGAGCAGGCGCCTAGTTTTGCACAGTTTTCGAGTCCAGAGGCAGGAGAGGAGAAAAGTGGAGTTTCTGGAGCAGAATTTCGTTACTGTTCATCATGTTTCCTCTTTCCTTCGGTTTCAATCCATTGTCAAGGTGAGTGCATGACTGTGGGTCCGCAATATGCTAGATTCTGTTTTGTTTGTGGTTGTTTTTTGAGGAGTTTATGTGTTTGATTGTTGTTTCGTGGTATTTTGGTTGTTGCTGTGGTGAATTGAGTGTTTTTCTGGTTTAATCCGGTTTAATTGAATTTAATTGATTTAATTGGTTTATCTTGGTTTAATTGAATTTAATTGATTTAATAGTATTATCTTAGTTTAATTGAATTTAATTGATTTAATTGATTTAATGGAATTGAATTGGTTTAATTCGGTTTAATTAATTAAATAATATTTAATTAATTAGTTGGCTTAAATAATTATTTTAAATATGTTAAATTATTATTTAATTATGAGAATTATTTAATAATTGAGAATTGAAGTTCTAATTATTGAGGTTTATAATAATTTTTAAGATGTTATTTAAATTGCTAGTAATTGCGTAAATGGCATGTAGGCAGATTGATTGCCTCACTAAGTATTTATTAAATACTTATGCAACTTCATTCCAATGTGTTCCATGTAAAAGGTTTATGTGATCGCGGAATCAAGGCTGAAGAGGGGATTATAGGATATTTACTGTTTTATTGTTTTGCATTGTTTGACTTGCTAGTATTTCTTTAATTATTTATTTGAATTCATTTTTTGAACCTGATTTATTATTTATTTATTTATTTAAAGATCTCCGCTTGAATTTTTATTTAATTGATTTGTATAAAAAAAATTGGTTGTTTCATTTTGGTATCAGAGCCATGATTCAAAGAAAGTTGACCTGAAGAAATAGGTGTGGGCATTACACAAGATGTCGAAAGAAAGCTCTCAAGTTAACCTTGCGATAAGGGATGCCAGATTCTTATGCAGAGTTCCCGTAGAGTAGTACGGAAATACAAGAAGGGATCCAAGTTTCACTTAAAAATGCCACGAAAGAAGGTGGAGGAGCCACGAGGTTATGTGGTCCTTGGCTTGATGGGGAGAATGTTGAATATCAATCAAAGTCTCACATCGGAATATTAGACAAAAAGTATCAAATATATAAGTAGTGTCCAACCTAATTAGTTGAGGCCTTTTGGGAAGGAGCCCAATAACAAATCCGTGAGGGCTAAGATATATGGGCCCAAAGCGGACAATATCATACTACTTAGACGGTTGGACACAGACTTGAAAAACCCTTTTAAAAAAAAAGAAATAAATCAATTAAATAACAATTCAGCGGAAGTCTTTAAATAAATAATAAATCACGTTCAACAAATGAATTCAAATAAATACTTGAAGAAATACTAGCAAGTCAAACAATGCAAAACAATAAAACAGTAAACATCATATCATCCCCTCTTCAGCCTGATTCTGCGATCACATAAACCTTCTACATGCTGTTGCATAAGTACAGTAGAAACTCTATAAATTAATACTGTTGGGACCAAACTATTTTATTGATTTAGCGAGTTATTAATTTATCAAGAGATCATTTGTATCAAAAACTTAGTTTGGGACTTGAAAACTCTGTTAATATATCGAGTTATTAATTTATCGAGTATTAATTTATAGAGTCTCTACTGTATTTAATAAATACTTAGTGAGGCAATCACTCTGCCTACGGGCCATTTACGCTATTACTAGCAATTTAAATAACATATTAATAATTATTATAAACCTCAATAATTAAATAATTCTCATAATTAAATAATAATTTTAGATATTTAAGCCAATTAATTAATTAATTAAATCCGAATTAAACCAATTCAATTCCATTAAACCAATTAAATCAATTAAATTCAATTAAACTAAGATGAAGCAATTAAATAAATTAAATTCAATTAAACCAAGATAAACCAACTAAATTCAATTAAACCGGATTAAACCAGACAAACACTCAATTCATCACAGCAACAACCAAAATACTACGAAATAATAATCAAGCATCTACAACCACAAACAAAACATAATCTAGCAAATTGCGGACCCACAGTCATGCACTGACCTTGACAATGGATTGAAACTGAAGAAAAGAGGAAAGACGATGAACAATGCAGAATCGCGACGATGAACAGTGCCGATGAACAGTGCTCTATGAACAGTACTTCGATGAACAGTAACGAAATTCTGCTCCGGAAACTCCACTTTTCTCCTCTCCTGCCTCTGAACTTGAAAACTGTGCAAAACTAGGCGGTCTCGTTTATTCCAGCGAATTAGCGCTTTTCCCTTAAACCAGCCTAAACAAGATAACTTAAATTAAACCGGGTCAATTTTTGCAATTGTTGGTTTGGGAATGTTACACAAAGAACCTATTTTAAAAACAAAATAAATATGGATTTACGCGAGTTATTTCTCTAGTTATCTTTAATAACATTTTTCTACATAAGATTGTAAAAATACTGTTTTCGATAGGGAAAACAATTGGCGTAACCCAAGACTTTTCTAGCGGTTAACTTGTTGCAGAAGATATCAAGTTAATTATTCACAGGCAGGGCCCGGCCTTTGGCATGTGTCCAAGGTGAAATTGCACAGGGCTTATATTGCATTTTGATAATTATGTTACATTTTAGGGTCTTTTGAAAAATGGCGGGTCTTTATTGCAAATTTCTCTTTCAAAATCAATATTTTTGCACTAGGCCCACAATTTGAATGAACCGGAGTTCATCAGGATTAATTGAAAAAAGAAAGCTGGAAGAATGGAAATCAAATTTGCGAAAAGGAAACTGCAAAGAACGTTCTACGGCTTCCTTAACCGAAAGGATAATGGAAAAAGGATAAAGCTATCTTAAACTTTGCATCTATGTAACTCTGTTCTATGCATTGTAGTTTCCAAGAGAGAAAGGATCTAAGTTCTCCTTGAGAGATCTCTTGTTATACTTTTCTGCATCAAAATCTCTAGTGTTGTTCTTACTTTTATAGGTAGCCAACTAGCCACCATGAAAGCTCGGAAGAAAGATGACAAGAGAGAATTGCTACCTCTGGATATGGTTATCGCGATACTCACGAAATTGCGGGTGAAATCTCTTTTTAAATTCAGATGTGTATCGAAACAATGGGGTTCCATCATACATAGCCGACCATTCATCAACTTGTTCATGTCTGTCTCTATGTCTCGCCCACCACGTATCCTCCTCGGCTATGGGATTGAGAGGCGAACGATCTTTTTCTCTCTCCCTCTTCATCCTCAAGATATTTCAAACCATTCATCACTAGTATTCAAATACCATGTGCCATTGAGCAATAATAACACTGGCTTATGCTTATGCAATTCTGTCCATGGCCTCATCTGTTTTTCTAATGATTTTGATAATTCTGTGATATGTAATCCAACAACAAAACAAATCATAGCCATTCCTAATGATCCGTTTGTTTATTTTAAGCCTCGAGTTAAAATGTATGTTTTCCCAATTCAAATTAATTTATTGCACCTATATATGCATCAGATTAGTTTTCACTACCGTATCATGTGCAACAAAAAGGCAAAACTCAAATCTCCAATCTCCATTAAACAAATGGAATTAAGTGGTCTTATTAGTGACGTCATGCCATATGACAATTAACAATCAGGGAACGGTGAAGTTTTGGATCAAACAAAAGTTTTGGTCTGATCAGTTTCGAGTCCAACTTTGTTTTTTTTGTTTAAACAAAAGATACGGTCTACATTACAACCAGACTTGCGTCCGATGTCACATTCTTTTATTTTGGTTAGAACAATTAAGTGGAGTCATTTTTATACGTTTAGCTCCTCCATTTCAAGACTTAATGGCTTGAAGAGAGATTCCACTTCTGTTTCATCTACCTCTTCTAAGCTTGATGGTTCCCATTTCGGATTCTGCATGGGAAAAACACTAATGATCATGAAATGAGCTTAGAGTAAGGCACAACAAAGAACAAAAGACTAAAATCGAAACGAAAAAAAAAACTGAGTGAACCACAAGATTATCATAAATCTGCGTTATAGTTTCTTTTTTTTTTTTTTTTTTGGTAAAATGTTAACTGCGTTATAGTTCGCATCCTATTCTCACACCTGGCTTGACATATACAAAATAAAAAGTGATTTTGATATAGGGATATGTCTATATTCATAAACTTTTTCCTAAACAGACACTCACTCGTCAATGCAAAATCAACTCAACTTTATGATTTTTACCCAACACGATGAACTTAGAAAGCATAGAAAAATCATGAAACCTGGTCCTTGTCGATCAGGACTGCTCTAACACCTTCCGTGAAATCACTCCGCAAGGCAGATCGTAGAGCAATACGGTACTCAGTTTTCATCACACCGTTAAGCTTCAAATGGAAAGGAATATAAAGTATTAGTAATAGCCTGATAGGAAAAAAAAAAAATAGACCCCAAATAGACAAGAAAAAAAATATTTAGTTTTATAAAAGATTTCTTTGTCACTGGATCAAATAATTTTGTGAACAACCATTTTTTTTCTTTAAAGAAATGATACATAAAGTTAAAACATTATCTTTCGTGTTTTGTTTTCTAAAGTAGGGTTTAGGGCCTGACTGGTTTAACCGCTGCGGTTGCGGTTGCGGGAGTTTGCGGAAGCGGGCGGTTGTGATTAGTAGCGTTATTAAGCGGTTTGTACGACTGGCATAACAATTGAAAATGATGCGTTTGCGGGTTACTTATGACTGGTTCACTTGCGGATGCAATAGCGGTTAAACAATAAATTAATAATATAAACACATTATATAATTATAAAAATATCAAAACTATATTATAATGAAAATTTTAAAATTTATGGTTCAACATAATTAAAAAAATATATAAAGAATAATATGTATATAATACTTACATCTATCTTTTAATTTCTATAATTTAAATAAAAAAATGTGATTTTATTTTCAAAATATATATTTAATGTGAAAATTAAATTTATATTACAATTTTATTTATTAGATATATATGTATTAGTATGAAAAGAATATTTATCAAGAGAATTTTGATTTGTAGAACTTATAAATATATAAGTATTATATGATTTTAATGAATATTGACTAAAAGTACTAATTTTTTATTTATATTGTGATTTTATTATCCAAATCTTATTTTTTAATAAATATTATTATTTATTTTCGGATTTTATATAAGTTTGTGTTTTTTTTTTTTTTTTATTATCCACCCGCAACCGCAAACGCTTGCGGAAAGGAGCTTTTGATTTTCAGCGATATAGAGCGGTACAGAGTGGTATAGAGCGATTCAAAGCGGTTGTCGTGATTGTTATAAACCGCCGAAAACCGCTACGAACCGCAAACGCTGCGTTTGCGGGTGGTAGCGGGAGAACCAAGGGCCTGACTGGTTTAACCGCTGCGGTTGCGGTTGCGGGTGCGGGAGTTTGCGGAAGCGGGCGGTTGTGATTAGTAGCGTTATTAAGCGGTTTGTACGACTGGCATAACAATTGAAAATGGATGCGTTTGCGGGTTACTTATGACTGGTTCACTTGCGGATGCAATAGCGGTTAAACAATAAATTAATAATATAAACACATTATATAATTATAAAAATATCAAAAATATTATAATGAAAATTTTAAATTTATGGTTCAACATAATTAAAAATATTTTTTTATAAATAATAATATGTGTATAATACTTACGTCTATCTTTTAATTTCTATAATTTAAATAAAAATGTGATTTTATTTTCAAAATATATATTTAATGTGAAAATTAAATTTATTTTACAATTTTATTTATTAGATATATATGTATTAGTATGAAAAGAATATTTATGAAGAGAATTTTGATTTGTAGAACTTATAAATATATAAGTATTATATGATTTTAATGAATATTGACTAAAAGTACTAATTTTTTATTTATATTGTGATTTTATTATCCAAATCTTATTTTTTAATAAATATTATTATTTATTTTCGGATTTTATATAAGTTTGTGTTTTTTTTTTTTTTTATCCACCCGCAACCGCAAACCGTTTTTTTTTTTGTAAAATTGTAAAGGGTTTCAGCTGTATGCAACATACTTTATTGAACAGCAGACACATCATTTGATAATCACAGCAAGAAACTTCCTTCTACAATGAACTGACTGAAAGCAAAAGTAGGGAGATACTATACCAATAATCCACATTTTACGGTTTTAGTAACTTTTGAGAAAGAAACTAAGTTGATCTAGAGATTCAAAAGAACCATCCTTGGCCAATTTTCCATATGGAATAGAAAGTTAAAAATCATATTAGTAATCTAGGATATAAACATACCAACAGATCCTCCACCAGGGCTAAACATGTGAACTGTGAAGTACGTTTTTTTTTACCACATAGATTAATTTGATCAAAATATTAGACCGCATAGGTACAAGTATCTGATACTTAAATGCTCTTGGAAAATGAGCTTCTATCATATAATTAAGATTGGTTCTGATTCTTGTGAATATTGTTGCATGTCTAGTCTTTGTTCTGATTCTGTTCCAATAAGCATCATATCCTGACCTCTGTCATAATATCTGAAAATTGATTTCTGGTTGTAATCTGTTTCACATCACCGCCTGCAGATAAACTAAGACACATGGTTAGGAAAATAAATCCAAACCAGAATCCAATTATATCGAGCACTAAAATGTTTTTTTATGCAAAATTATTTTGTTTACCTGAACAAAAGGCCCAAGGTGTGCTACCTTCTACAATAACACATTTGACTTGTGGGTCATATTCCCATTCTTCAAGCAAGTTTTTGTACTTTAAATCCATTTCTGTAAAATTAATTAAACTCCAAAAGTTCTATATGATTAATTTTGGCTTAAAACTATAAACTAAGAAAAGAAATAATAAAAAACAAATGACCTAGATTCATGGCGTTGAGAGCTTTAGGTCGATCAAGAGTGATGAGAGCGACGCCATTTGGATACACATTTCCTTTTATGAACTCATCGTTGCCGCCACAAGTTCCAGTGAACTTCCGACAATCCCATACAGAGAGCTTAGAGGCAGCAAATGAGAAGCAGAGGTTCTGAAGAATAGGAGAGGCCATTGATGGATGTCTGGAGAAGAGGATGCGAGCAGAAGCCACACCCAAAGTTTTGATCATCACTGTGAATTGTGATTTCCAGTTTCACATGACTTCTGTTGGAAGAGCATCAAAACAATGGCTCAAATGCTTCACCTCCTCTACCAAAAATAATTTATTAAAAACATTTTTTAAAATTTGACAAAGTTGGAGAACACAGTTTTGTCCTTCTTACCAACATACATAGTTTATGAGATACAAAGACATATATACTTATTTGGTTTTAAACGGCGAATGTTTGGTTTGATTTTAAAATTTTATTTATGTAAGTTTCAATTTTGTCCGTACTTGATGAATCGGTGAAAATAATAAAATTACAAAACAGCAAGCCTCTATCTTATCTAAAATCAACAAAACCAAAACAAAAATCATTAAATAAAAAGAAAGGAGTGATTAACAAAAGCAGTAAAGCTGAGCAAAATATTTGTATTATTTTTTTTTATCAATTAGTGATCAGTCTTCGTTTGCACAATTATGTTACTAGAAACAGATATTTTATGTTTGCATAAAAAAAAATGACATTAATTTACAACAATATGCTGAAGCCTGAATAACGACGACATTAGTATATGGTTGTGTAACTTCTGTTATACACTAAAACCAAAAACAATTATGAGAAATGCCCCAACTGGTGGTTGTAAGTTGGAGAATGACAATTAATTAGATACAGTAAATATAAAGTGGTCCGGAGGTCCCTCTCCCTTTTATAGGTGATGCTCCGTGCATATGCACGAATCTAATGTTAACTTTTAATAGCATGTTTCCCTAAAAAAGAAATATATATTGAATTGTGAATATCCTCTTATGTGAAAAGTTGGGGAGTTTCTGTAAATTTTTCATAAAAAGATACAGTGCCTGTTTTTCGTCTGTGCTAAGTGGGATACAACACATGGCTCCATATCTTTACTCATTTTTTCCTCACTCTTATAGAACCTAATTTTCAAAATACAAGATAATTTAGAGAAAAAAAATATATATCAATGGGTCCAAATTTTCATCAAGCCGGGTCTGTAAAAATAGAACTAAGTTCATTTCAGACATTAAACAACATATTTGCAAAAGTTTGAAGGTGGTAACTGGAACTCATATATCTAAGATATACTGAAATTTTTTCCAAGTGAGCGCCAAAAATTTCCAAGAAAACGTGAAAACATTTCCAAGAAAAACCTGCGAGTATCCGCGGCTATTAAGTCAATTTTATAATTACGTGATTTTATTGTAACGTAGATAGTCTATTACTTTGGTTGATGATAGATAGGGCACAACTTAGAGTTGTCAATCATACATGTTTAGAGAGACCGGTAGATGCATAAACTCAAAACGGAGAAATATAGGCAATCAACTTTCTCGGAACTAACACTATCCTCATCATCAACAACAAAACCTTCAGCGATGTCCCTTAGCTTACGCTTAAGGCTCTTTCCATTGCCGTTCTTTGGCAGATTTTCCAAGAACACAACCTTCCTAGGACACATAAAATGTGGCAAATTCTCACGGCAATACTCAATCAAACCTCTTTCTTTAGTCACCACTTTACCTCCCCGATATCCTTAATTTTTTTTTTTTTTTTTGAATTGAATGTAAAATTATATTCAAACCCAAAAAGACTGTATTTACATCATGTGTTACTTAAAACTGAGTTTCTGAAAAGAAAAACAACGAATGTCAAGGATATCCTTGATTAATGTCACCCTTTTTAAGAACAACGAATGCACAAGGAGTTTCGCCCCAAAAATGGTGGGGCATGGCCACGACCGCGGCCTCCAGCACTTCCAGGTGTTTGTAAAGAACATTCTCGACTTCAACACTACAAATGTTTTCGCCTCCCGATATGATGATGTCTTTGGAGCGATCTTTGATCTCCATGTGGCCATCGGGATGAATCACACTTATGTCTCCTGTGTTAAACCATCCGTGTTTAAACGCATCCAATGTAGCTTTAGGGTTCTTTAGATACCCTTTCATTATACTGCCTCCTTTCATGACAATCTCTCCCATTGTCTTTCCATTGCGTGGGACACTCTCTTCAGTTTGGGTGTTTTTCACGTCAAATTCACCTAAGGTTAACATGCCAACCCCTTGCCTTCCCTTCAGCTCCATTCGCTTATCCTCTGGTAGTTTGTTTCAGTTGAGACTTGAGAATAAAATTATGAAACTTACCTTGTAATATTGGACATGGTTATAAGTGATATGATTTTATCATAATAGAAACGAAAACTTAATCTCGAAATATATAGAAAAAGCCTTAGTAAAAAAAAAAAAAAAATATAAGGCTTTTTTTATATGTTTCGAGATTAAGTTTTCGTTTAAGTCTCAAGACCCATAATCGTGCCCAAAGTTGTCAAATATGCTCCGCGGTGGCTAATCACCACTCCTTTTGGGTCGGCCGTTGTACCCGACGTTAAGTTCAACGAGATGGGATCGTACTCGTTTTGAATACGGAACATACGTGAGACTAAAGAGGACGTAGGTTCTCCCTTACGGATGAGACTCTCGTAGTCTAACTCCTTGGATGGACGAAGTCTTGCTCTCGTCAATGAAAATGACCTTCATGTTCTGTTTAAAGTCTTCATGTGGTAGTAGTTGGAGACTTTCTCGAGCCAAATGTTCAAGATTTCGGTCTATGAATAACATCTTGGGCTGTGCGTGGCAGAGGATTCCTGCTATGGATTTTTCGTCGAGACGGGTATTGATAGTGTTGAGAACAGCTCCGGCCATAGGAACGGCGAAGTGCATTTCATGTTGGAACCAAATTTTTAGGCTCATGTAAAATTAATGAGAAAGTTAAGTGAGTTAAATGAAGGAGCACTTCATTTGTCCCAAATTGGAAAAAATGAATAATGTCAAGAATAAATCTTCCAGAAACTTCTAAATAAACAAGAAATTAATAATGGAATTCTTTCTTATCCCTTAATGGAATAATGAAATTCTTCTTATCCCTTAATGGAATAGTCATTATTCCTATAATGGAATTATTCCTTATCTCTTTTGGTAAACATCAAAAAAGGATATTTCCTCCTTGGAGAGCAAGTCTCCTATCACCTATAAATAAAGGGCCTCACCTCTCTCATTATTCATTCATTCAATCATTCATTCAAAATCAAACACTCCAGCAAATCTCTCACATCTCTTCCTTTCTTCTCTAAAAGTAAGTCTCGAGAGTATAGCGTAGTTATTTAGTTCGCAGATTCTGTAGTTGGGTGTTGCAACTATAGTCTCACACAGTTGTATCCTGGGATTCAAAAGTCTCATCAAAACCGCCACACTGCGGGAGATTTATTGAGTTAAGGAAAGAGATAAAATCTCGCCTCTGCGTATTCGTCTGTTTTCAATCGGATTTCTTACTATATATTATTATTATATAAGAATTTCATTCGTATTTTTCAATCTGGATTTTCGCGGTCCTACAGTCTTAACTCAATAAATCCGATCCTGCTTATCGCTTGAATCGGATTGAAAATTTGCGAAACAGTTTTTTCTTATATGATATTATAAAACGGTTTTCTTACTGATCTGAAACAGTTCTGCGAAAGTTTTATAGCTCTTCAGCAGAAAGTTTCGATCTCAAAAAAGACGAATATCATTACTTGATAAAACGATTTACGCGACAGCTTCCAGCAGGATCGCGAAACGTTTTTTCAACTCTATTATATCTGATCTCTGATCTAATATAAAGTTTAAGAGCAAGTCTCTGTGAACTTAGCGAATTATTTTCGCATACCCCACAATACAAGACAAAATCTGTTTTGTGAAATACAATCAAAATTGCCTAGTGGATCAACTGTACAATGTTTACAGTGAGGTCAAAACATCTAAGGAGCTGTGGGAAGCCCTGGATAAGGAGTACAAAACTGAAGTTGAAAACCAACTAGAAAAAACCATCAAAATGGTTAGGAGTGATAGAGGATGTGAGTATGATGGACCTTTCAAGACGTTTTGTCAAGAGAAAGGCATCATACATCAAACCACTGCTTCCTATTCACCAGAATCTAATGGAGTTGCAGAAAGAAAAAATCAAACTCTGAAAGAGATGATGAATGCAATGTTGTAGAAATGGATTACAGCATGATCTGTGGGGGGAAGCGCTTCTCACCACAAACCATATCATCAACAAAATATCACACAAAGTGATTGGTGTAACTCTATATGAACTTTGAAAAGGTATAGTACCTTGATAGCAAAGTTGACAACTACAGAGTTGATTGAGTCTTTCAATATTTGGTTTGCAATGTTAAGGTATGGAAATTATAAAATCTATAAAAAGGTTGAGTAATTTAAACCTTATTACAAAATGCAAATCAAGAAAAGACAAACATGAAATGTAGGGGGTAAGCATTGCTTACCAGACAAAGTCATTGAAAAATGTCATATGAACTTTATAAAGGTAAAAGTACATTTGTACAAATACCTAAAAGTGTGGGGGTGCATTGCAAAAGTTGTAATACCACCTTCTAAAAACTAAACACTTTGAACAACTGATCTCAAATGGAGTAATCTTAATAAATTATATTACCTTAAATGATAACCTAGGATCCAGGTGTGTCAAGAGATCAAGTTTTGAAATCATCTAAGGGAATGGGTCTTTTGCCTATGAAAAAGAGGATGTTTGATGGACACCCAACCTTCGCGATTGGAGATCCCAAAAGGCTGGTTCAAAGGGACAACTAAATCAAACAGAATCTGTTTACAGCACTGCAAGACAATATGTCTGAGCCCAGCTCCCAAAATGATGCACAGTGCTTCCTGTAAGTTTAAAGGATAAGCGTTGCTTTTAATGATATGAGTAGCTTTCATATATACAAGGAGTACTAACAGGATACTTTTCTTATATGACAGGAGCTCAATGAAATCACCTAGTGAGTGTGAAATGCGGCCGTTTCTAGGAGGATGAAGTCAGGCTATATTCTCTAAGTTCACTCATGATCAACCAGGAAAAGTTCAAGGCCACAATGAACGCAATAGAGAACTAAGTTCTACGAGGAAATGAAGCTGGGTTATAGCTGTTGTCTCGGTTTACATAAACATCCGGGTGGTTCAAGACATCGTGTTCACCTCCTGGCTAAGTAAACCCGACAGTTATTAACAGTGATTAGTTCAAGGCTGAAACATGCTACTACATCATACACAGTTAATTTTCGCTTATACTCTCGTAAAGTCCTTCTGTCAGTCTGTAGAGTCTGCATTATAGTCTTTCGAGTTAGTAGAGTCTGCATATGTTTTAGAGTCATTTCTATTCATGTGGGGGATTGTTGGAACCAAATTTTTAAGCCAAATGGGCTGAATAAAATTGTGGACAAGTGTGAAAAGAAATGGGCTTAGGCTCATGTAAAATTAATGAGAAAGTTAAGTGAGTTAAATGAAGGAGCACTTCATTTGTCCCAAATTGGAAAAAAGGAATAATGTCAAGAATAAATCTTCCAGAAACTTCTAGAAAGATTGAGTTCAGTTTCTGTTTGATAAACAAGAAATTAATAATGGAATTCTTCCTTATCCCTTAATGGAATAATGGAATTCTTCCTTATCCCTTAATGGAATTATTCATTATCCTTTAATGGAATTATTCCTTATCTCTTTTGGTAAACATCAAAAAAGGATATTTCCTCCTTGGAGAGCAAGTCTCCTATCACCTATAAATAAAGGGCCTCACCCCTCTCTTATTATTCATTCATTCAATCATTCATTCAAAAATCAAACACTCCAGCAAATCTCTCACATCTCTTCCTTTCTTCTCTAAAAGTAAGTCTCGAGAGTATAGCGTAGTTATTTAGTTCGCAGATTCTGTAGTTGGGTGTTGCAACTATAGTCTCACACAGTTGTATCCTGGGATTCAAAAGTCTCATCAAAACCGCCACACTGCGGGAGATTTATTGAGTTAAGGAAAGAGATAAAATCTCGCCTCTGTGTATTCGTCTGTTTTCAATCGGATTTCTTACTATATATTATTATTATATAAGAATTTCATTCGTATTTTTCAATCTGGATTTTCGCGGTCCTACATTTCATACATGGCCGGTATGTTTTGAACAAGAACGGATACCTAAACACATATTATAAAGAATTATTGTGTTAGGCTCTAACTGAACAAGAAGAGATGGAGAGAGAGTGACATACAATATCGTTCTTGGTGATGTTAAGAGAGAGGAGAGAAGTAGCAAGACGACAGCAACGATGATAGGTCTGAGGCCAAATGGAACGAGTTGGTCCATAGATTATCGAAGTTCGATTAGGATAGCATTCAGAAGCTCTCTTCAAGAACGTTATGGGGGTTAAAGGAACGTCGTTTGCTTCACATAACTCAAGATTATCCATCTTCTTCTTCGAAGGATATGCAACAAGTGGTTGTAGATGGAAATTTGAATGTTAAGTTTCAAGAGAATAATATTATATATAAAATGTTAAATGATCCGTTTCCTCATTATTGCACTATGATGCTTTCAAAAAGGGCCTCTCGAGCAAGAGGGGACACGGGATGCAACTGCCCAGGACCAGATCTCGTGTCCTAATAAAGAAACTGTGAGAAAAGAAGAAGAAGAGCACTATGAGAAAAGGAATCCTGTCCCACTTATATGTTCATCCGTCCACCACTATTTTTGATGCTTGGGCTAGAGAGATATTTGAGAAACTCTTGGGTGGGTTTCTCCACTATGTAGATACTAACCTGTTTTTTTAATAATATTTTCTTCTTTCCACTATTGTAAAACTTATAAATTTCCATTGGAGATGCTTTAAGCTAGCCCGGTTTTATGTCCATGTGTGGCGTGGGATATGTCACAGAACCCAACTGATTTTTAAGTTTTTTTTATTTGTAATTAAGAGCCTATTTTTGTCAAAAAGTTACAGAAAATACCCAAATTTTTAAACATAACTTATTTTTAAGTTTTTTTTCCTTCGCAACTAGAGCCTATTTTTGTCAAAATGTTACAAAAAGGGCCTAAAAATTTAAACCATATAAACATAGCTTGTTTTCATTAAATCCAACACAATGCCTTAATATTCTTTGGACGGGGGACTCGCTCTAAGAAAGTAGAGCAATTCTTAGAGCATCCGCATTGCAGAACAGCTTATGGAGCTCTTTAATTTTTTTTTTAATACTAAATATATTAATAAATTAATTGTAGAGCTTGTTTTGAAAATTTAAGAGCTTTATCTCCACATTGCACAACCCAAATATGGGGTTCTTTAGAGAAAATTATTTAATCTAGCACTAGTTCAACAGTTTATTACTAGATTAGCACTCTTAAATAGACGATGTCGTGCTGGATTAAATCTTATGGTAGCTGGAATTAATTTGTAGCGTAAAAGATGATACCTCATTGCCAAAGCGCCAAGCCAAATTAGCTTTGAGTCAACTATATCTGTTTGTGGAAATTTTACTATGAAGCGGATCATCATCGGTGTAACTCTATCCATTGCAGCGTACAATCCATTGACTAAAGCAAATGATTTGTTGGATTTTATATGACAAGATGAGTAATTATGTTCATAATTTCCTTTTATACATGTTGATAAATTATGCTATTACTAACATATTAACATTATCTACATTTTCTTAGTATGGAGCCAATTGCAACATTGGATTCAAATGTGGAATTTTACATAAAGCTAATTACTCCGAGGGATAAATGGTGTACACAAGAATACAGCTGGTTGGGTAGTTAGGTGAGTTTTGCTGAATTTAGAATGATGATTCATTGGTCAAAATATTTATACCACGTTTGTGAATTGGTGTTTCTCTTTCACAGCATATGTTCTACAAGAGGTCTTTGAGGGATCCATCTCCATTCCACTGATATATAAGTCTATTAGAAAAAAATAAGTCTAGGTAGAACTCTATTGTTGTAAATAAGTCTGGTAGAAAAAATAAAATTGTTGTCCTTTTTTTTTTTTGAAGAACATTTTCAGTAAAACACAACTTAAGTTTCGATTACAGCAGTGGGCCCCAGTTGGGAAGAGAGGTCAATCAAACGACTCTTTGCAAGCTTTGCAATAGAATCGGCGATAACATTTTCCGATCTAGGAATGAAACTAAAGGAGATCGAATCGAACAAGGAGGCGAGAGCATGGATATCAAAGAGGATTCCGAAGATCGACTTGATTTGCTCTTGCGAGTTAATAGCTCGGATTAGATCCTGAGCGTCTGAAAGGACGAGAAGATTGGGGATTCCGTCTTCAAGTGCTTGATTGAGGGCTGATCGGAGCGCTAGAGCCTCCGCTATCACCAGTGACGAGACATGCGGTTCAGCCGAGTGGCCGCGTTTTGTTTCTCTTCCTGTGGAATCGACGAAGCGCCATCCTGTTCCACAAATCTTCGTTTCTCTGCACCATGCACCGTCTGTGAAGCAGGTAACGAAATTCTCTCCGGGTTTGGTCTGTTTTCCTTTTGATGTCCTTTTGATTTGGGTTTGGGTCAAAAAAAAAAAAAAAAAGTCTGTTATTGTAAATAAGTCTGCTAGAAAAATAAAACTGTTGTCTCATGCAACAGAATTAAGAAACAAGTCTGTTATCATTCTAAATAAGTTTGTGATAAAAGTCTGTTACCTAAATAAAATATGGTGGTCAATTTAAGTCTCATATCATTAAGCAATAGATTTTTTATTACAGAGTTATTTTTACAATGACAATTTCATTATTTTTTTCCCGTTTTTTATTTCAAAAAATAAAAAAAATAATAGCATTTTTGTAATTATATTTTTTCAGAACAATGATAGAAGGACTTTTTGGACATAAAATATTTGATCAGTAATTAAAAAAAAAAAGAAGAAGAGTTAATCTAGTAATAAATCAATGAATGGGTGCTAAATAAGTAATCTTCTTTAAAATCAATAAATAATTTTCGGGGAAGTTGATGAATATGACCTTGGAAAGTTAGTTAATAACTACAATAACTCTTGTAAATTCAAGTGGCTTAAACAGTTTTTTTCCCGATTTTACCCTTATTTCTTTGGTGACAAAAAACGTATTTACGAAGCTTGAGTTGAGTGTTTACACTGTGGGATGTCCCAAACGTTTTTCCGAACACTTAGATGTTGTATTTTTGAGATGCTTGCGTCTTTAGCTCTCAAAAGCTTGAGTTGTTCTTCTACGCTATCCCCTTTCTCAAGACCAGGAGTACCGCAATCAACTTACAATGCTTTAGTCCTTCCTCAATTTCTATACAAACATCGTCCTGTAACAGAATCAACAAAAATGGACTCATGATAGCTAAAGTAGACATCTTTTATCGGAATTTAACTTTCTGATGGGTTACAAGAAGAGATTATAAAGTCCAAACTTCGTTTTTTTTTTGGTTTTATATAACCACTCAGATACGGTTCCAACAAGCAATTCACAGGATGAAATCGAAATAGTATGAGAAAGAGCCCTTACCTCTTCGTGGACCCATACCATATTGGTAAAGAACTTCTTGTGACTCTCTGGAACAGCCTGATAAGAAACTGCGTATTATTATGATAAGAAAACTCAGAACACAAGTCCAAGCGAGTATGCTTGAAGACAAAACCCTCTTGTTCTCTAAACAGAGACACAAGCCAAATCCCAAAATCCAGATAATCCCCAAGAAAGACCAAAACAGATCCTTTTATAGTTATAGATCCTTACACAAGCTTGTCCTCAAGTGCAAACTCTGGAAACTGATGTTTAAGATCTTGAATTCGCATCCAAGAATTTTCATGAGCAGGAAGGCCTGTCCATTGAACCAAAACCTCCAAATGTCCTTCTGAATCATATCGTGTATCTAACAACTCCTCCGGTTCAACAACTAACTCATCAACTGTTGCAACAGAAGGTGGAAGAGGATTAACTACCTGTCCTTGTCCAAGTACCGGCTTCAACTGTGTGACATGAAAGACAGGATGGATCCGAGAATCTGGTGGAAGACGCAAGTGATAAGCTACCTTCCCAATGCGAGTTAATACTTCAAAAGGACCATAATAACGAGCTGTTAGCTTTTGACTGTTCCCACCTCAAACTCTAAGTCTTTGCGATGTTTATCTGCATTATTCTTCATAATACTCTGAGCCTTAATCAAATGTTGTTTTACTTCAGCCAACATTGCATCTCGTTCCTTTAACATAGTTTCCAACTCAAAATTAGGAGAAGAGCCAAGTTCATATGACAACAACGCTGGTGGTTCTCGACCATATACCATCTTAAATGGAGTACACTGAATAAAAGTGTGGAAAGATGAATTATACCATAACTCAGCCCATGAGAGATACTTAGCCCACACCTTAGGATGTTGAGAAGCAAAACATCTAAGAAATGTCTCCAAACATCGATTTAAAACTTCTGTATGTCCATCTGATTGAGGATGAAATGCGGTACTAAACCGTAATCTTGTACCAAAAGCCTTGAAACATTCTTTCCAAAAGTTGCTTCAGAAAAATTTGTCACGGTCAGAAATAATGGATCTCGGGTAACCATGAAGGCGAATGACCTCTTGAACAAACTTCTGAGCTACAGCAAGGGCTGTAAAAGGGTGTTTCAAACCAATGAAATGACTGTATTTGCTCAATCTATCCACCACCACAAAAATAACATCAAAGCCCTGAGATTTAGGAAGCCCTTCAATAAAATCCATAGAGATATCCTCCCAAATTCGTACAGGTATCTCTATTGGTTGCAACAACCCAGCTGGAGAGAGTGTCGAATATATATGAGTTTGACAAACAGGACACTCAGAGATGTACCTCTGTACACACTTGCGCATCTTTCGCCAATAGAAATGAGCGTGAATCCGTTTTAGAGTTTTCAGGATACCAGAATGACCACCCAATAAACTATCATGATATTCTTGAAGAATGAGCTGAATATAAGCTGAATTCTCAGGAAGGACTAGGCGCCTATTGTAAAAGAGTCTTCCATCTACCACCCCATAACCCGGTTTAACTGTTTCTCTTGCAACAAGTTTTCGAATTATTTCTTGTATCTCTTCACTCTCATCCACTTCCTGAAACAAATAATGTATTTGAAGAGATGTTGGAATCGTCAAAGACATAAGTAGTGTGGTAGTAGGATGCACAATGCAGGAGAGACCATCCGCCACCTTGTTCTCGCTTCCAACCTTTTACTCAATATCAAAATCATAACCCATGATTCGAGTCAACCAACGTTGATAGTCCAAAGTGACTTCACGCTGCTCCAATAAATATTTCAAACTCTGCTGATCCGTGCGCACCACAAACCTTCGACCAAGTAGATAGTGTCTCCATTTTTTAATAGCTAAGACTATGGCCATTAACTCGCGCTCATAGATGGGTTTGAGTTGCTCTTTATCAGTTAACCCACAACTAAAGTAAGCAATTGGGTGTCGTCCTTGCATCAGCACAGCACCGAGACCATAACCAGAGGCATCAGACTCAACGACGAACAATTGTGTAAAATCAGGTAAAGCCAGAACAGGTGTGGAAGTCATAGCCTGTTTGAGTTCATCAAAAGCCACTTGTGCTTCTGAACACCATTCAAACTGTTCTTGCTTCAGTAACTCAGTCAAGGGTTTAGCCAATAGCCCATAATGTTGCACAAAACCTCGATAGTATCCAGTTAAACCAAGAAAACCTCTGAGCTCCTTAAACGTTCTTGGGGTTGGCCAATTCTCCACTTCCTTGATCTTCTGCGGGTCTGTAGAAACTCCTTTAGGCGAAATTATGTGACCCAGATATTCCACTCTCTCTTGACCAAAAGTGCACTTCTTCTTATTAGCAAAAAGTTTCTGTTCCACAAAGACCTCCAAAACCATCTCCAAATGTCTGGCATGATCTGTGATATTGGAACTGTATATCAGAATATAATCAAAAAATATCAGAACAAAGTTCCTTAAGAACGCCTTTAACACTTCATTCATTAACGCCTGAAAGGTTGCCGGAGCGTTAGTTAGCCCAAATGGCATAACTAAGAACTCGTAGTGACTATCATGAGTCCAAAAAGCAGTTTTCTCGATATCTCTTTCTTCCATTTGAATCTGGTGATAGCCTGATCTCAAATCCAGTTTTGAAAATAACTTTGCTCCATGTAGCTCATCAAGTAATTGATCAATCATTGGAATTGGTATTTATCAGGTACATAATATACCTCTATTTTACATGCTTTTTATATGGTTTTACTATGCTTTTCATAAGGTTTTTAATGGCTTTCTGATCTAAAAAGGTAGTTTTTATGGATTTATAGTACTTAGAGTCTAAACAGGTCAAAAGATGCATTTTGGAGCAAAACACAGGATTTGGACTTCAAGACACTCCAAACGTAGCATCAACTTAAGAAGGGCCTTAAAAACATTCTACTCAATGGACTTCATCAAATCCAGTTCGAGGGATGCATACATGAGTTAGCTTTGCAACGCAACTGGAATCAATCAATTTGACCGAGTAGATTGGGAGATATCTCTATTTCCCTGAGACATATACCGAGGAGCTTTATCGGACTGCATCAGTACATCAGACGAGCAGCAGCGGCTTGGACCCTTAAACTCAATGGATTTCAATGAAACTCTACACCAAGATAGGCAGATGAGTTAGTGTTCCAATGCCGTTGGAAGTATGCAATTTGGATGAGCGTTTAGGAGATATCACGTTTGTACTGAAGACTGGTCCACAGCCGGCCGAACGCACTCGGCCGGACAGGAAGGGAATTGGCTTCGCTCGGCCTTCTCCAGGACCGATCCGGCCGCACGACCGCACCGTCCGAGCCGGGAGGCAATGGACCACGATCGACCGAGAACATCACATCACGGCCGACCCCGACGGCCGACCACATCCCTTGCACGGTCGACCCGAGGTCCGCGAACAAGAAGCCCACTTATGCAGTTTCGACTATTCTCAGCCCGTTTCACCTCAACCGACTTGTGGAAGACCTAGGGCACTATAAATACTCTTTTTAGCCTCTTTAGAAGAGAGAGCCGCACAGGAGAAGAGCCACAAGAGAGAGACGCACTAGGGAGCTCCCCTTAGAGGGATCTCCATTGTTTTACTTCTTTCTCATTGTTTTCTTAGGGAGAAGATCCCTTCTTTGTATCTCGACATAGAGAAGCTTTCTAAACCCTTTTCTCCTTATAATATATGATTTCTTCTCAGATTTATGCTTGTTTACTTGCACCATGATTGAGTAGATTTCTAGTTAGGTTTGGGTTTCAAAGAGTTCATGAATCATTAGGTTGATAAATTCGAATTAGGGTTTATATATTAGATCTTCTCTTCACTTGAACTCATTGTTGCTTGCTTTTCTGATCAACTAGCATCAGATCTTAGGTTTCATATACCTCCAAAAGCTTGCTATATAACCGGAACATAGTTTTTGAGCAACTTCATAGACTGCGAAAGTTGATCTATACCTGTGAACAATTGTCTTGCTCGAATCTAATGCTTGATTTAATCACCTAGGGACATACCAAAAGTTTAGCGACTAGGTAGATTAACAAAGGAACCGGAGCCTCGAACAGTGGAATGGATCATACCTTCGTGTTTGAGTTCTAGATGGCACATTCAAACCCCCTAATGAATTTGATTGCATAACTTGATATTCTTGAATCTCTGCGAGCTTGCCCATTGCCTAGCGTCTTTCCCACATTGAATTCACACCGTTTTTACTTTGCTTTCATTTATTTTAGTTAGTTATTTTGCATACCAAACCACAATCTATCCTCTTGTCCTAGCTAAGTTAGACTTGCATAGCTTGTAGTGCACTTATCTGCTCCTTGTGTTCGATAACCCGTTACTACACCTGACCTGTGCACTTGCAGAATCAGGGATAGGAATAGGTAAAACCTGATCCCGCATCAGTACAGTAGCCCGATTGAGAGCTTAATAATCAACACAAAAACGCCAAGAATTGTACTTCTTTGTCACTAATAACACAAGGCTGGAGTATGGACTATGGCTCGGCCTAATCAAACCATCCCGCAACATTTCTTGCGCTAACTTCTCCATAGCTTCTTTGTGGGCGTGAGGGTACCAGTAAGGCCTGACACTGATGGGTCCCATACCTGAATGCAAGTTAATAGCATGTTCCCTGCCTCGAATAGGTGGTAAAACGGATGGAGGTTGAAAGACATGAGCATATTTTTCAACAACTGCAGCAATTAGAGGAGCCAGAACAGGTTCTTGCTGTGGAGAGACTTGTGTGTTGCTCAATGACAAAGCTGCTCTCTGTTTCTTCTCAACATCAGGTTGTAAATGTAAGAACGCAATTTCTACAATGGGCGACTGATTAATGTAAAGTATTAAAATGAACAAATTAATATAACAAAATATTAAAATGATACAAAATAAACAAGAATTAAGGAAATAAAACCGGATTTGCAGAGTCGAGATATGATCTCTTTCCTTAATTCTGTAAACGCCCCGTAGTGTGACGGTTGCATGGCGTTCCGAATCCAGGATAAAACTGCATACTTCTTATGATTGCATCACTCAATACATAAGCTTGCGAACCATGTTTTCTGTGATGTACTCTCATAAGAAAAACAAAACAAAAAAGAGAAGTGAGAGATTGTTGTTTTCTTTAGTGTTTGATCACATGTTAATGTTTTCACAAGAGAATGAGAGATGGCTTTATAAAGCCAATACTTTTCAACCAACGAATATGGTCATAAAGGGAGATTAATTCTTTCAACATGACATTAAGTTTGATGTTACACAATCAAATAACTTAATTGTCCTTTGACACAAATTAATTGGAGAAGATATTGTTGACTTAGTCAACAACACAATTCAAAAAGAATCTTGACCAAAATGATTAAATAATTATATGGACCATTCTCGAGGCCCGAAACATAATTTCAGTCCGAATATCTCTTTTCTCCAATACACTAAGTGTATACAAGCTTTTAAACTTTGTATTAAATTCTCCACTTTATATACAAGAGGATTTCACCTCAAACTTCCAATGTGGACATTTCATAAATGTTACATTTTATGCTATACAAGCAACCCACTTGGACCTCCATTTCTCATTCAAACCAACTTCATTTTTGACATATAAATATATTATCAAAAATGAGTTCCAACAATCCCCCACATGAATAGAAATGACTCTAGACACTGGACGACTCAACTCTAGACTTGACTCTCTAGACAAGACTCAAAAGACTCAAAAAACGACTTTTGAGAGTACATGCGAAAAATCCACTGTATATGAGTTGGTAGCAATTTTTCAGCCTTGAACCAAATCACTGTCATAAACTATCGGATTTACTCGACCAAGAGGTGAACATGATGTCTTGAACCTCTCGGGCTTTGATGTAAACCGAGACAATAGCTATAACACAGCTTCATTCTCTCACAGAATCAGGTTCTCTATTGTGTTCATTTTGGCCGTGAACTTTGCCTGGATAATCATGAGTGAACTTGGAGAATATAGCCTTTCATTTATTCTCCTAGAAACGGCCCCATTTCACACTCACAAGGTGATTCGCCATTAACTTTGTTTAAAGGAGTATCCTGCATTACTCCATGTATATTTCAAAGTTATGGACCCAAATCATTAAAAGCAAAAGCTTATCCTCTACACCTTACAGGTAGCACTGTTCATCATCCTAGGAACTGGGTAGAGACATGAGTCTCCCAGTGCTAGTTGATTCAGTTTGACTTAGTTTTCCCCTTGAACCTATTTCATGGGATCTCCAATCAGTTAGGTAGGGTTACCATCAAACCTCTCTTAAGTAATAGGCTTTAAACCCATTCCTCTTGATGATTTTACAATTTAATCTCATGACACACCTTTAATTGGATCCTAGGTTGTCATTCAAGTAGATATAATCTATTAAGATTACTCCATTTGAGATCAATTGTTTAACAATTTTAGGCAGTGGCATTGCAACTTTTGCTATGCACCCCCACACTTTTAGGTATTTGTACAAATGTACTTTACCTTTCAAACTCATATGACATTTTGTCAATGACTTTATGTGGTAAACAACATTTACCCCCACATTTCTTGAGATAACTCAAAATTCATGCAACTTTGCATTTTCACATTTTTTAGTTTTAAAGAATGGCTAGAAAGATAATATCTTTTTTAACCAATTTTAAACTTTTTCCATAGATTTGTCCAACATTAGTCTTGTGTTTACAACACTAAGCACTAATATGACAATATGATAAATATCATAACTTGGTACAATCACAAGTGGAAGACCATTACCAAAATAAATTTGGTATGTCAACTCACTAAACTTGTTACCAATAACCCTTCAACCACTAATGGTATGGAAAAAATCATAAATGGTAGACCACTCCCAACATGGGGTATCAACTCATTTGATTTTCACTTTAGAAACATTTTTATAAATGTTCTAATTTTTGGTAACACCTTTTATTCAATTTACACACATTCAAACCTGAATCATCATATCAAAAATATTAGAAATATATCAAATATATATAAGCAATTTAATCACTTCTAAAAATTGCAACAATAATTAAATTAAAACTCCAAATGAATTCAGGAATTAAAAATTTAATCAAAGGCAGAAACAGCGATTCAAACAATTAAAATAAATTGCATCAATTAATTATTTAAATAATACTAGAATAACCACGTCAATGCAATATTCAACAAATAATTAAAGCATTTTGAATGACTTAATAACAAAAGTCAAACTTCTTTGCAACGATAGAGATAAATGCAAAAACATATGATCAATGCTAAACAAACAAATAAACATCAATATGAATAATCAAATGCATTTATCAACGAATACAGAAAAATGCAAAAAAGAACTTTTGTTAGTCACAAAGAAATAATTGCTCCAATATTCCTGCAAAATAATCAGAAAATTAATCAATTTTCCAGAACTTAGTTCTTTCATGAACACCAGTTCATATCAATTTTAACAAATATAAAAATTATTAATGCACAGCAGAATATTTTTTTTCAGATAAAAACACTGAAATAATTCTGAAAAATTATGCAAAATAATTAAAATAAATTGCAGAAAATTAGAAGAATTAAATCATATTTTCTTCCTTTGATAACCTGCAAAATATAATCATAATAAATTTCTTAAAACCCAGAAAATTAATTCCATAAATTCTGATAATCTGCAAAAAATAATTAGAATAAATTTTCAGAAAATTGGAAAAGTTAATCCAATTAATCCAGAATTTCCAGTTCCTGTTTACATAGCAAAAACACTTCACAAAAATCAGTTTTCGTTAGTGCAATAAGTAAAAACGAAAATTTACAGAATTAAGATTGTAAGAACGCAATTTCTACAATGGGCGACTGATTAATGTAAAGTATTAAATATGAACAAATTAATATAACAAAATATTAAAATGATACAAAATAAACAAGAATTAAGGAAATAAAACCGGATTTGCAGAGTCGAGATATGATCTCTTTCCTTAATTCTGTAAACGCCCCGTAGTGTGACGGTTGCATGGCGTTCCGAATCCCAGGATAAAACTGCATACTTCTTATGATTGCATCACTCAATACATAAGCTTTCGAACCATGTTTTCTGTGATGTACTCTCATAAGAAAAACAAAACAAAAGAAGAGAAGTGAGAGATTGTTGTTTCTTTAGTGTTTGATCACATGTTAATGTTTTCACAAGAGAATGAGAGATGGCTTTATAAAGCCAATACTTTTCAACCAACGAATATGGTCATAAACGGAGATTAATTCTTTCAACATGACATTAAGTTTGATGTTACAAAATCAAATAACTTAATTGTCCTTTGACACAATTAATTGGAGAAGATATTGTTGACTTAGTCAACAACACAATTCAAAAAGAATCTTGACCAAAATGATTAAATAATCATATGGACCATTCTCGAGGCCCGAAACACAATTCAGTCCGGATATCTCTTTTCTCCAATACACTAAGTGTATACAAGCTTTTAAACTTTGTATTAAATTCTCCACTTTATATACAAGAGGATTTCACCTCAAACTTCCAATGTGGGACATTTCATAAATGTTACATTTTATGCTATACAAGCAACCCACTTGGACCTCCATTTCTCATTCAAACCAACTTCATTTTTGACATATAAATATACTATCAAAAATAGTTCCAACAATCCCCCACATGAATAGAAATGACTCTAGACACTGGACGACTCAACTTAGACTTGACTCTCTAGACAAGACTCAAAAGACTCAAAAAACGACTTTTGAGAGTACAGCGAAAAATCCACTGTATATGAGTTGGTAGCAATTTTTCAGCCTTGAACCAAATCACTGTCATAAACTATCGGATTTACTCGACCAAGAGGTGAACATGATGTCTTGAACCTCTCGGGCTTTGATGTAAACCGAGACAATAGCTATAACACAGCTTCATTCTCTCACAGAATCAGGTTCTCTATTGTGTTCATTTTGGCCGTGAACTTGCCTGGATAATCATGAGTGAACTTGGAGAATATAGCCTTTCATTTATTCTCCTAGAAACGGCCCCATTTCACACTCACAAGGTGATTCGCCATTAACTTTGTTTAAAGGAGTATCCTGCATTACTCCATGTATATTTCAAAGTTATGGACCCAAATCATTAAAAGCAAAAGCTTATCCTCTACACCATACAGGTAGCACTGTTCATCATCCTAGGAACTGGGTAGAGACATGAGTCTCCCAGTGCTAGCTGATTCAGTTTGACTTAGTTTTCCCCTTGAACCTATTTCATGGGATCTCCAATCAGTTAGGTAGGGTTACCATCAAACTTCCTCTTAAGTAATAGGCTTTAAACCCATTCCTCTTGATGATTTTACAATTTAATCTCATGACACACCTTTAATTGGATCCTAGGTTGTCATTCAAGTAGATATAATCTAAGATTACTCCATTTGAGATCAATTGTTTAATAATTTTAGGCAGTGGCATTGCAACTTTTGCTATGCACCCCCACACTTTTAGGTATTTGTACAAATGTACTTTACCTTTCAAACTCATATGACATTTTGTCAATGACTTTATGTGGTAAACAACTTTTACCCCCACATTTCTTGAGATAACTCAAAATTCATGCAACTTTGCATTTTCACATTTTTTAGTTTTAAAGAATGGCTAGAAAGATAAATATCTTTTTTAACCAATTTTAAATTTTTTTTCTCATAGATTTTGTCCAACATTAGTCCTATGTTTACAACACTAGGCACTAATTTGACAATATGATAAATATCATAACTTGGTACAATCACAAGTGGAAGACCATTACCAAAATAAATTTGGTATGTCAACTCACTAAACTTGTTACCAATAACCCTTCAACCACTAATGGTATGGAAAAAATCATAAATGGTAGACCACTCCCAACATGGGGTATCAACTCATTTGATTTTCACTTTAGAAACATTTTTATAAATGTTCTAATTTTTGGTAACACCTTTTAATTCAATTTACACACATTCAAACCTGAAGCATCATATCAAAAATATTAGAAATATATCAAATATATATAAGCAATTTAATCACTTCTAAAAATTGCAAAAATAATTAAATTAAAACTCCAAATGAATTCAGGAATTAACAATTTAATCAAAGGCAGAAACAGCGATTTAAACAATTAAAATAAATTGCATCAATTAATTATTTAAATAATACTAGGAATAACCACGATGCAATATTCAACAAATAATTAAAGCATTTTGAATGACTTAATAACAAAAGTCAAACTTCTTTGCAACGATAGAGATAAATGCAAAAACATATGATCAATGCTAAACAAACAAATAAACATCAATCTGAGTAATCAAATGCATTTATCAACGAATACAAAAAAAATGCAACAAAGAACTTGTGTTAGTCACAAATAAATAATTGCTCCAATATTGCTGCAAAATAATCAGAAAATTAATCAATTTTCCAGAACTTAGTTCTTTCATGAACACCAGTTCATATCAATTTTAACAAATAAAAAAAATATTAATGCATAGCAGAATATTTTTTTTCAGATAAAAACACTGAAATAATTCTGAAAAATAATGCAAAATAATTAAAATAAATTGCAGAAAATTAGAAGAATTAAATCATATTTTCTTCCTTTGATAACCTGCAAAATATAATCATAATAAATTTCTTAAAACCCAGAAAATTAATTCCATAAATTCTGATAATCTGCAAAAAATAAGTAGAATAAATTTGCAGAAAATTGGAAAAATTAATCCAATTAATCCAGAATTTCCAGTTCCTGTTTACATAGCAAAAACACTTCACAAAAATCAGTTTTCGTTACTGCAATAAGCAAAAACCAAAATTTACAGAATTAAGATTGTAAGAACGCAATTTCTACAATGGGCGACTGATTAATGTAAAGTATTAAAATGGATAAATTAATATAACAAAATATTAAAATGATACAAAATAAACAAGAATTAAGGAAATAAAACCAGATTTGCAGAGATATGATCTCTTTCCTTAATTCTGTAAACGCCCCGTAGTGTGACGGTTGTATGGCGTTCCTAATCCCAGGATAAAACTGCATACTTCTTATGATTGTATCACTCAATACATAAGCTTTCGAACCATGTTTTCTGTGTTGTACTCTCATAAAGAAAAACAAAACAAAAGAAGAGAAGTGAGAGATTGTTGGTTTTCTTTAGTGTTTGATCACATGTTAATGTTTTCACAAGAGAATGAGAGATGGCTTTATAAAGCCAATACTTTTTAACCATCGAATATGGTCATAAAGGAGATTAATTCTTTCAACATGACATTAAGTCTTGATGCTACAAAATCAAATACAATTAATTGTCCTTTGACACAATTTAATTGGAGAATATATTAGTTGACTTAGTCAACAACACAATTCAAAAAGAATCTTGACCAAAATGATTAAATAATCATATGGACCATTCTCGAGGCCCGAAACACAATTCAGTCCGGATATCTCTTTTCTCCAATACACTAAAGTGTATACAAGCTTTTAAACTTTGTATTAAATTCTCCACTTTATATACAAGAGGATTTCACCTCAAACTTCCAATGTGAGACATTTCATAAATGTTACATTTTATACTATACAAGCAACCCACTTGGACCTCCATTTCTCATTCAAACCAACTTCATTTTTGACATATAAATATACTATCAAAAATGAGTTCCAACAGTAAATACTTGAACGAGAGCTTTGGCGTGTGTAATGACGGGTCTCCTGTCAATGTAACTTGCTTCCCATGATACATGAAAGAGTATTCATGTTTGTTCCGATCAATCTGACATTTGCCCAAAGTCCGTAACCATTGAACTCCCAAGATAATATCAGGGCTTCCCAGATCCAAGACTATAAAATCTGCAGTAAATGCCAATCCGTGCAACAACAATTGCACATTTCTACAAATGCATGTCCCATGAACTGAAACGCATGTTCCTAACATAATCTCCAAATTTGGATTCACCATTGTCTTCAATTGCGCTCGCGTTATCATCTCTGGAGTGATGAAATTATGTAGCACCACTGGCTAACATAACTACTACTTGATTCTTCTTAATCAACCATGTCATTTTGGTTGTAGTAGGAGAATCTATCCCTAAGAAGGAGTTTAAGGATAATTCCATGAGCAATGATGGTTCTTCCACATGATAATCCTCTGCCACTTCAATTAAGTGTTGATCCAGAATCTCCATGTCAAAACCATTAACCACCGTGAGAACCTGAAGAGATTTTTCTGGACAGAGATGTGTTCTAGACCACTTTTCAGGACACTTGAAGCACAGACCCAATCTCTTATTCTCTGCAATTTCAGCTTCCGTCAATTTGATTTGCGGTCTAGATTGCGCAGAAGAAGGACTTTGTTGTAGTTGTTTCATCTTCCAAGGAGGCACTGTCTGACTAGAGTAGGATTTGGAAGGAGGAGGGTGAACCGAAGATTTGTTGTTCTGCTGCCTCTCTCTCTTTGAACAACACGGTATAAAGAGCTTGTCTCCATTTGATAAGCACAAGAAATCATCTCTGGTAAGTCCACTGGCTTACACATGTTAACTACTTCTCTCATGTCAAGAGTCAGCCCATTCATAAAAATACCTTCCATTTGCTTGTCCGACAATCCAGTAGCTTGAGTAGAGAGATCTTCAAACATGTGAATATATTCAGAAACTGAACCAGTTTGTGTAACATTGAAGAATCGTTGACTTGGATCTTGTAACTTCTCTCGACTGAAACGTGCAATCAGACGATCAGTGAAGTCCTGCCAACTAAGAAAAGGTTTCCGATGCGTTTCACTGTTGAACCAGCTTAAGACATCACCACCTAAACTGATCGAAACCACTTCTAGTTTATCTTCCTCACTATAACCTCCAATTCTGAAAAACCGTTCAGCTAGAGCAATCCATCCATAAGCATCGTCTCCGGAGAAAACCGGTAATTCCATGCGTTTCAACATTTTCTCTCGAGTACCCATAATTGAATTTCGAAATCGAGAATCATCCGCTTAATAAATAAGGCCTGGTTTCAAGTCCGAAGGGCATACCTTTGGGTTAGGCTTCTTGAAATTCGGATTTGAGAACTCCATGACCTGTGGTGAATTTACAGAGTTTTTCTGAAGTAGGTCGTACAATTCGGAGAACCGCGAGTCCATCGTCGTCGCCAACTCTTGGATCATCGATCGTGTAGCCTGTTCACTCTCCATCTGGTCGGTTTTGTGATTCATCATGATGTGCGCCAGAGAGTCTAAAGTAATCGATGTCTCCGTCGTCTTCGGCATTGGCTTTGGTGGATCCTTCGTCATCGTGAAAGTCTGATTGTCACGATTGTGCGCTCCAGAACGCTCACCGGCAGCAATTTGATAAGAACTGCGTATTATTATGATAAGAAAACTCAGAACACAAGTCCAAACGAGTATGCTTGAAGAGAAAACCCTCTTGTTCTCTAAACAGAGACCCAAGCCAAATCCCGATAATCTCCAGGAAAGACCAAAACAGATCCTTTTATAGTTATAGATCCTTACATTAATAAGTAAAACTCAATGAATAAAGTAAACTTAGCTTAAGCAATTAAAGGAAACTTAGCTAATCGACTCTGCACTTGTAGAAGTCACCGCCTCTTTCTGCTTTTTCCTTTAACGATCATAAGACCTCCAAGCCATATCACCACCTTCATCAAATCTTTCAAGTTAAAGAAGACAAACACGTTTGAAAACCAACACCTAAATATCTCAAAATGTTCTAAAATGTTATAACTTCAACAACATAAAGATGAGCATCATGAAACCTCTAATTCGAGAAAGATTCAAAATTTGGGTTTAACCAAATTGAAATGTGAACAGAACAAAGTCCCAGCATCACTTGAAGTAATTTACAGTTTCCACCAAATGCAAACGGATAATTATGTAACGAGAAGACATGAATGGAGAATTTTTACCAGAAGATCTGTGAGCAATCAAAAGTGGAGTAGCAAACCCAAGAACTCCGAGAAGGCGAAATCGTTGTTTCCGGCGAGAAAGACGTGGGTCTGGTCATGGTGTCTCTCCGGGAAAGAGATTAAGAAATCGATGACTTTTTGGGTCTTTGGTCCTCGATCGCAGTAGTCACTGAGGAAGATGTGAGAGCTTATCTGAAATTCCGTGGATGTCTCCGACGCAGATCACCGGTGGTGGTTTTTGCGCCATTAATGAGAACAGAAAGACAAAACAAGTAAGCATGTTTTGCGCCGCCATTAAGAAGACATTCGAACAAGAACGAGAACCATCACCGGAGATCGGTGGCGAAGAAGAAGGATTTCGAGCAGTGGTTGAGATCAGAGAAGAAGAGGAAAAATGATTTCAAAGAAGTGAGACAAAACAAAAAAAAAACAAAAAACAAAAGACTGCAAAAAATTATGGCGGGGCATTATAGAGGCGACATGTGGTAAGCACAGAGTAAGTAGAGACGATTATGAATTAAATTTGTGCCACCTAGATAAATTTCTAATTTTTTCATTATTTTTTTTGTTTCAGAACCGCCTCCGAACTGTGCGATGGGAATGCTCTTAGGTTCAACGCAAGTGTGGTGTGAGATACAGCACAGTGCTCGCTTCTTTTTTTTTGTTTAAATCTCTACTTATAGGGCATAATTTTCTAAAAACTAAGCATGTGACTCTTTTCTATATACCATAGTTGATATCAATGGAAACTTAGCTGCAGCTACAGTACACATCTTTCTTCTTACTGCTCCTCCTCTGTTTGCAAGCAACTGAAGATCTCATTAGTCCTGGATCCGGGCACGTATTACTCATTTGTATTTTTGCTTAGATAAGTTTACGGTAACATTCCACTTCACCTAACGTAATTGTTCTTGAATGTTATTACAGTGGTTTCTCTGGAGACCAGGCACGGGCCCGAACCCATCCAAACAATTCTTTTGGATGGGGCCACAACATTTTTCCTTAAGATATTTGGGGCCTATATTTTTTTTTCTTTTTGGTTTTTAGTGTAAATAACAAAAATTAAATCAGTTTTAGAGCCTATATTTTATGTTTTGATTTGGACCCCAAGAATCTCAGGCCCGGACCTGCTGGAGACTGGTCTGGAGATAAGCTACTCAGGCCTGATGGAGAACATTTCAGTAACGGTACAAGCTCTGTCTCCGATGTTGATGCAAGACAGAGAACAGAGGAAAGAACGGAGCAGTCTACATGATTGAATCAGAAACGGAGTAGATTCAAACGGCAGGGTGCAGAAAGAACGGATCGGTCTCAACCCTGAAACTGAGTGACATGGGGAATTATGGATGCTTCCTTGACTGCACCGAGAGAATTTCACTGCCAGTACACGCCGAGGCTCACGTAAACCAGAAAGAGACTCTTGAGTTCCCTTGCGGCTCACGGTACGTAATAAACTTGTAGTGTTTTCCAATCGGTTTGGCCAAACTATAACCTAAGAAGTAAGAACTATGGTTTGACTTTGGATGGTTCCACTGCCATTCATTATGACTTTGGATTGGTTCCCCTGCCATTCATTATGACTTTGAAGTAAGATCATATTAAACACATATTTGAGTGGATTTTTTAGTTTGATTTGGTTTCAAACATAATATGGTTTCTCAAATAGTAATCAACTTTTGTTATTTGGTCACAGTTCTTGGATCTGTGATTGTGGTGGAGTCCCTCGTTGTATTCTCTCTCGCTATTGGGCTTCTGTTCTTCACTTGCAAATGTGCATTCTTACTTGTACACGAGAAAAGAAAACGAACAGAAGAATTCACAGAAGCCAACGGTAATTTAAAGACTCATTTCTATTGTGTTATTTTTTTTTTACAGCAATCTATGTCCAAACCATAAGAAAATGGTAATTCTCTGTTCTGGAGCAGGATAATGCCCAAGTGTTAAACGACAATGTTTCAACAAGAACAATCACAGGTTGTCTCCCGGAGAGTATTTGGAATTGCCATCCGCTTGAGAGGTATATTTATATATTGGGGAAATAGTTTAATTGGACTAACGTATTCCTTTTATGGTATAGACAAGTTGGCGAAACTTTTGGCAAGCATAATCCGTCTCCCGGTAAGAACATCATCACATGGAACTTGGAAGGGTAATATTGAAAAACCAAGGGCTACTGATGTGGAAGTAGATCACAAAGACACAAGGGATTTCTCTACAAAGAAATATATTACTAGAAATTCTTTAAGTGTAACTTACAAGTATTGCTTAAACGAATTGACAACCACAATCTATCCACGATTTGATTGCTCTAGTAACACTCTGTTCTCAGATCTATCCACGATCTTCGAACCTCTCAAGCCCTAACCCTTTGTCCTAGCTCTCTTACAAGATGATCTAAACCCAAAGTCTAAAGCTCTCAATATTTGTGATAGCCGCTTCCAAGCAGCCAAGGTCTCTATTTATCCTCAATAGACGAACCGAAACCCTACAAGGTTTGTGTCTTGGTGATTACTCCAAATCTCCAAGGAATATTTCCTTTCCTTATTTTTCTCTAAGAATAGGAAATATCCTTTTGTCTTGATAATTCCAAATCTCCTCATCCAGCTCAGCTACCGCCTCTTCTGGATTCGTCCTTAACCGCTACAAGCTCGCATCCAGCTCAGCAGCTCCTTTAGCTCCGTTAAGCTCCGCTTAGCTCCGCTACATGTCCGTCCATACGTCCTGATGCACTTCCTGACTGATTCACGATCTGCGTCAAACCAGTTGCATCTTCAATCTCCCCCTTTTTAGCTTTGTGTCTTACAAGCACCTGTAAAACTCAAATCCACAATGCACATACCAGAGATAACCAGAAAAAATGTTCTGAATACTTCATCATTAATCAAAATATTCAAATCATTCAGAACAAGAGTTATGAGTTTAAACATCCAAAAACAAAGAGTTAGATCCAAAGTAAAAACTCTCAACTCCCCCAGAATTCTAGAACCGAAAACTACTAAAACAGAGCAAAAAACAAAAAAGCTTGCTCCCCCACAATTCTAGCATAAGTCCTAGTTTTCGTCCCCTGGTTCATCCTGTTCTCCCCCTGCTTGTGAGACCACACAAGTTAAAAACACAAGATGAAAATCATATGGAACAAGATTGTGCAGATTCAACTTACCTTGAGGTTGGCGAGAAGCCCTGAACTGTCTGTGAAGGTCTGGAGAGTGTAGACGATGTCCTGGAGCGCCTGAATCGCAGCTGCTGGTTGAATCGGAGGAGTAGGAAAGCGAACAGAACCAAGATCCACAGTAAATGAAGCCTCTGATGTAGACTGTGCTGCAGGCACTGAGTCGATCGGACCCGAGATGTAGAAGGTCTGCTTGCTTCTTCTTCTTCTTATTCTCTCTTCGCGCTTATGTACTCTCCCAGAGCGCTTATCCTTTGATAGTGAAGAGGACGAAATGAGTACATCATCATCAAGGAGAGAGAGGCGCTTGCATCTGAAGATGCCATAGATGATCGCGGAACATCAACCAACGAGAGTCTGAACTGATTTTGCTCATCCCCATCACTTGATCATACACCAACTGACCAAAATCAACTATAACTCCAGTGGATAGCTTGTAGATAAGCTTAGCTCGCTGCTCAGACACATGGTTGCTATGAGTTGAAGGCATCCAGTTGTGAGACGCAATAATGACCAAGGATGCATAACATGGAGTCATCCCAATCGTGTAGATCTCAGCCCACTCTGCCTTCTCATTGTCAGTGAATAGTGAGCCAATGTCTTCAGACTGACAGAGTCTGCATCTGCTTCAACTTTCTCTCTTCTTCACTCAGAGGCTGCAATTGAGGAACTCGTTGACAATGGTAGGGAAAACTCATAGTTCTGACCTCTAATCGTCACTGAACACTATCATCTCCTGGTTGAGGCAATGCAGCATAGAACTCAACAATTTGCGACCTAACATAGCTTCCCAACCCTCAACCGTAGTTAAACCCTCCTTTGATGATAATATCAGGATATCCCCACTTAGCTTCAGTCTTAAGATCAACAATTCGCTTCCAATATTCCACGAGAGCTAAAGATAGCAAACCTGTCCTGAGATGACTTCTTATGGGTTCGGGAGCCTCGGTTTGTTTGCCTTCTTTAGCTCGTGAACTAGCTCGAGCCGGAGACTTTCTTCACCGGTAGATCGAGACTTTGCGGCTTTGGTTTTGGAGATGAAGACGTTGCGGCAGCCTTCTCCTTCAGCTTTTTCGACGGCGAAGTCTGGTTTCTTTGAGCCGTGGCACAAGGGAAGCCTCTTCATCGCTTGGTTCTTCATCCGAAGAGCAAATCGAGTTGATTGAGCGCTGATGGAGTAATTTCGGAGTGTAACAGTTGGTTAATCAGGCGACAGCTCCTTCTCCTCAGATCGAACGGCTGACCCAGATTTAGTTCATCGAGAGCCTCGGTGTCGCGAGATGAGAAGCGACGGGAATGAATCTCTCGGAGGAATCGAAGAGTCGGGCTCCGGAATCAGTCAGCGGTGGAGCTAGAGTTTCGGCGGTTCTCTAGATCGGCTCCGTCGTCTGTCATCGCGAGGAATCTCCAGTTCCTCGGGTTTCTCCGCCGTGGCTTCTTCATCCGCCATCACTTCATCTTCGGCCGTAGCGAAAGACGGTTTCTCCTTCAAAAGAACCATCTCCATCTGATTCATCTCCTTCCGTCAGCGGCTTCGTCCATGATGAATCGGCGGCGGAGGATCTTGGATCGTCGTTCAGGGCTGGTTCGTCGATTTGGACCGGGTGGAGGCGGATCCGTCGATGTGCTTCTTCGGATCGGGTTGACTTGGACGGATTCCCTTGTCGAGTCGCGGTCACCATTGAATCAATTGACTCCTTCAATCGATTTGGGAAAAATTAGGGTTTTCGAAACTTTGACTTTCCTTTTTCGCTTTTCTTCCCTTTTATATCTCACTGCATTCGAGAAACCACTTAAACCAAACCGGAATTATAAATCAACATAAATCAGCCGGATTAATTTGGTTTAGAGATCCAGAGCTCCTGCTTGACTTCCTGCAACACTTAGCACCAATATCAGCAGTACAACACAAGGACCCAAAATTGTGACAACCACATAAGATTCGATTCAAGTAGAATCCAAACAAGCAATACCTCCCATGTGTCACATCTTTTCAGCTTAAAAACATTTTTACTCAGTTTATCTCAAATTAAATACCTTTCATTTTAGTGAAGGAGACATTGACTGAGTCGGCACTTGCATCAGGATGTATTACAAATTCTCAACAGATTCATAGCGCTTGGCCATCCTGATTCCAACCTGCAGCTTTCACTTTGTCATACCCAGATCATATCACCACCTCTAATTCCAATGATGTGCAAAGTGAAACTCTTTATTTTGTTCAAGGCAGAACATGTGATCATTCTCTGTCGTTGGATGTTGTTCTTGTGAAACATTACCCTTCGAGAAAGCTCATGGACCAACTCAGCCTTGTGAGCTGTTGTTGTCAGTCCATCCCCTTTCCTATTAAGCTCTTAGTTCTGTCGTCAGACTTTGTTCTTGTGAAACATTGTCTTTCGAGAAATCACATGAACCAACTTAGCCTTGTGAGCTATTGTTGTCAGTTCATCACATTTCCTGTTATGCTCATTGAATCACTTTTTGGTTCTTGAAGCAGCAAGCCATCTCCATCATATTGCATTCATTTGGAGTTGGCTCAGCTGCTTTTTGACCTTGAACATGCTTAGAATCACTTACTTTTCACTTTTCTTATGTTGAGGTGACATGACGGCATGACAAAGTAGCTGATCCTCATTGGCACCTTTGACTCCAAACAAAATCTGAACTTGTTAATACACCCGAGCCAGTGCCTGTATCAGCCCCTGCATCATTCAAAACCACTTGTGCAAATTCCAATGGAATTTCTTAAGGTGACAAAACGGTTAAAGTCCAATGGTTTTGTGAATAAATCAGCGAGCTGTAAATCTGTGACAACATGTTCAAGTACTACCTGTTTTTCTTCCACCAATTCACGAACAAAGTGGTGTCTTATGTCAATGTGCTTAGTCCTTGAGTGCTGCACCGGATTCTTTGATATGTCAATGGCGCTTTTGTTGTCACAGTAGACCAAGAAGGGTCCAGACTCCATCCCATAATCGGCTGACATCTGTCTCATCCATATAAGCTGTGTGCAGCAGCTTCCCAATGCAATGTACTCAGCCTCTGCAGTAGATAGTGACACAGAATTCTGCTTCTTGCTAAGCCAAGCAATAAGATTGTTCCCAAGGAAGAAACAACCTCCACTTGTACTTTTCCGATCATCTGCACATCCTGCCCAATCGGCGTCACAATATCCAGCAAGATTTCTGTTGGATCCTTTGGAGTAGAAGATCCCCAGATTGACAGTTCCCTTGACGTACCTCAAGATCTTCTTCACTCTTGAAGATGGGACTGTTTTGGTTTGGCCTGATAACGAGCACACACACCGACGCTGAAGCATAAGTCAGGCCGACTTGCTGTAAGGTAAAGCAAGCTTCCAATCATTCCTCTGTATAGCTTCACATCAACATCTTCTCCATGTTCATCCTTTCCAATCTTAGTTTGGTGCTCATTGGTGTTCTTGCCTCCTTGCACTTTTCAAGACCAAACTTCACCAGCAGATTCTTAGCATATGCTTTGAGAAATAAAAGGGGGTGTATTGGAAAAGGGATTTTAAAGATTTTAGGTGCTTTTGAATGATTTTGTATTTTCGGTGGTTTTAAGAGATTTTAGAAGATTTTGGTGGGATTTAAAGAGATTTTAAGAAAATGCCTTGAGGAGATTTTGGATGATTCTCATAGGATTTTAAATGACTTTTGAATGATTTTATCATTTTGGGTGGTTCTAGTGGATTCTTCTTCTCTTATCCCTTTTCACTACCTTAGCCATAACCATCGTCATAAAATAAAGTTCCACTCTATTTCTCACTCTCTTTCTGTATCTGTTTTGGGAGATAGGTGAACACAAAAACGTATAACACGGTTGCTTCGAGTATACAGTTTGGTCTGTTGGGATGTCTGAGCACGGTTTCAACCTTAATGGCCGAGTTCAATGCCATGAGAGAAAGTGATCAACCATGAAGAGCCTATGCGTATGCATTTTTCACCATTGCTGTTTCTTTTGGGGTTGGAACTGTTATATACTCGGTCCCTGTTTGTGTTGTAGGATTCAGTTAAACTTAGATAAATCTTGTGCAGAGAGTTCACACATGTGAAAAAAACATTTGTCCGTAGATAGATGAATGAATTAGATTTAGGTCGGTCACAATCAAAGTTTACATTGTGGCATTGAGCAGAATTTTTAAGAGAAACTTTTATATTATAATGATAATATTTTTCTCTGTTTTACATCATATATGATAATTCTATATTCCACACTGAAAAAACAAACAATCAGTAACAAAACCTGTACATTCTTGCTTCATACCATTGTCACACTTCTCCCAAATTTTAAAACAGATGTTAAGTCGACGAATTCATCTCACGATCAGGAGAATCAGACATATAGAAGAAAGAACGGCTCACTTCTATTGTGGTTGTGGCAGGTAGCTATATGTGGAACAGCTTCTCTCTGTCTTTGTCACCTGCAGAAGAAAGAGAGACAATGATATGACATTAGGAATAGTCCTTGTAATAAACCACTAAGTCTGTGGTATCCATCAGATAAATGAATACGAACCTCTGAAGTATGAGAGAGCCCTGAAGGAAGAAATTGTGTCCAGCGAATAGGGGATTCAATGCATTGTAATTTGTGAGCAATGGAGCAGTTAAGAGAGAGGTAAGTGGGTACATGATGTACTTGCATTTTACATAGTTTTAGCACATCTTTTATGCATCTTTTGCATAGTTTTAGCTTCCATTTGCATCATATCTTGTTCCTTTTCTCTTCTTATGCATTCATGTTAGTTTTAGGTTGCATTTGCATACATATGCATGTTTGGTCCTTTGAAATAGGTCTTTTGGAGCATTCTGGAGCATATGGGACATGAGGAGCATGGAGGGACTTGGCACATGGAAGCAGCTCAACTGGATACGCAAAGGAAGAAGGGAGAAGCCATCTTGAAGACCAGCTCGACCGTCTACTCGACCAACCGGTCGAGTTCCTCAACTCGACCGGCCAAGCTTCAACTCGATCGAGCTGGAAGTCAAAGTCAAACCCGAAAAATGTTGCTTCCCCCTTGACTTTCCTTTGACCCTAAACCTAATCCTCTTGTATTTAAAGGCTCTAAGCCACGAAAAAACCACCAAGCTTTAGATTATTTTGTTTTAGTTTCTTTTAATTTATTGTCTTTACTTTTTAGCAACCCTAATCCCATCTTTGTGTTCTTGAAGCTCTTGCTTCTTGAATCTTAGATCCTGGATTAATTCTTTGTATTTGCACTTGCTTATTTCAATAAAAGTTGTTTAATTTCATCTCCTCTTTCTTATGATGTCTCTTTTATTGCATTTGCTTGTGTTTACATTCATGTGTAGTGAGTAGTTACCCATTAGGGTTTGAGATGGGATAGATTAGAGGTTTCATATGCTTAATCCTTCTAGCTTATGGTCTTAATCTAGATTCTCTCTCTTTTGGATAGATCTTAAGGCTACATGACCACTACCCCTGGCTTGTAAGTCCTTAGGCGATTCCCCACACGAAAGTGATGGCATTCGCTGGAAAAGATCCACTAAGAGCTCCAATATCTCTTGCTCTAGAAATAGAGGTCTAAGGGGTTGGATGGATTAGTTTGGGCAATGATCCTATAGCCTCCAAGGTTTGATTCTCACTGGCTAACCCCCTGTTTCTGAGATCATTCCTTGGTTGATAGCCTTCACCTTGGGAAAGGGTTGGCTAGGCATTGAGAAGCCCAATATCAAGAGAAGCCTTGATACAAGGAGTTTTAAGAGCTAGATTGATTAAGTGTAGATTCCTTTGATTGCAAAACCCTGTCTTGAACCCTAATTCTCTCTTATCTTGTTAAAGTCGTCACCTTTAGCTTTGTTTTCTCAACTCGACCCTAAACTCGATCGAGCTGGTACTCTGTTCTACTCGACTCGAGTCTTGGTCGAGCTGCTTTGTTTACTTTTATTGCACTGCTTTCATTTAGGTTGTTAGTGTTACCAAATTTTACTGCTTGCTTGACTTTCTGGTTGTTTCATATTCTCATAGAGTGACAAGTTTCCCATTTTGGATTGATAACCTCTTGTACTACATGACTATGATGGTTAAGAGGAATTGATTGATTGTGATTGCACCATTTCATCTTCATTACCACTGTTGCATTCCACCTCATCTCATTTCATTCATTCATTCACATCCACACACAAATCCTATCATCAATTTGGCGCCGTTGCCGATTTGGGAATATTTTTGTTGCATTTGAGTTTCAAACACACTTGGACGATCAAGCTATACCACCCCTGTTCTATTGTACTGCTGGGTTTTTGTCTCTTTTTGCAGGTGTATGCGAACTCGATCGAGTCGGTCTACTGAGGACTTGGTCGAGCTAGACTTACAACGGGTAGAAAGAGGGTTCAGAGGTCACAGAGGGTACAAGAGGAACCTGAGGTGCTTGTTGCTGATACAATGGATGTACCAGAGGGGAATGGAAACCCTTTGGGAATGGACTCGGTCGAGCTAGGCAAACTCGACCGATTGGTCAAGGAGATGCTCCAAACCGCCACCAACAGAGACAAGGGATTGTTCCACCACCAGTGCAGAACCACAACTTTGAGATCAAGCTGGGAATGATCAACCTTGTCCAGAACAAGATGTTCCATGGATTGCCAAGTGAAGACCCCATTGACCACCTTGATGAGTTTGATAGGCTTTGTGATTTGACAAAGATCAATGGTGTCTCTGAAGATGCCATCAAGCTGAGACTCTTTCCTATGTCTCTAGCTGACAAAGCTCACCAATGGGAGAAGAGCTTGCCCCATGGCACAATCACCACTTGGGATGAATGCAAGAAGGCCTTTCTTGCTAAGTTTTTCTCCACCGGTCGCACAGCCAAGCTTAGAGGAGAGATATCCAGCTTCATCCAGCGAAACAATGAGACATTCGCAGAGGCTTGGGAGAGGTTCAAAGGCTACACAAGTCAGTGCCCACACCATGGATTCAACAATGAATCACTACTCTCCACTCTTTATAGAGGATGCTTGCCTAGGTATAGGGAGATGCTAGACACAGCTAGCAATGGGAACTTCCTCAACCAGGATGTAGATGATGGCTGGCAACTTGTGGAGAACATGGCCATATCAACAGAATGCTATGGAGAGCATATGAAAGTACAGACTGGAGCTCGACCGCGCACTCGATCGAGCTGGACGCTCAGATGAGAAAAGACATGCTTGCACTCAACTCGAAGTTGGACAAACTGATCCTAGCCCAATTCCCTGCCAAGCATGTCAACTATGTCTCAGAACAAACCTTAGTCAAGGACCAGGAAGGGGAGGAGACAACACAAGAAGTTTGCTACATTCAAAATAGACAAGGAAGCTATAGGAATCCTCAACAAGGGAGATACAACAATTATCAAGCCCCCTGGCCGCACCAACAACAAAGTGTTCCACAAGGCTTCAACACAAGGACTACTCATACCCAACCAACTCAAGATTGGGATATGAAGGAAATGCTCCAACAACTTTTACAAGGGCAAGCCAAAGGTTCTCTGGAAATGAACAACAAGCTGGTTGAGATACACTCTAAACTAGAGTCATTGACTTCAAGAGTCCAAATCATTGAGTCTTCAAGTGCATCATCCTCTTCACCACAAGAGTATGCCCAAGCAGTTACACTAAGAAGTGGGAGGCAATTCCCGAGTAGAGGTAGCCCACCCCAAATCGCTGTGGACATCGATGACGAGGAAGGGGAGGATTTAGTCGACTATGCTGATAACTCGACCCCGAACTCGATCGAGCTGGAACAAAACCCTGAACCAGAACTCGATCGAGCTGGAGAAACTGAGACACTGCAAGACAAACCAGAGCTCGATCGAGCTCAGAAGAGAACAGACAAAGCAAACTCCAGCCAACCAGCTAAACCTGTTGCAAAGAAGAAAGACACTCCAGCAGGACCACCACCATACAAGCCCCCTCTGCCCTTTCCAGGAAGGTTCAAGAAACAACTGTTGGAAGCACACAAGGCCAAGTTTGATGAACTAATGAGACAGCTTGAGTTGAAGTTGCCCTTCATCGACGCCTTGATGCTCATTCCACCTTATCAGAAATTTCTGAAGGATGCTGTTCAGCAAAGAACCAGGGAAGCACAAGGGATGGTAGTGTTGACTCGCGAGTGCAGTGCAATCATTCAGCGGAAGGTCATCTCCGACAAAAAGGAAGATCCGGGGAGTTTCACTTTGCCCTGCATGTTGGGACCCCTATCTTTCAAAAACAGCTCTGCGATCTAGGATCATCTGTCAGCCTCATGCCTTTGTCTGTAGCAAAGAGACTGGGATATCACAAGTACCAAGCCTGCGGAATCTCACTAGTCTTGGCAGATAGATCGATAAGGTTACCAACTGGGATGCTTGAAGACCTGCCTTTGAGGATAGGGAATGTGGAAATCCCCACAGACTTCATTGTGCTTGAGATGGATGAGGAACCAACAGATCCATTGATTCTAGGAAGGCCATTCCTAGCTACAGCAAGAGCAATGATAGATGTCTGTGAAGGAACAATTGAGTTAAACTTGGGAAAGGACCTGAAGATGAAGTTTGATATCAAGATACAATGAGGAAACCAACTATAGAAGGTCAGCTCTTTTATGTTGAGGAAATGGATCAGTTGGCAGATGAGCTTCTAGAAGAGTTATCAACAGAGGATCCCTACAAGTTGCTTTGACCAAGGATTCTTCAGAGGGATATGTGAGCTCAGAAACTGATGAGTACAAGAAGCTCCTTGACACCTTCAGACCAGTTCCAAACATTCTGAGCATTGAGGGATTGGACAGGCCAGTTTGCGAAGTCATGGCAGTGAGCTCGATCAAGAACTCGATCGAGTCGAGCCTCGAACAAACGAACTCGATCGAGCTGGGGCTGAATGCAAGGAGCAAGCTCAAGGAGATTGGTCTGAGCTCAAGGCGCCTAAAGTCGACCTCAAACCTTTGCCTGAGGGCCTCAGGTATGCATTTCTGGGTGAAAACTCAACTTACCCTGTCATTGTGAACTCTGATTTGGAACCTGAACAGTTGAGTGCTTTGCTTGTTGAATTGAGAAAGTACAGAAAGGCAATAGGTTACACTCTAGATGATATCAAGGGGATCTCCCCTGACCTATGCATCCATAGGATTCATCTAGAGGATGAAAGTAAGTCAAGCATTGAACCTCAGAGAAGGTTGAACCCCAATCTAAAGGAAGTAGTGAAGAAAGAGATACTCAAGTTGCTTGATGCTGGGATAATCTATCCCATCAGTGATAGCACTTGGATATCTCCAGTTCATTGCGTCCCAAAGAAAGGGGGGATCACTGTCATTAAAAACGACAAAGAGGAGCTGATTCCCACTAGAACAATAGTGGGGCATCGCATGTGTATTGACTATAGGAAGCTAAATTCAGCATCTAGAAAGGATCATTTCCCTCTCCCTTTCATTGATCAGATGTTAGAAAGATTGGCAAACCACCCTTTTTATTGTTTTCTTGATGGCTACAGTGGTTTCTTCCAAATCCCGATCCACCCTAATGATCAGGAGAAGACCACTTTCACATGCCCTTATGGCACCTTTGCTTATCGAAGGATGCCATTTGGGCTGTGCAATGCTCCAGCTACTTTCCAGAGGTGCATGACCTCCATTTTTTCAGATCTGATAGAGGAGATGGTAGAAGTCTTCATGGACGATTTCTCAGTCTATGGAGCATCCTTCTCCTCATGTTTGTCTAACTTGTGCAGGGTGTTGCAGAGGTGTGAGGAGACCAATCTAGTACTCAACTGGGAGAAGTGCCACTTCATGGTTCGAGAAGGGATTGTGCTTGGACACAAGATTTCCGAGAAAGGGATCGAGCTCGATCGAGCTAAGGTGGATGTCATGTTGCAGCTCCCTGTTCCCAAGACTGTGAAGGACATAAGGAGTTTTCTGGGTCATGCAGGGTTCTACAGAAGATTCATCAAGGATTTCTCAAAGATAGCAAGACCCTTGACAAGGCTTCTGTGCAAGGAGACAGATTTTGAGTTTGATGAAGAATGCCACAAGTCTTGGACCTTGCTGAAGGATGCTCTGGTGTCTGCGCCAATAGTACAAGCTCCAAACTGGGATCACCCATTTGAGATTATGTGTGATGCATCTGACTATGCAGTAGGAGCAGTGCTTGGCCAAAAGATAGACAAGAAACTCAATGTCATCTACTATGCAAGCAAGACTATGGATGATGCTCAGTGCAAGTATGCAACCACAGAGAAGGAACTCCTTGCCATAGTCTTTGCCTTTGAGAAGTTTCGAAGCTATATAGTTGGATCCAAGGTGATTGTGCACACTGACCATGCTGCCCTTAGACACATCTTCGCTAAGAAAGATACAAAGCCAAGACTTCTCAGATGGATCCTTTTGCTTCAAGAGTTTGATATAGAAGTTGTGGACAAAAAGGGAGTAGAAAATGGAGTTGCTGATCATCTCTCTAGGATGCGAGTTGAAGACATGATCCCCATCAATGATTCTATGCCTGAAGAACAGCTTATGGCAATCATGATCTTGAAGGAGAGTTTTGATGAGAAAGCCAGGCTGGAAGAAGTTAAGGCTCTGCGTGATGAGAATTTGCCATGGTATGCTGATATAGTGAACTTCATGGTGTCCGGAGAAGTCCCTAGTAGCTTTGATGCTTACAAGAGGAAGAAATTCTTCAAGGATGCTAGGCATTACTATTGGGATGAGCCCTACCTGTACAAGAGAGGACCAGACAGCATTTACAGGAGATGCATTGCTGAAGAGGATGTGCAAGGAGTTCTAGAGCATTGCCATGGGTCAGCTTACGGAGGTCACTTTGCTACATTCAAAACAGCAACTAAGGTTTTGCAATCTGGTTTATGGTGGCCTACTTTGTTTAAGGATGCAGCAACTACATTGCCAAGTGTGATCCGTGCCAAAGGAAAGGAGGGATCACCAAGAGGGACGAGATGCCACTAAACCCAATTCTAGAGGTTGAGATCTTTGATGTATGGGGAATAGACTTCATGGGACCTTTCAAACCCTTCTTCAAACGGGCACAACTACATTTTGGTTGCTGTAGACTATGTATCCAAATGGATTGAAGCCATTCCCTGCCCAACCTGTGACGCCAAGGTGGTTGTCAAGCTTTTCAGAACCATCATCTTTCCAAGGTTCGGCATCCCAAGGGTTGTTATTTCGGATGGAGGCTCCCATTTCATCAACAAGGTGTTTGAAAAGTTGATGAGAAGCCATGGAGTCAAACACAAGGTCGCCACACCTTATCACCCTCAAACCAGTGGGCAAGTTGAAGTCTCCAACAGACAGATCAAGGCCATATTGGAGAAGACTGTGAGCTTCACTAGGAAAGACTGGGCAGCAAGGCTTGATGAGGCACTTTGGGCTTATAGAACAGCCTACAAAACCCCCATTGGAAGGTCTCCTTTCAATTTGCTGTATGGGAAGGACTGCCACTTACCTGTGGAGGTCGAATATAAGGCTTTATGGGCAGTAAAGATGCTGAACTTTGATATAAAGGCAGCACAAGAAAGAGGGTAATGAACTTGTTTGAGCTGGAGGAAATAAGAATGAATGCCTATGAGAACTCTAGGATTTACAAGATGAGAACCAAGGCAGCCCACGACAAACTGATTCGCCTTAAGGACTTCAAGGTTGGGGACAGTGTGCTCTTGTATAACTCCAAGCTAAGGTTGTTTCCCGGGAAGCTGAGGTCAAAGTGGGCGGGACCATTCAAGATTCACGAAGTTTTACCCTATGGGTCCCTCACTTTACTCAATCAAGAGGGGAAGGAATTCACAGTGAATGGACATAGATGCAAGCCATATCTAGGAATGACCCCCACAGAGGAGATCATCACTCCTCTAGAAGATCCAACCCCGGCCTAAAAGGGGTAAGGTCAAGCTAAGAGACCTAAAACAAGCTCACTTGGGAGGAATTCCCATGTCTATCTTATGTATTTATGCTTTATCCTTTTATTTTTATGATTTTCTTGGCTGAGTCTCACAGGAGCAGGTTTTAGGAAGAAGAGTGGCTAACTCGAGGCACAACTCGATCGAGTCAAGAGCAAGCTCGATCGAGTGAGCCGAACCCAGTCGAGTGGAGCGCTCCTGATGGCCGTCTACCATCTCCAGACCACGACCTAGCCTCCCAGTTCTTTGGGGGCACTGAGGTATCCAAACACCAACCCTTGTATATACCATTTCATATTTTCTTGCATTTGTTTTGTTTTTCTTGGTTTTGCCCTCTTGAATCTTTCACTAAATTTTTCTCACACAAGGGACTGTGTGATTTAAGTTTGGGGGAGGGTTCAAGAGATGATTTAACCTTGTTTTCTTTGTTCTTAGTTTTTCACATCTTTTGCATAGAAAAACCAAAAAAATCATAAAATTTTCAAAAAATCCAAAAATATTTTCATCTTTTTGCATTCATATTTGTTAGACTTGTTTAGGATTGCATTTTTCACTTGCATTGTTGATTTGACTTTGAAAACTTGTCCATCTTTTGCGATTTCTTGAGTGCCCTGTTTTTAGATTCTTTTGTGCATTAGGGTGAGATTGATTGAGCAGCAAGAACCATGTTTATCTTGATCATATCGCTGCATGCACATCTCATTCAACCATTGCTGTGATTTGATGCATTTCCCTATCTATTTGAACCATAACTTGATCTTTAATTACCAATGCTTGCATTTGATTTCAACTCATGGCTACCACATACATATCTGGACTGA